TAAGCTCCGTCGTCTCATGCTGAGGTGAAACTGATAGGATTTACATCCTCCAACAGTTGTGGCTTTAGCTGGGGACCCAGTCCTGTGCAGTGTTTCCCTCCAGCTGCCCCCCACATAGGATCAGGACCCTGCATGGAGTAAAAATGCACGTACTGCTCATGTGGTCGCACAAGTGTGGACATGGTCATGCCGACACACAACCACTTATCAGATTACCTGTTGACCCCTGACCTCCATGCGTTTCATAAGGAACTCTGCACCGTATGATCACTGTAATCCTGTTAGTATTGGATTAAGACAGAGGCGATCTGGACCAGATAAACGCCCCCATCTACGCTCGCAGTCCCCCTGATGCTCTGGCCATTACGTCCCAGCATGTGACACTGGATCTAAATGAAAATTAAATCAATGACCAGTAGCGGTCTTCTCCCAATGCAAATCAGTTAGAGATCAGCGAACCACCAGAAGAGCAATAAATCTTAGTTTCTCTGGAGCAGATAAGCAGATATAAATTGTGGGGGGAATGAAATCCAGCCTAATGTTTTCAGATGTTTTGCATTAGTTTACTGCTCATCCGCAACTATTTTTGAACAGTTTGCTCTGCAATTTTCTATTTGACTGTCTCCCCTCAGGCAGACAGCACTGAAACCAGGAAAGGATTGGATTTTTTAAAGCGGGCCAGAAACAGTAGGTATTAATCATAGTGTGGTGCATGTCCGTCAATCTTCAGGTTTTAGCCTTACGAACTGAATATGTTTTTGTAGGAATTAGAGCCCTGAAAGATGTCACAACTTGACTAATACAAGTACATAGAAAAACACAGAAAAATATGGAATTATAAAAATACGGTTTCCACTTGTGAGACAACTTAGACTCTCTGAAGAGGTACAAGGGATTTAGGTTCAGCAAATATGATCTTCAAGAGTTATGTGACTTGTCAGTACATGTGGGGCTGTTATGAAAACTATTCAAGAGGCTTCAATTAGATGTTCAAGAGATTCTAAAGTTTTCGTTATCTGTCACCAGGCTTTCCATCATACTTATTTGAGTGGCACTCTATTACACAAACTGCCTGTATCCTCATAGACGGCTGCCATTTGGTGTAAAAGTTTATAACTTTGAACTCGTCTCAGTAAACAAACTCATGAAAAAGGTCGGAGAAAAGATGCGAGCAGGAATTCACTTGTTATTTTTTGTTTTTTCATCCCACTTTTCACATTTCCACAATTCTTTTGGAAAGAAAACCAGCTTTCAATCATAAATTTAGCAGCCCAGGGTCAAACAATATTCCATGATTTATTTATGAAACCGGGATGCAGGACAGTGTAACAGCAGGAGAAAATTGATCTCACTCTTGGTGATGTCTCCTTACTTGAGAGGGGAAATCAGACGGATACTTTTAAATTTTGATCTTACTGGCTCTTAAGAGTTCTCAGCCCGGTATTGAAAAGGTCCACAATTTTCTCCCTCTGCACAGAGCCAGCAGCATCAGTGGTTAGCACTGTGTGAATCCAGCTGTCTGCTGGTGCTTTGTGCCCGTGTGTTTAATTAGAACTCGGTTTGCTCATTAAGTAGATGGAGCTTTAATAGATCTTGGCCAGACAGGGGCTATTGTAAAAGGCCTGGCACTGACGCGCACTACCAGTTCAGATATGGCTCACGAAGATGGTCGCACAAAGGAGGAGAGAGAGGTGGATGGAGGACATCCAGGTTCATTAAAAGCCAAAATGAACATAAAAGAATAAACGGAGATGGGAAATGGGCTAAATGCGAGCCATTTTAGAAGCAAATGGATGAGAAGTGAAAGGGAAAATGAAGCAAGAGGTGATTATTTCCATGAAAGAATGGCCAGGCCAATATCCATTAATGGCACAGTTTTAGGAGGATAATTGGCTAATCCAATCCCATTAGTGCCATCAGGGAGCAGGAAGATGCTCTCTGGTACAAAACGCTTTGAGCCAGACGGACTGGGTATGGCAAAGGCACTGTTGTCGAACTCTGAGGACCACTGCCCAACATTCTGAATGCTTCCCTGCTTTAACACTCCAGGCTCAAATGAATTTGTCCTTAACAGACATAGATCCATCTGATATGACTCATATGTGGAGCAGGGAAACATGGCACCTGAGAGCAGGAATTTTACAACACTGTGAAGGCATAGCCACTTGTTCTTCTATTTATTAGAATGAAACTTGTTGCTAGTGCTGGGGGAGACTTGAAAAAAAAAGGTTTTGAATACATTTTCAGTATGGTGAATAATGGAACATTTCCCTGCTTTACTGTAACCTTAACCCTTTTTTGGGGGCGATGTGACTTCAAATGCTACCCTTTCTTTTCCTTTTTCCATCATCTGGACTGTGAGGAGAGCTATATCCACTTTGATTAACGGCCTGTCGTCTAAATGCAAACGTGAGAGAAACTGATCAATTCACCCAGACACCACAAAACCGATCAATTTTCGGACTAAAAACTGCATTTATGGGCTCTGAAAGAAATATGTGGTCAAAGGAAGCCAGAGGCCTTTTTCCTGAGTTTGATTTGAAGTAAAATTAGTTGATTTTGTTGTTTTATTGTCAGCAACATTTAGAAAACGCCCTTCTTTCTCCTTAAAGCAGCGAACAGGTGAAAGAAAATCTCAATTAATCACAAATGCACATTTAACAAAACAAAAATAAAAATCTCCGTTGTTTTCACATGACGGATTTACCTTGAATTATGCCTGTACTGAAAAGGAGAAGAAACGGGAAAACAAAGACAAAGTGAAATGGAAAAGACTGAACCAATCCTGTACTTTGCCAATCGTGAATAGATTGCTTTGCAGCCTGCCTGCCCCACATACGGTGGCTGAATACAAAAGACCTCTTCTGTGAGAGCAGTCACTACGGGAGGCCACTCTATCTGCACCGCTGCAGCGACAGGCCCCAATGAAGCCGTCAGCACGGGGTGTGCTGCCACACACACTCACACACACAGGCACACACACTCGCAAAAAAAACACAAAGACGGATGCATTGCACGAAACCGTTGATTTCTTTAGCCCTCACAGGCACTAGCACAATCCTGCTCCAGTAACCTCTCTGCTAATACATTCTTTTCATCCTCCAGTGCTGCGCAGAAGCAGGGAGGGAGACGAGTGCTTGGCGCTGATTTGAATATTTAAATTATTTATTGCGACAGAGGACAGAGACCCAACACACGGACAGGGACACATGGGAGTTGGGAGGGGGAGTATCGGGCTGTGTTTGGGTTTGATAGTGTACAAAATTGATGCCCTCGGGGACAAAACACACTCTCAGTTTTGGCTCTGCACACCTATTTTTAATGGCTTTAAAACTGAAAGGCTCTCTATTTTTTACATTGGATTCAAAGCGCATTCAGCATTCGTAAACCCCGCAGTGTTGATTATTGTTCTTGCATCCTGTGTCCTACTGCTCTCAGATTATGCTCTGCTTTGTGAAGAATTTTTAGGAATAATAGCTCACCGTGGAGCTACAGTGAAGGGAGGAAGAGTGTGAGTAAACTGAGTGATGTAATGCCGTGGGTGCTTAGAAATATCAGCAAAGGAAGGGTTCCACTTTGGCTCGGCGTAGCCTGAGAAACACATGCGTGCCTTTTCCCCAGCAGAACAATCCTGGGAAATGGGGCTCACGCGATGACAGGACTGTAGGCGTGTAAGCAAAAGATAACAATCCAAGAAGCTTTTATGAATTAATTTAGCGTTTTTCGCTTTGACACAGAAGCACCAGGATGTTAACGTGCATCTATCTGTCTTTTTACCTTCAATTTCACTGTCACCCCATGAGTGCACAGTGAATCTATCTCTTTTCTTTATGAGCTCAGCTCTGAGTTACAGTTTCCAGACAAAGAAAGTCCCCGTCTGGCCCCCTTCTTGCTGCCCTTTCCACCCCTCTGGTGTGCCACCAACAATGAGAAATGCTGCCGATGTTTGCATTCTGCTACATTCCAGGTAGCAGCATGCAAATAAGTCTGGGAGTCTGGTTTGCTCGTCCTCAGAGGATAAGATGAGCCGCTCTCACTGCTGCTTTTAATTAACTCGTCATCCCACAGTTTCAACCATCTTTTGAGATCCTTTTCTACCCTTGTTGTTTTGTGCGTGTGTTTATTTTCATCCAGTCTGTTTCATAGTACCTTTTTTATTGGCTTCTCTCAGGGTACTTGAGAACAGATGTGTCATTCAAAAGCGATTTAAAAAAAAAGACTATTTTTTTGCTTTCCTCTTATTTTTCATTTGGTTTGCCAACACAGTGAATGAGCTAGTTTAGTTAAATACCAATTCTGTGGTCTTTACAAATGTATGAAACATCTGTAGGGATTGAAATTATGTTTTAATGATACTCATATTTAATATTAATCACATATAAAATGTTTTGGAAACATCCTCCCGTGCTTTTAAAGTACTGTCAAGTACTGTCAGGCAGCATAAACCCATACATTTTTCTCACAGCCATTCAATTTATCACCCCTCATCCCTGCGGTGAGCCTCATTTGCTGCAGTCTGTGTGTATACAAATGTTCTTTAATGATCCACTAATTACGAGGATGTTCTGCTGCTTTGGGATGTGAAACCACAAGCATGTGTGCAGGTACCTGTGATGTCTACATGCTGCGACAGTGCATATGTCAGACATTCATCTTCACACTCCAATTGCTCATTACGTTCAGCATCCTTATTGGATTTGTCAGTTCGATTTCACTTATGAGTTGACTGATAGCTGAATGGAAAATCTTTTTTTATTAAGTGAAGCTACGCTGTACAGATAAACGATACGTTTTGAATCAATAATTTATTTACACGTTGAGATACCTGCTTTCACATTTTTTGTGAAAGACGGCAGAATTTCTTGCTGTAAAGAAAATGCAAATTGCATCATCACAATATTCGTCCATCTTGGATCTTCAAATGTGTGATGTTTGACGTAGTGGAAAACCATTTAAACTTCACGGTTTAGAAACATTTTCCTTCTTTTTGCTCCTTGCAGTCGAGCCATCAAAACCAACCAGGACCTGCTCCCCGAGACCCCGTGGACCAGCATCCTGTACGACGACTTCTGGGGCACCCTGCTCACGCACAGCGGCAGCCACAAGTCCTTCCGCCCGCTCTGCACCCTCTCCTTCCGCCTGAACTACAGCCTGCACGGCCTGCGGCCCTGGGGCTACCACCTGCTCAACCTCGCCCTGCACGGGCTGGTCACCGGCCTGGTCGCCGCCCTCGGCCGGCCGCTGCTGGGCGGGGGGCCCTGGACGCTCTTGGCGGGCCTCCTGTTCGCCGTCCACCCGGTGCACACGGAGGCGGTGGCCGGCGTGGTGGGGCGGGCGGACGTGGGCGCCGCCCTCTTCTTCCTGCTGTCCCTTCTCTGCTACGGCAGACACTGCGGGGCGCGCGGGGGCCGCTCGCCGGCCAGGTGCTGGGGCTGGATGCTGGCCAGCCTGTGGTGCGCGGCGGCCAGCATGCTGTGGAAGGAGCAGGGGGTGACCGTGCTGGCCGTGTCGGCCCTCTACGATATTTTTGTGTTCCAGCGACTCCGTTTGCGCCAGGCCCTCCTCCTTCTGCTGGGAAAGGTAAATGAACGCATGCTGCATGTGTGTGTGTGTGTGTGTGTGTGTGTGTGTGCCTCTGTACAGTTCACTTGGCAGCCCCACCTATCAAGTTTCCTCTTCCTTCCTACAAAAAAACCTGTTCCTGGTCGTGTTGAATTAAATTCCATTTTGTTTGTTTACATACTGGCATTTGTCATTTCTCTTTTTTGCTTAAAATAAGCCACTAAAAAAGCTGTTTGCCTGTGTGTGCCCACAGTTGGGGCATGAGAAATAAGCTGCTGTCATCTGGTTCAACAGAGCAGGAAAAGAAAATGTTTGCAAAAGGGAAGTTTTCCACTTCCTTCTCCTGCTGCCACCAACCTCCGTTTGCAGCAGCAAATAGATGCCCATTCTGGCAAGGAGATCTAAATTAAGATCTGAGTCACTGTGTGTGTCCGTGTGTGTGTGTGTGTGTGTGTGCAACTCTTGAGAGGGAAAAGCTGTTCTTGGTGAGATTTGTATCGTCACTGTAAGGTGCGCGCGGTCAAACAGCACATGTCTTTGGGTGCTGTTATTTGGCTCACTTTGTGGAGCGAGCTGTCCAAAAATGTACAAATGTGGGCACACACAGTTGCTTACCAAGTGCTTCCTCTGCAGGCGAGCTCTTCAGGGATCCATTTTGCCCTTCCAAAGTCGAGTTATTTCAGGAGGACAACCGCGATGCAGTGACTCATCTCATTATGGGGAATTGTATTTCCTAAGACAGGCTCGCAACATTTGATTTGAGAAAACGGCTCCAGCACGATGAGTTGTAAAATGCATAACTAACATGATAAAAAGTCCCCTTGGGTTTACTGTGCAAGGACAGTCTGGGTCTGAGTGCACCAGAGCTTCTTTTTATGCTAATTTCTTTTTGTGAAAACCTCTAAATAAACTCTGTTTGCTGCCGGCTTTTCATATTTGCACTCGTGCAGTTGGTCATAAATGTATTGAAAATGCGATTGGACGTTTTATCCTATCTGTGAGGCAGCTTCTGTAGCAGAGACAGAGTTTGCCATGAGTATTTCAGAGAAATCAGAAAAGGTCAGACAAAAAGAGACACATTATGTTTAGTCATTCTTTACTGTGCTTGGCAGGAGTGACTTGTGTGGGCTTTTCCATGGGACCATAACAAATACTCGACTCAGAGGATAGTGTATTACTTCCACTCACTGTATATAGCCCAAAGAAAGAAAGAAACAGAAGAAGTGACAGGAATAACTCAGGAGAGCAATTGAATTCAGCGTTCTCGGCTGTACATATGAAGGAAAAAACCGTGGAAGTGGCTATGAACAAACCGGATTGATTTCAAGACCGACTTGTTCCAGTCTGCTTCTTCTCGCTCTGACACATTTTCTGAGTAGCCAGAGAGTGGAAGCTGTAACATTATCAGAGGCCCCCAAATCTCTGCATAGACACAACAGACCTCAGGCAGAATCCTCCTGCCAACCCTGTCAGTTCTTAATGCCAACGTCCTCTAGCACATTACTGCCAGCACATCTGGCTCATTTATCACTCAGGCAGTGCCCTGATCTACTGCCCCGTTCCTGGTTATCTTGGCAGGGAGCTCATTACACGCTGGGGCCAGTCATGGGGGCAATCGTCTCCCCGGTTATGAGCCAGACGTCTCTGGACGCATGGGAGAACAAAAGGGACAGAGATATGGAGCCAGTTGTTGAGTAAAAGGCAGGGAAACTATGCTCTCATTTCCTTTCCTCTATCACCCCTCAGTCTGTCTCACCAGTTGTGCCCTGAGGACTGTTTGGGAATGAAGGATTTGGATTCACCTGTTTTGCATTCTGCCACTGAAATGGAACGGGTTGTCGCGGGTGAAATTTGATTTGCGTTTTTCTCGATTATTTTTTTTCGTTCAAATATCATCTCTGCTGTTTCAGCAGAGCCACAGATAAAATAAAATGACATCTCCTGCGGTGAGGAGAGGAGACAGACGTTTTCCCACCACTTCTCCATTTCTCATTCTATTAGCTCCCTAATCAGACTGAGATTAGATTTCAAATGAGACCAGTTTAGATGGTGGTGACGCTGGAAAGTGATAGATGGAAACAAAGGCAGGTTGGGTGTTGGCACTGTGGTCTCTTGAGAAAACAACCGGATGGTAAGAGCATAATGTCCTTGTTCATTACACCTTTGGTATGTCATAAACTAGCTGGTTGATAAGTGAGGCTCCGGGCATTAGACAGGGCTCAATAAAACCGTTTGGTTTTCTTGGTATTGGGGGGAAAAAATGTTTCTGCCAAGCCTGATCTGTTAAACCTTCTGGCGCACATCTGTTTGTTTTAATGGTCAACTGGAATCTTAAGCAGTTACTTGATTGAAAAACGCAGATGTCAGTTATTATTACTCTTTAGATGAACCCCTGTGGGAACAGCCCTACCTCCAGGATAATAAAAAACATCTTACCTCAAACTAAAAGAATTTTTCTTACCTTTCGTTAAGTCCCTTTGAATCATCTCCTTCAAGTGTAGAACTGTGCACCTGAACCAAAACAAACAAGGACATATATGATTTGACAGGGGCAAATGAACAATAGAATGATTTGATGGTGTCTCCACCAGTTTGCAGTTTAAATATCACTGAGGCCTCATTTGTCTCAATGAGCACTGCAGACACACAGATTAAGTCCAGTGTTACTGGCTGACGGTTTGATGAATGTTGGGCCAATTATCCTGCAGCAGAAGCATTCGGCTGTGAAATGATGTTCTCTTTTGCAAGTTCTGCTGCATGCTCTTTATTTAGCTGACACTCTGAAGGATGCCAGCAAGCCAAAAATAGCTTTGTGTTCTTTCACAAAGTTTCCATGTCTGATCCTGTCTGCTGTCTTGACCGGTCATTAAACTTTGGTTGAGAAATGCGTCAAATGACCCTGTTTTTAAAGTATTCACAAACACATTCTCTCTAAAGGTGCTGCTGTGCAAAACCAGACAACATCACACACCTTTTTTGCATGAACTTGAGGAAACTAAAGAATAGATTGCCTACTGATTCAAAAGGTGAATAAAAAGAATAATAAATGGTGCAATATCACTGGCAGGTGTATATATAATATAAAAGTTTTTGAATCCAACATTTATTATATATTGATAAGGATATTGAATTTTATTCCCTTTTTTTATCATTGACATTGAACTTTGAAATACCATCACTATATAGTCCAATAACTACTAGAGTACAACATAAAAGCATAAATTTAAGCTTACTCACTTAAATTGTACACTCATAATAACTCATATTCTTTTTTAAATAAAACTCTTTTTTCTTCAAGTTTTGAAAAGCAAGATTGATGATTGAAAACAGTTGATATATTTATACCTCAGTCACTTTGTTCTTACAATAAATTTAAAAAAAGACTATAGGATAGCGCTCAGCATTATAGCTCAAACATGTGACATGTATGGTACATTAAAGTGCTCAAGATTAGTGGCCTTTTTATCTCAGGAATGTGACTTGTGCTTTTGGACTCAATCTTTCTGGGTGCTGCTTGACATAACCTTCAGTATATCATTTTAATACTCACAGGTATTTAATCAGTGGTCTTAGGAAGCTGCAGACAACGTGTTTCACTTAAAAAAATATGGCAGCAGAAATTCCAAGATAGCATTTCATGAAAATCTATAATCTTACTGAAGACAAATTCTTGTTATTAGAATTATGTAAAGATGAGGTATCATGAGAGAAGGAATTTCTGCGGTAAAATCTACATTTTCGATGGCTTTGAGCTTGATGGATACTTGTTCACTTGCTAGAAGTTTCTGCGTAAATGCACACATGACTTGAGCATTTTCAGTCATTATGTCCTCACATTGTTTATGGCTTTACCCAATAGGCTTGAGTCAATACTGGTTTCTATTTCAAATGGCAAAAACCAAGATGGATGTATTTAGCCGTTGGAAACAATATAAAGTTATATGTAAATTATTATTTTTAAAAGGTTAGTAACATTTTATCTACAGATCACATGCAAAATTGATTAATTTGTCGGCTTAATTATTTTAGCAAGAGGCAAGTAGTAATGTTCAAACAAAGGTTTGTATGCTGTATTTGATTGGCCCTTTTAAAGGACTTTAGGCTTTTTTGGTCTTCTGTTTAAGCAAAAGAGGGGGAAAAAAACTTGTGAAAGCCAAGTCTATGCTTGCTGTCACAACAGCGTCCAGGAGCCGTGTAAGTTTAGCCCTCCTTCCCTCTGGATCCCACGTCAACACATTATTAAGGCGGGAGGCTTGTTAAACATCAGTTTACTTTGATCAGCTCTGTGCACGGACAGTGCACAAAAGTTCACCCTTTGCCATTGCACGTCTTGCCAACAAGAGCATGGCTTTCATGAAGATATCCAGAGCGTAATTGGGTTACTCTATCAAAATCATCCCTTCAGTGCTAACTATTCTGCTGTCTGATGACTTGGATGACTTAGGCCGAGTAGACACAGTCCAAAACACATTAAAGTGCTGGAAAAAGAACTGGATGCCTGCCTCACATTGCTTTTCATCAAAACTTTGCATGTAACCGCTAATGCCTCAAATGTGACTGTAGCAGTATGTTGTATAGATCCATGTCCAAAACCCCAAAGACTTCCCCATGTGAGCTCTTACGTTACTGATATGTTTTGCCTTATATTTTGGATCTCAATGACAATATTGATAGAAAACAATACGTTTTTTAATCATATTTAAAGTTTGTTCAGATTTTTTCATCTAAACGTCTCCAAACAAAAAGTCTAAAAATGCGGTCAATGATTAAGCCGGCATGTTGGAAAGAGTTATGAGCAGATTAAATTGGCCGTGACTTTAACAAGAAAAGCCCGAAAGATAGCTTCCCTGTGGTGTTGCGTCAGGCCGCAGCAGCTTTAAACAGTAAACGCATGAAGTCAGCCGTATCCCGCTGGTTCTCCGCACATTCTGAAACATTCTGCGCGCTACAGTGTCAGCAGGTGGACCACACACTGCTGGGATTAATAAAATTACATCAAATAATGCAAAACACAGCTTAAAGATGAAGGCTTGGGATATTTACGCGCCATGTTTACGTTTGGAAGCATTGGGAGGAAATTAAAGAAGGGTTAACTCAGGAGCTAAAGTGGAAAGATTGAGAAAAAGAGAAAGCAAAGAGGAGGAAAGATACCATTATTGATGCAGAATTTCCAAATGAAGTTCCAGAATGGAGGAGATGGCAAGACGTGAACTTGCTTTATAGGTTGAGTGGGATGATACGTTTGCCAGTTGGCTGGGGATTATGCCAGCCCTCTGTCATGGATGACACACAAATCTCAGGAAGACAATTGGGTCATTGTTGGATCCACTTCCCGGGAATTTGGGAAAGACGGTATGAAAGTTATGAGAGCCAAAAAATATGAATCCTCAGTGAAACTTAGAAATTTAACCAGGAGAATGTTCAGTTCCATTCTCTGATATAATGGTTTTTCTTACTGATATCAATAAGTTACTCTAATATAGATCATCATAGATCGTGGGGTTATTGTGAACCCTCCGTGATCTAAAATGAAGCCCTCTAAGTTTACGTGATATTGGCCAAGCCCTTGTACTCTGTTCTAAAGCAAAACCAATCAGGGACTTTTTATTAGGTTCACGATGAAAACTCATTATAGGGAATTTATGGGCTACTGTACATCTTGAGTTGTGTGTGTGTGTGTCATTGATTGCAAAGTCATTTAAGAAACGATTTTGGAATAGAAAAGGCAAGTTGAAGTGGAATGAAGCTTGTTCACCTACATTCCATAAATGACTGTGTTGCTGCAATAGGCTTGTCTTCTAATACTGAGCAGAATTGGATTTCTCAGACAGTTTCATCCCTTGACAGGAAATGTGGACTCATCTATCAACAGCCACATCCCTCTTTTTGTGGAGGAGGCGCACCCACTCACTCTTTACATTAGACTATGAGTCAATATTCATTTATTTTTTCCACACTCAGTTCTATCCTGGTTTTAAAATGTTGAACTCTTGGAACTGGTGCTTGTACATCTCACTACTGACAGCCACAAAATCATCACAGAAGTGCACGAGGAAGTAGAGTTAAAAAAGCAGCACTCAAGCTAGTTTAAAAGACACAGATAAGCTCCTAAACTCACTGAACTTTTGGCTTTGGGTTGATTTTCCCAAACGTTTCCTGAGAAAAACGCCACCTGTATACATTGAAGTTTTGTGCTTACAAGCCCTTTCCTACTACGTTATCCCAGAGTTCTTACCTCTGAAATAATGCTTCAATATTAAACAATTTCATTACTAAAGCATGAATTTACAGAAAAATAAAATGCATGTTTCACCCATGTTTTAATGGATGTGCACACATCCATCTATAGACTTTTTTTTTACCAACTATAAACTCTGTCTAAAGTAACTCTTGCAAAAGCCTTCTTTTCTTTTCCAAATCTCTAAATAAACCATTGAACTGGCACTGGTAGGTGAAGAAAGTTGATGGTAAACCTCTTACTGTAATCCTTGCGGGGAGGGGGTTGAACTTAAGCTTGCACACTGTAAAAGAATGAATTGATTTGTTCTTTGTGCATTCTGGAGTGTGTTACCCAGAGAGCGGCCTATCGATATAATCTCATAAAAAGCTACACTAGATCAGCCCTGTGAAGTTTTTGAGAGTTTCTAATGGTAAATATAAGTTATATCAAAGGCAAAACTGGCTGTACAAGTGACATCCGCCCAGAATGAACAGCACTTGCAGTACGTGACCATTCATTTGAGAGCACTCCGGCTCCAACAAGACAAGTTCAAATTGAGTTCGGCTTGGGGGAAAAAAATGAACAGGCTCAGAAATTGGAATGGAGCAACATCTCTGTGATCATCACTCATAATGTTATTTACTTTTTATGCAACTTAGAGGGGAGCAAAACGAATGAGATGCACTTCTGGCTCAAGCATTCACCAGGTTGTCTCTGTCAGGAAGTCTTTTCTCCATGACAGCTGATAATCAATAAAAAATGTTTGATGGATGAAATTAAATCAGCGAGCTGAAGCGATGGTTAATTCAGAGAGCAAGACGTCCGACATCAGTCTCACTGCAAAACAAAGGAAGTGTGTTGGTGCTGTTACATTGTTTGGCTCCTCCTGTAATTCTGCTGATAGCTGTATTTGAACATTGTGAGTAATAGGCTTAAAGAATGTTTACAACTATTTGTGCTGAAACTTAAGTTACTGCTGACTTTAACCCCAAGGAGAGGACTCTGGATTGAAATCTAATTTATCAATTGAATATATTCTCCTCTAATTTTGAGACATTCACTAAATGTGCGTTTTTTTCTTTCCATTTCCCATCAAGTGTGTTTTGTACGGATTTTGCTATTCAGCTCAAATCCCAGAGTGCCCGTTTCCGCTAACACTGGATGGTGTTGCGTGACCGAGGATAAAGCTACAGAGTTAATGCCCTTGCAAGATGTAAATGGCATCTGCATACCAACATAGTCATTTCTAAGCTGATTACAAGTCACATTTACAGCTGCTTAGGTAGGAAACGAGGACAGACTCCAAGTAAAGCCTCCATTCAACGAGAGCAGGCAATCAAGCCACAAATTTACTTCAAAGTCACCACAACTCTGTCAAAACTGAGTGTGGATTACTAATATGTGGAAAGTACGTAAAGGGCCTCGATTATCCTCTTCTTTTTATGTTGGACTTTTGGATTTTTTCCCTGTCATCCCTTCGTAAAACCTCACTGACATTTAAGGATTTACCAGAAAACCAAATGTGAAGTAATAATCTTTCATGACATTAAGTGTACATCCACTACATTTGGTGTAATTATGGCAAGAATGTCTTTCATTTTAGTTCACTTTTTTCAGTCAGTGTGTTGTTTTTTTTTCTGTTTTATAAGACTCAGACATCACCCAAAAACATTCCAAGGACTGGTCCTCTTTCTCCACAGTTTAACAGGGAATTTAAAAATAAAGCGATTACTCAAGTTTAAATTTTTCTGATGTTAGTCAGACCTAATCATCAAAGATTTACTATAAATAGAGAATAAGTATGTGGGGTGGGAAATTTTTTAGGTGCTCTGACAAAATACTGTGGCTTTGACTTTTGATTTGAGTTTTTTTGTCTTCCTCTTTTCCAGAAAAAGAAAACCGGTGTGTGGCTGAGTATCTGCGTGCTGGCTTCCTGGGGAGTGTTTCTGCTGTCGGCCCGCCTCTACTGGATGGGAAACAAGCCTCCTAACTTCTCCAACTCGGACAACCCGGCAGCTGACTCTCCGCATTTTCTCACTCGACTGCTGACGTTCCTCCACTTGCCCGCGGCCAACGCCTGGCTCCTGCTCTGCCCCGACAAGCTCAGTTTTGATTGGTCCATGGATGCCGTGCCCCTGGTCAGGTCCTTGGCTGACCTGAGGAACCTTCACACTGTTGCCTTTTATACTGGATTTATGCTTTTGGCTGGCTTTAGCCTGCGAGGTCCTAATTTAAAAGCCAAGGAAGCAAACGGGAAAGCCCATGTAACCAATGGGAAATCGATGACAAATGGGAATGGTTACCATGCCCCCGATACAAACCACAACACAGACCACGGGTTGATGAAGACCAGCCTGAATGGGTCAGCTGGACTTCACTCCTGTTCCCCGAAGCCATCCCTCCCCCCGACAGAAAGCCTAGTCCTGTTTTCATTAGGCATCCTGGCCCTGCCTTTTATCCCCGCCACCAACCTGTTCTTTTACGTGGGTTTTGTTATTGCCGAGAGGGTCCTTTACATCCCCAGTATAGGGTTTTGCATACTGGTTGCTGCTGGAGCTAGAACCCTGCACGTCAGGCTGAGGACTAGAGGCTGCAGAGTTGTGTTGATAACTTTGTGCACGGGACTAGTACTGATAAATGGTCTCAGAACTATTCAAAGAAACAAAGACTGGAGCAATGAGGAAAATCTGTACAAGTCTGGAATTAATGTGAATCCTGCAAAAGGTGAAAAATCTGTCAGTTATTGTTGGGACTGAATACTAAGCCTTTATTATCATTATTATTATTATTATTTTGACTGTGAATATGTTTAAATGTCAACGCTGTGTTCTTTTGACTGACACCTGTCTCTCGTAGCCTGGGGAAACTTGGGGAACGTTCTCAAGAACCAGGGGAAGATGGCGGAGGCCGAGAGGGCGTACAGAAATGCGCTTCACTACCGGGGGAACATGGCCGACATGCTTTATAACCTGTGAGTGTCAAAGACCTCCCGCCACCCCTGCTTGCACAGTAATGATACAAACAAGTTCCCAGTCCCCTCATCCATCACCTAAGAATCGCTGCTGCAGTAAAAAAAGACAGAAAAGGATACAGACTCAAATTTTGAGGAGCAGACTGGAAGAAATTACAGAAGGCAAATAAAAATAGATCTTGTACAGCGGGAAAGGAGGAGGTTAGATGGGGAGCAGGAGTGTAATGGAAAGGAAATAACTGTGTGCGTCTCTGGAGGCTCTTTGTGCCTTCTCCACTGATTTGATTAGACATGGTGTGTAGGGCTGGTGGGAGACCAGTAATGTCAGGTGTAAGAGGTGCCAACATTTAATGGGGAATCCACATTCATGGTGCTCCTCATGTAAAGAAAATGGAAAAGTAAAAAAAACAAGTGGAGAAAACTACAAGTAGTTGAGAGAGGCGCCATTAGAAAATGGCGAATTTAGAGGAGTTGATCATGAATATTTTGTGAGGAATGTCTCAGGTTGCGTCTGGGGATTCGTGATTTGTTTTATTTTTTTTCTGTTTTAACTATCATTGCTTTGATGAGCTGCCAAACCAGTTGCTTTATTGTCAGACTTAAACTGGAAAGCAAATTTTTCAGTGTTTTGACGTGTTTTCCACCTCCTCCTTTCCACCAGGGGTTTGCTGCTGCAGGAGAACGAACGCTTCTCTGAGGCCCTGCATTACTACAAGCTTGCAATAGCAAGTCGACCAACTCTGGCATGTATGTGTAATCTTGTTTCATTTTCAAATACGTTGCGATACAAATTCATCGACTGAGCAGCAGGGAGGAAAGCTGTCACCGGTTCCGTGTTTCATCAGCTATGTCATTTGAGTTGTATCACTGGGTAATTAGATCCAACCTCATTATCTGGCTTTTGAAATCCATCACACTTTTATGCTGAAGTGGATGTCCCTGGACCACATGGCCGTTCCAGGAGTTATTATAAGCTTGACTGGCAAATGATGAGATTAAATCTCACACCTGAGTGCTTGAATAAGAAATGAGGCCCCGTCTTTTCCTGTTCCGAGGATTGCTTTATAACGTGTTTCGTTTTCATTCTCACAGTTTTTTCCTGTATATATATTTGATTTTGACCTAGACCAAGTTTATTTCTTACTTTTGTAAAAATACCATATTTAATTGATCTTCTTTTGAAAACACACACAAAAGAGATTTAATTTAGCCATGGTTCTATTCACTGAAACTGCAGATTTAGTTTTGTTGAATTGCAGGATATCTCATAACCGTGTGCTTTCTTTGTGTTACCTGCTACTCACAGCGGCTTACTTGAACACGGGAATAATCTTAATGAATCGGGGTAACCTGGAAGAGGCCAAACACACTTTCCTCACTTGTGCTGACATTCCTGATGAAAACCTAAAGGATCCCCACGCACACAAAAGCTCTGTCACGAGCTGCCTGTACAACCTCGGAAAACTGCTCCATGAACAAGGCCAGCAGGAGGTATGCACATCTAGTTTAATTATGAGAAAAATGTTTCCCAAACTCTTTGCCAAACATTGCCAAATGAACTTCTCTTGTTCTTCTGCAGGAAGCCCTGTCGGTGTATAAGGAGGCCGTGCTGAAAATGCCCAGACAGTTTGCACCTCACAGCCTTTTCAACATGATGGGTAAGTTACACAATCACAACATCAGAGCTTTTTATTTAAAAAAAAGGGAAAACACATTTAAAAGTAGTGTATTCTTGTGACACCTTTGTCCTTAACCTGAATGACTTGATTTTCAAAGTTGGTCTGTCTTTTTTTCTGAGCTTATAATGTAGTAAAGCAAATAGACTAGAACTTACTGCAAAATAAATGACATTTAACCACTATGAGGCTTTTAAAATGTGTGCAGGGACTTTTTTTTTCTTTTGAGGAGGTTAAAAGATGATCCGTGTCATAAATCACATCCCTTCTCTTTGTTATTTTATCACTAATTACATTATTGGGGGTTCATCCTTATGGCATAGTTGGAATTGTTGATGGATGTCAGCATGAATTCCTGGGACAGGCTGAATGAAAATAGGAAGTGTATTTAATCAGTTGCAGGGAGCTGTTAAGTAAGGCTCATGTTTGTATAAATGTGATGATGGATACTTTATACTTTATAAAAACTGATGTCATCTACCTATCTTATTACCATTGGGGCCAAAAGCCTTCTGAGATCCAGCTTAATCTCAGTGTTAAAAACAGTCTCAGTTTGATCCATGCATTATGTAGGGGAAAAAAATGTGTCCTTTTTTCTCATTAAAAATGACTCCAAATGAAACTATAAAACCCAGTATTGCCAGAAACTATTCTGAACTATTCTAAACTCACATAATAATAATGCAATAAAGAGATGTATTTAGTAATGTACAAAAAAGATTTTTAAGCAGAAAAATGACACAGTTGACCCAGTTGATGTGATTATCTGGTAATATTAAATTGTCTATTTTCAGCTGTATGCAGGTCATTGTGCACATATTGGTTTGTTTATCATTTCAGTTTGTCTAAAAAAGTGTGTTTTGCATGTTTCCGAAGTTCTGACTTTTTATTATTTATTAATTCCCTGATGAAAATGATTTTCTGTTCCAGGAGAGGCTTACATGAGGCTGAACAGGCTGGAGGAAGCGGGACACTGGTACAGAGAGTCCCTCAGAGCAAAGCCCGACCACATCCCTGCCCACCTCACTTACGGCAAACTCCTCTCCATCATCGTATGTTGCAAGCAGAAAAAACACACACAAACACACACACATCAGCATGCATTAAAAAAAGCATTAGACAAAGCCGTGTCTCAGTTGTGACTGCAGTGGTTAACCGTGTGGCAGAATGTAATTAAATGGGATGGAGTAGGGGGGAGCAGAGTGATGAATAATGTATCATGAGTGACTTATGGGACACTGAAGCAGGGCAAACACGTCCTATTGATCACTCGGCAGAACCCGAGGAAGTATGATAATAGTTATTAGGTGCAAGTGTCTGGCTTGGAAATGTGCATGCTAAATAAATTCTCCTCCCCCTACCAGAAGCAGGGTGGAATTCTAATGCATCCATGAATACTGTTTTTTAACGTTGACCTCTACAACTATAGATTTTACAATTGTGGGGTAGAAGAAAAAAAGACCATTTTTTAAAGTGACTGACGGCATAGTTTAAAGCTGTGTTCCTATGACTGAACAACCGCCAGGTCACCTTAGCTTTTGGTTTTCTTTTCTCTCCCTCTGAGTGGTTATCTATGTACATATTTGAGTGTTAAAAGACATCGAAGGCCAAACAAACATACCCAAACCTCACCTTGCCTTTCTAACCTGCTTTTCCTGCTGAACTTGCTCACACTTCCTGTGCTTCCCACCAGCTCCCACAGCTCCCATTCTCTAGCAACGAAAACACACACGACACCAGATGTGTTCTCAGCTGAGTGAAGTTTAGCTTTGGGAGTTGAACTGTGCGCCCCGTGCAACCTCTTGAAGGTGCTTGACCTCTTCCCTTCCACAGCCTCAGGTGGCGAGCCGAGACACAACCAGCCTACGTGAGCTGAAACAAACGCGCAGCTGCACTCCTTTAGGGGTTTAAACCTGTGCTTCCCCTATTGGTTGAGGGATTTGAGGATATTCAATACATAGCACATGATATTAAGTTGCCCAGTGTGGCTGGACATCTGTGCTGCTCTTCTTAGCTAAGGACAACACAATCATGCACAGAGAGGCCAGCTCCACTGACGGCTTAAGAAACAGGAGATTGGATGGACCCTGGACAATAAGCCAGTGGACAGGCTTATAATGCGATTACTTTACTTCCTTATTAAATCACTAAACTTTCAGCCGACCTGCCGAAGTCAATCAACAATACAGACAAGGGAAGAAGAGGTTAAACAGAAGTCCCGTACTGAAATTCACCCGAAAATGTGCAGCCATGCTGTGAATCCTTAACTGCATTACCTTTGAATGTAACAATACCTTCAAATTTACCTCCATTTTTCCATGCGATAATAGGCTGAACTCGACAGGCTTCAGTCTCACCACATCTCTCAGAACACAACAAGTGCAGCGGCAAAACCACTAATTTGGCCCATTCATGCGTAGTTTGAATTTCTGACATAATGTAGCGTTCCACATTAAGGAAAGTTGTTAATCATTCAACATTAAAGCCATTTACACATTTAAACTCTGCTGTAGAAAAATTTTTGCTTGAGTCTTTCGCAGGGTAATCCTTATCAGTGACAAAAAAAAGTAGTACCACACAATTTTCTTTCTAAAACTCAGGCAAAACCTTTCCTGAATATACCTGATGATGGCCTACCTTCTGGTTTAAAGGATAGGTGAAGAGGAGGTTTAATTTAATGCAAATGGAGATGGAGAAAAGGAAAATATTAAATAAGCTATCCAAGTCCAATATTCACCCATTCATTTAGAGCGACAGCAGACATGGGAAGAGGCTAATGAGGCAACGCTAATATGTCTGGCCCTCTTATTTTACGTCGCATGCCAAGTCCATTGGAAATATGGAAGCAATCAGTGCTGAAGCGTGAAACAGAAGTGGTGGAGATATTGAGCGTTATGCATGCAGCAGCAATATTTTTCTTAGTTTGGTTTGACACATCCTCACGCACCCCTCTTACCCACATTAGACATGACATTGTTCATACACATAATTGGAAGATATAGTATATTTTTACAATCATTTTTACTTTCTTTTATTATCATTTTATTATCATATATTAAAATTAAGTATAGTCCCTTCTTACACACAAATTTTAATTGATTAATTGATAAATAAACTGTCGAGACATCTATTATTTACTTTTTTTTTCTTAGGGACAGAAGACAGAAGCAGAGAAATACTATCTGAGAGCAATCCAGCTTGACCCGACAAAAGGAAACTGCTACATGCATTATGGTAAGAAAATCTATCTCTCTAGACTCTTTTGTATTTTTTTTCTTTCTTTCATTTTTCCCAGGATCTACCATTTTAAATAAAAAAACGTCCTTTTGAGGATTATATATAAAAACCTCAATAACTGAGAACCTTCTCAGCTTTTTGGGGGGGGGGGTAAAATACTGTACGGTGGTTAGGTTATGGATGGTTAGGTTAAATCATGAACCACCCAACCATCCATCCATTTTCATAACCGCTTATTCCCTAATCGGGCCGCGGGGGGACTGGAGCCTATCCCGGTTCCCCCGGGGATTCAATCCCACAACCCTCTTGCTGTGAGGTGATGATGCTAACCACCACCGTGCCACCCATCATGAACCATACCAGTGTAAAATGTATTTCTATCTGACTTCAGTTTCAAATCATACTATATTTAATCAATTTCTAGCTCTTGCAATGTTAACACTACACACTACTACACACCTGCTGCTTTTAATCATAGAGGCACTTAGGATTCAATTTATTACGCACTTGAGGACGAACTGAAAGCATGGATCTTCATGGTTAAATTAGCTTGAGTACCCCAGTTTGTGTGAGTATAATGTAGCTGGAATATAACTGGAAACATAGGCCTAAACCGCAGCAACACTGTGTGAAATTTAAATCTAATAATAATTTCCAACATGTTAGTGTAGTGTTTTTTATCCTCCCTCTGTTGCTAAGAACTTGGACTGATATTTGTTGGGTTTTCTTTCATCTTTAAATATTTTAATGATATTTAAATCATCGTTAAGATAACTGTGTTATAACTAAATGCAGATGTGTAATAATTAAATTTGCTGAATTATGCTAAATAATTGCTGTACTGCTGTTTTTGACACCCAATTTGAAAATTCTATTGGGCAGAGGGAGAATTTTCCAAAGGTTCCTTTCTGGCCCCGAAGATCGAACAGAGACTTCCAATTTCTGATTTCTTCTTTGATTCAATTTAATCTCAGTACTATTTGTGTGGCTTTTGCCTTAGTGTTTCGTTCAGTAGTGAAAGCGCATGAACTGTTTGAGCCTGTGTTCACGCCATCTGCACAACCTCACACAGACGTGCACGCTGGGTTTATCTGAATGAGGAAAAAAGATGACTGTTTACTATTCATGACAGAGCAAAACATGGCAGGGCTCCCCGTGTTCCGCCGTCGGGTCGGCATTTCATATCAGTTTGGAGGAACAGGCGCCTTGCTGCTCCATATTAATATCTCCAGGATATTCATAGGAAATTAAATCTGTCCTGCTTCAGTGAAAACGCCATTGTGCATTGTCCCTGTCGGCCCCCTACTTATCTCTCTCAATGCCTCCTGGCACTTTCTCTACCCCGGTATCTTTTGAATGGTCAGTTGTAGGCGACTGTTGCTGTCTTTGGACCAGGCTCTTTCCCTTTGTGAAACCCTTACAGTCTTTTCGCTATTTTCTTTTCAGGTCGTGTTATCTTATTGCCTATTGGTGTAGGTTATGTTTATTTGGGCTGCTCCCTTCATTTTTTTTGTTCTCAGATCTGTCTGCTTTGGCTGTGCAGGGGTCACTGGATGGGCTCCATGCTTGAGTGTATAAGGAGTGATGCTATCTGTCCTCATCAAAACATAAGGAATCCAGATTACAAAGACACACGTGTGGGAGAACACGTGGAGGTTGAAAGCCAAGACAAGGTCTTCTTTCCGTTCATTGTTCTCAGCGACACATTTCAGAATAAGCTGTCCTTCACACGACCTGGATGATGAACTCATTCAAGTGCAGTCAGAAACCAAAGGAAGAAAAAAAGAGGCCTGTTCATCAATAAAGCCTCCTCGTGCTTTTCCTTTTACAACCGGTAACATTTATTCTCAGGCTTGACGGAAAAATCAATTTTTAGTGCCACACGAGATGGACAAATACCAACAGATCCATTCCGACAGATTAATTACCTTCATCTCTGCTTATTGGCTGGCCGATTTTTCTTAAGCCTTGTCCCACTTCCATCAGCTCGCAACATGAAAACAAAGAAAGATTTTAGCAAAAATAAGGCAAAGTGGCAAAGCCTCTCTTTGCAGGGCACTGTGATGGATAATAGAATTTCCCCATGATGACTTCATTGAATTTATTCCGAAACAAATTCTTATGTGAAGGGTTTGCCATGATTTTGTAAGAAACAGCACCTGGTTTTGATACAAACATGTTAAAAATAGAAAAATGAATATATGATTACATAGTTTTTAAAGCCATTTAGTTATTTTCCTCCACCAAAGAGTCAGGAATCCCTTTTTGTGCCTGTGAGCGAATACCACTGCTAGTTCCCTCCACAAGAGTAAAGACCACCTGACTCAACTTTCTTTGCTGCATTAAGCGCTACTCACTCTATTAAAATGAACCCAAGTGATATGAGTTATCTTACTGAGAGCTGGAGCCCATTTTTCTGTTTATATTTATTCATGATTCTGTGAAATCACTTCCCGGAAAAGATAGAGTGTGTCCAGAATGATAAACCATTTCGTTTAGGTACTGATAAGCTTTCATGATTTTAAACCACTGCATTTGAAATTGTAAGACTGGATGTTGAACTTTGTGGTCAGTTGTTTGCCAAGTGTACCCCATCTGTCAAAATATTTAATTTAAAATGATGAATACGAACCCAATCAGAGGGAAGAATTTGCCAAAGTCATGATTGATGATGATAGAATGTTGTGGTGGTCCCGGTGTTCATATTTTATGTGTCTTATCTGTTGATAGATTAAGTCAGCAGTCTGTCAGCTAACAGGAAAAAGCTCCTGTCGATCTCAGAAGAGCGGAAATCCTCTGCCCTTTTTTTTTTTTCAAACGTTTCAGTAATGAGCAAAGTTTGTTCCTGAAATACCAAATCATTTTTCTTTCAATGTTGATTTTCGATAGGTCAGTTCCTGCTGGAACAGTCTCGTCTGGCGGAGGCCGCGGAGATGGCAGAGAGGGCTGCAGAGCTGGATAACTCGGAGTTCGATGTGGTTTTCAGCGCCGCTCACATGCTCAGGTCGGCTGAACTGCTCGTCCTTTGCAACACCACCTCAGAGTATCCCATCCCCAAAGAACACATAAAGAAAATGCAGAAATGTGGTATTTACTGCCTTGATTGTCTTGCTTCCATTTACTTTTAATGAGAGTCTGTTTGAAATGAATTTTGGTAAAATGTCCATTCAATGGAAAAGGAATTATTATATAGTATGCATATAAACAGCAACTCACTTTCAGTCCACCATAGTGAAGTTTCAGTCAAGGGCTTGTAAAAAGGCCACTGAAGAGTTTCCCCTCAAACTTTGGCAGGAACATGGACAGACAGCGTATAAATCTAAAAAAGTGTCAAAAGGGACTGCAAATGTCCTCTCTTCCCAGCCACTGAAGGGGGATATTTGACTGATGATCCGATCCCTAATTCTCTTTTGCTCTACATATCTGGTAAAGTCATTAGAACTCATTGCTATCCTGTCTCGCCCTCAAAGCATCAGCACAGAGGATTCGTAAAAAAGTTGAAAGCCTCTGTGTTCGGCTGAGGTTTGCTTTGGAACGTGTACGCATAAATCTAAATGACAGATCATTCTGCTCTGCTCTTACTGGGTATTTTCAGCCGAGACTCTTTATGACATAAATCCAAACAGATTAGGGTTTAATGACGTGACAAGTGCCTGTTGAAGCTGAAGCCGCTCGGCTGATAATGAAGATGAACCGGTCAGTCTGTGCAGCTGTTTGCTGGCCATAAGTAGGATGATAATAACTAAACAATCCAGTTAGATGTCAGTCTTACCAAATCGATATGCATGTGCTACACATTCATCTAAGTCCTGTAAAGGGAGCAGTAGTGAATTATGAAGTCATTTAACATCATTATTTGAGTTCTTTTTTTCATTATTAATGTTCTTTTTTAAATGATTTGGAATTTTTTTCTTTCAGGAAAATAAAGACATACCTTTCCCCGTGGATAACAATGTTTGCTTTAAACCTAACCTATCATTCATTTTTATCTGCAATTTAACCACTCTCTACTTTCCAAAACAAACCAAAAAGCAAAAAAGGACAGTTTGAGGGGTTTATGATATCATACCTTAATCCTGAGTGTACCATGTATTCTGAAGGCACATTTGACCTAAATTACGACCTTAAAAATATGAATTACTATGTTAGGATGGAATGATCTCCTCAAAAAGATTAACTTTGGTACAGCAAAGTGTGGTTCGTGTACTCTTTACTTTTCTGTATGGAGTAACTTATCTGTTGCTGCTTAATGTACCAGCTGTAGCACACGAGGGAGGACCCGAAGAATCAACAGCTTTCATTGCTCCCCATGTGTTTTTGATCAGGGCCTAAATAAAAACTGGGCGGTCAACTTTAAATTTAGTCCCCACGTGTCAAATCAGTGTACCAACACAAAATGAGACTTACCTTATCTCAGTTGTTTTAAGCCCACTTACCAAAGTGTCAGCCTGTCCCCTTTTTACTAATTTTATTTCATTTTATTACTCAGAAGTGTGTACATCGTTCCTGAAAAACAGTCCCTGTTTTGACCCAGTCAGTCTCTGACTATTTGTCTCAAATTATGAGTGGAGTCTTTAGTACTTTCATCAACAGTTAACGCTGTCAATTGATGATGAGCAGTAATTACAGCTATTTACAGGATAAGCACTTTTAACAATAAATGAATGCCATGACAAGCGCCGGTTGCCATTAAAATGGCATTAGTGCTAATATAAATGACATGATTATGCGCACATCTTTTTTTTTACCCTGCGTTCCTCTTCCTCCACAGACAGGCCAATCTGAACGAGGCAGCGGAGAGGCAGTACGAGCGTGCAGCCAGCCTCAGACCAGATGTGAGTACCTGCAACCGTTTGCACTCTTCATAGGAATGCAAAGGCGATTTTTGGCATGCAACACATCACCCATCATGCTGACATTATGTAATAGCCCTGTTCCCGGTAAACAGCACTGAAGATGAATGTTTGTGGAACAATCTGCCATGATTCGCTTCACATGAAACAAAAAAAAAGAAGTCCAGTTGATGCTGAAGTCACACGCTTGGCTTTAGAGTAAGCACTCGATTATCTCTGTGTAGTTGAACAGATGAGCCTTTGGAGGGATATCGTGTTTCTACATGTAAGCGCACAGTTTGGGAGCTAGTGTGTGCCGTTTTTGCCTCCTGTGCAACGGTCCCACTTCAAAGCAGGAGGGTGTGTGGAGGTGTGTTGCACCAGAGGTCACTCAGAATGACAGGAATACGACCTGGTGGGAGCTTCCTGCAGTGATTTGTTATGCTTGGCTCATTTGTGCGGATCTGCTCTTTGACTTATGCAGGGTCACAGTGAAGCCGGTTTAGACCATCACGTTTCCACCGTATTAATCAGTGTTATATTACAGAGTCTCCGAACCTTTCCCGTCTGAAATAAACCCCTTCTGATCTGTCAGATGAGCTCAAGCGCGCCCTCGTTTACACCACATGTTCCTCCTCAAATCTAATCATTTGAGACTTGTCTGTTTGTTAGAGGAAGCTTTCTATCAGAAAGCTAAACTGCTGTACAGTTTTTTATGACGTATCCCAACAACGAGCTGCTCTCAGCCTTTGCTCCTTTTAGATCTGCCTGTGTCTAGCTTAAAAGAAAAAAGAAAAGAATAATGCCTGTGTGATTAATTAGAAAGACTGTTTTTAATGTTTTGTATTGTTTTGTTAAATCAAAGTCAGAATAATTCGGTCAGAAATCCCACAGCGTTCCTGACAGAGTGAAGTCTTCTCTCATCGTTTGTCAGATTGAGAGCGCCTTTTATTATTTTCCTACTGATGTCTGTGGACCCTCATTCTCATATCTCAGCTGAAGCTAGTATCTTTCAGGTCATTAAGGTTTTAGCTTCACGTTTTTCTTTAAGATAGAAAACATTTCTTGTCACAGTGTGACGTCACATCCAAAATAAGGTGTGTCATTAATCTGCTCTCATCCCACTCAGGGGACAGGTTTTCAGTACAAAAACAGGACTCATTGGATTATGTTACCTGTCCAAGATTTTACATAAACAGAGATTTTAATGTTCCCCTGATCACTCTTCACTTGTTTGACAATACAGAGGGATCCTCATTTATCTGGCTTAGCCCTATACGCATCACCTTTTGTGCAAAGCTCTCACTTTATTTTACAAAGTACAAGAAGAGCTTTATCTTTGGATTCATGACATTTTTTAAATAGCTCGATTTCCTGTGGTTAAAATGAAAAATGAATTAGATTCTTTAATGTAAAAGTCACATGAACTAAATATAATTGTTTCTTTCATTATGTTATACCTTTGTTAAAGCAATAGAGTGCGTTGAGTAAACTGTAAATAGTCTGAGAACCCACAGTGATCTTTAACTGGCATTGTCTTAAACTCAAATAATGTTATTTCTTTAATTCTTGGAAAGCTGATCGTCTCTAAGCCCTTCTTTTAGGCACAGCCTTGTCACAAATATTGTTTTTTAACATATAACAGCTAACATTTAAGGGAATGGTTCGTAATGGCTGGCGCTGGCACCATTACAGCAGGTAAACATTCCAGCTCTGCACAGGCTCACTTCTTACTTTAGGTGAGAAAAATCGGCTCTCAGAACTAGCCATCTTGAAAAGCGGAATGTAAACCAGTGAAATATCATTAATGAGAAGAGAGCAAAGGTTGTTTTTAGGGAGAGAAAATTTCACTGAACCAGCTGCCAAATGGTTGACCATACGTCATGCAGAGTGGACGCGGGCTGGGACCCGGGCCAGACCCGGGGGATGAGGTGCAGACCACTTCTAGGAGGAGATTTGGGTGTGTTTGAACGATACGTCTGTCTATGACTTGGAGTTGTTGATTCCCACCCTTATTTAAGTCCAGATGGTTTCATTTAGCATCTTTTTTTTAAAAAAGATGGCTTTGTGATGAATGACGCCTCAGAAACACTCCTGTAAAAGGGCTTGTTCTTCCACACCGGGAAATATACTGAGTACTGGCCTCCAGCCAATCTGTGGCCACCTTTTTGCTTCAGTGTGACACTGTCAAAGCACATGCTTTTGTCCTTGGCCGTTTTTGTTAGCATGATATAGCCCTATGGGCATTTAGATTAATATTTCATATGGTTGCCCTAAGGACGATGATCCTGTAACATAACGACTCGTATGTCCCTCTCATTTCATTGGGCGCCGCCTTTGATGTTTAACCTGCTGTTTCATACATTTTCTCCGTTTTTTTGTTGTTGTTTTTTTTTAGTACCCAGCTGCTCTGATGAACCTCGGCGCCATTCTCCACCTGAACGGAAAACTCCCAGAGGCAGAGTGGAACTACCTGCGGGCGCTCCAGCTCAAACCCGATGACGTCATCACCCAGTCCAACCTGCGGAAGCTGTGGAACATCATGGAGCGGCAGGGGCTCAGGACTAAGGATGGGCTCGGAACGCAGAGGGACGAGCTATAACCCAAGTTACAGCACTGTTCCCTCATGGAAACTCTGAGCAGAGAAACTTTGTCTCGGCCTGCGATGCTCCGAAGGACGCTATTGGGTCGCGTGGACAGTTTCCCGCCGGACACCCCCAGTGCCAAATGATGGCTCGGATTACCACAACTAGAACTGCATTCTTCTGTAAAATATTCTTAACAGTGGAGTCCACAAAAACACTCATATCAGCAGATTATTATTTGCCTATAACTTAAATCTTGCGCATCTGTGAAGCACTTAAAATGAATTATAAGCCAACTATTGTGCGTCCTCTGTAATACCAGGCAGGGACACACAAACAGTTTCAACTGCAAGTCTTGGTGAGAAATTACAGCACCTTTGAGGAAAAAGGAAAATGGATTTTTGTTGCTGTTTGGGGCTGAAAATACCAAGTTACAATAATGTAGCATTTTTATTTTAGCTGGCAGCTTGATGGCATCTAATAATTTCATGGACAGCTGAATGAGTGGAGGTTAAGGGAGTTGATCCGGGCTTCAGGATATGAAAAAAAGGAAACCTCCACCTCTTTGTTTAAAGTTTTTAAACAAAAGTCATTAAAAGCATGCAAGTACACATTATTTGACATTGCTTTCCGATACAGTGTTGTGCAGTGCCACGGTCCACAAGGACTCATTACTCATGTTCTGTTGCTCAGAGGGTTTTGTTGCACTGGGGCCACTATGAACATTTAAGCCTGAAAACAATAAAGGAAAATAGCTCGAGAAGAGCTCAACAGCCGTGCCAAAGCTTGCGCTGAGTCGTCACACCTCTCGCGCCAAGCAAGAACTGTTACTCATGTGTCATGTTCCTCGTGTCAAATGAAAATGTGTTGTCATGTGACTCAGATTTAATTTATTAATAGGTGTTTATTCATGTGAAAATGCCTTGTCATGTCAGGCCAGCCTCCCTCCTCCCTCCAAACAGGCCTCAGTAGACAACTTGCCGTTTCCCAGGAAATATTTTTCTACATGTGCGGCGTCTTCCTCTCTGCTCAGGGACATCAGGTTGTGATTCCTGCGACACAGAGAGCGCTTTGTAAAATGTTGTAAGATATTTGCAGTTTTTTTTTTATTACAGTGATGTTTGTTTAAATTATAGAAATTGTGTAGCTGAAAATATGCTGTGTTTTTGTAAAAAAGAACAGTGAAGCGTTTTCCAAAATTAAAAGATTTTTTTTCTTTTCTTTTCTTTTTTTTTTTTGCTCCGCTGAGTGTTTCAGTCCGGGAAACAGCAACACCTGCCCTCGTTGAAGGTGCTCCGATATTTCAGTGACTGCAGGGCCCTGAGAGTCAGGATCTTGGCAGCGTTCCAGTCGCTCCGTGCAGCCATACATCAAGCTGTGCGCAGCAGCGACTGGGGAGTGTCGGAGCGCTGTGAAACTAAAAAGCATGCAGGACCCCGGCCATTCCTGTGCAGCTGGGGCCTTTGTAGTACGCCCCTGTCCCTTTACAGTTGTCAGGAAAGATGTTTAAAGGCTGAGCTTTGAGCTAGAAGAGATATGAAAAACTGCAGGGTAAAAGAAATTCCAGATAATTTTAAAAAATAGTGAGTTTCTTTGTTGCCAAATCCCATAAACTCATCATTCAAACATGTGGACGTTTAGTTATTGATGTAAATCAATAGCACAATGCATCTCACTGTTTTTGCTCAACATCCAAGAAAACAAAGGACATTTAGGATTTTTTAAAAAGAAAATATACCATGACTTTCAAAATGTGATCAGCTATAGCTTTTTAGTAAAGTCTATTTAAAATATACATGCAAAATAAGCATCAAAATGTAATGTGGAAGGTAATATTCACAACAGAGGACCAGAAAATCTTCCAAACAAGTACAAAGAGCTGACTTACACGTGTCTCTTGAGACAGATGGGTGACAAATGAAGGAGAAACCCGTAAGACGTCATGCTTAAGGTTCATCCATAAATCTGTCACTTGTGCTGTCTGAGCTAATTAATAGCAAGCAGAGGCCCGATAAACAGTCTGTTGTGTGCTGCATTTGCAATTAATTACTGCAGTCAAAAACAAGTCTAAACACACTCAGTGTTGGGAGGAACATGGGAGGAATCCTGGAGTCCATGTGACCTTGTCTTGGGTTGACTTTCTTTCCTTGTTTAAAGCAATAAAAATGAATTAAAAGACTAAATGCAGCAGAGTACTCAACAAAACATGGAATAAGGAGGAAGTGTCATAAAAAATTTGGAAATGTTAAAATAATTTGGTCCCATAAACAGCTCTTGATGTCATTAGAAACAGAGCTGAGAGAAACAGTGAGTCTTTTATCCCATCAGTAACACAAAGGCATGCGAAGGCACTAATTAGAGCGGCTGTTCTCACAATCTCCACATGTTGATATCATCCGATCAAGCAGACATCAAAGAGTTTGCAATCACAAGCTAGACTAGGAGCACATGAAGCTATAAATATTTAAAAAGAAAGGAAATCTGACTCACTTACTGACTTGCATAAACTTCCAGCTGTAGTTTCTAACAATTTTTGGCTTAAAGTGTGCACAGTAATTCAGTATGACGGTGTGAGGATGTTATCTGATAAAGAAGAATAGCTGACGGAATCAAATTTGTTTGAAATATCATCGGAAATCCAGAAATTGTGCCCACAGGTATGATGAAACCCTTCTCAAATGGTCTGCTGATTCACTCCAGTGATATGCACATGAAATGTGTTTAAGAGCACAGGTGCTCTATTACCAGCAAGGCAAGGCAAGTTTATTTGTAAAGCACATTTTGTGTACAAGACAATTCAAAGTGCTTCACAAAGAATCTAAAAGCAGAAAAACAAGATAAGAAAAATAAATAAAATTAGACGGATATAAAAAGAAGGGTGCAGATAAAATACATTCAATTTCCATATGCACAGTCATTGTTACGTATAGGCCAAAGAAACCACTGTATCCTATAAGCATTTTTTAGAAAAAGCAGATGGAGGACTAACGTAAAGTTGCTTTCAAATTCTCTCCACTTTTCCTAAATGGCAACATGAAAAACAGCCACATCGTTTTAGTTAATCCTATTTGAATAGGGCGTTTACACTGGTGCAGGGCTGGATGATCCAAAACACACGCTGTTCAAACTTTATTAGCCAAAAGAGCAAATTGATGCTGCCTAAAACTTGATTATCACTTAATCTGAATATCTAAAACGTTGAGATGGAAACTTCCTTTTTAAAACTTGCAATTTAGAAACACCATTTAGAACACATAAGAATTCCATTCCCAAGTTACTGGTGAGCTGCAGTCTAGTCCTTCGAAAAGAAGTGAGGTAGATTATTCACAGATACAGAAAATACAGAATTCTTTTTGCAACTGAAGTTTATTTAAACCCAAATTAAACTAATTTAACTTTGTCATATCAATTTGGATTACATACATTTTTCACTATTGAAAAAAGGTGGATATCTACAGTTGTACTAATAATCAAATGTTAAGAACCACTAAATGTTATTTTTACTTTAAAAAAACATATTGAAATTAAGCATATTTTCAGTATTTGTCATTTTATATCTGTGCATTTAACCTGACAGCTAAATAAGTTGAGGTATTAAAGCCTTTCCTGAGACAACAGTGGCCTCTGCTGACAGCTTCATGAAACTGATTTAGCCCATTTTCACAGATATTTGGGTGTGAAATGGTGGGAGATCTGAATGAAGCTTTTCTTTTCCATATGGAGGCTACTGTCTTCATGTGACAGACTTTGCACTGTATTAACTCTGAGGGTGAATGTTGCCATCACTGATTTGGAAAATATGCACCAAATAGTTTTAAATATTTTTTTCTCTCAAAAATATATATATATATTTTTTTTTTTAAACATATATTACAATATTATGCTACATTGGTGGGAAAAAACATATATATATATGCTGTTGAACATTGCAATAAAAAACCTGTATCCAGGCAGTTTGAGGTAGATATTCCACACAGGTGTCATGTCATGTGTACTGAATCATATATTCTGGATATATTTGATTTGGATCAAATATAACGACCATTTTAGGGTGATTGAGATCATCCACGCAGCTGTCGTGCGAATTTTCAAGACCTCCATGATCAGGTTTTTGAAAATGACGCTGTCCTAGAGTTGATTTCCCAACCATCACTCGAGCCAAAAAAAGTATTTTGGATGTTCCAGAGTGCCTTACAAATGGCAGTGGTGATGAATCAGAGCTTATGGAACTGTATTTGTCTGCATAGGTTGCATGGGTAGCAAAATATATACCTAGATTAAAAGCAAAGAAACTGAAATCAGTTGAGGAGACAAAAATGATTTTCTATCATTCGTAACATATGTATAACAGCCATCTCAGTTATCTCACCTTTTCCATACACATGACCATGTTGACCAGCTAACCTTAAATCAAAATTATACTTGCAAATGCTGTCAACATTGCTCATGTCCGTTCCATGGAAAAGACGCCTCTCTTGAATCTGACTGACGCCCCTAATCCTCTTTAGCTGTATTTTTTTCCTAATGGAAAAAATAAAGAAAACTCTTTTTTTTTGTTGCAAAAACATTGCGAACATGATGATCAGAGTAGAAATAACTCACCTCAAAAGACTTTTCTTACCTGCAATACATTTCCCAGAGGTCCACATTTTGTATCCTATAAATTGAAACGATGGGTCTGACCAGAAGCCCGCCAACTTTCACATAATTTGCCACAGTCCAATGCTCAGGGGTCGATTCTTCCAAAGGGACCAGCTTTAAACCAATGAGACACAAACACACACATATACAGAGCATGAGTCGAAAAAAAGGTCGCAGCCACTGATCACTACATTTTGAAGAGGTAAAAATAAAGTTCACCCAGTAATCCAACAGCTGTAATTATTGAATTTAATGATAGACTCACCAATTGCTTTCTCCTCCTCTCACACACATGAATATATAATATGACTTTTTGTAATCCGGTACATCTTCAAAAGGTTCTCTGTACGTGTGAAAAGCTTTATTCCAGTTCTTAAAACTAGATGAATACATAAACTATATAACTATTTAGTTTGCAGACAGAATAGATCCAACAACTAAGTGATTGTACAGCTGTTTGGAAAAAAATAATTATGCACTGATTTATAGAAATAGTGGTACAGTGTTGCCTGACTGCTTTTAATGCTGTGGTAATAGAGCAAACAGTACTTTGCACCCACCAGGGAAAGTTTCAGTACCAGGAAACTCAACGACAAGTAGTCATCAGACAAGTTTAAGCTCTGATCATACATTCTGTGCCTATGTGCCTTTTAGAAGCTTTCTGTCATTATCACCTGGTATGGAAGCTTGGGATCAATTGATTCCCAGAAGATGGGTGCTTCACTGAAACAGGAGCAGCTGTGGAAGGGAGGGCAGAAATCAGCGTCAACGCTGACGACAGTTTCACTTTCACTTTTGAAGAAACAATACTAAAATGACTGTGCTGTCGATAAGATCCTCTCCCGTCTCTCACTTTCTTTCAATCTTGCAGCTCCGTTTGATTCGTCTTTGCTCTCCTGTGCTGAGGTTAGTCTGCAACATAGCTGCAAAGGAGAACAAACCCTAAATTAAGGGCTTACGGAAAGTCAATCAAAAGCTGAGAATGTGAGGGTGTGCAGATACCAGAGAAATCAATCCTGCTTATGCTGCCGCTTGAATGCATTGTCAGAGTTCCCCTTGGGTCAAGCAGGTAATAATTCTCAATATCCCCATTCCTGAAGGAGTTGTTAGGGTCATGCTAAAGAATTGGGAAGCAATACGAGGAGGTAAGGTATCTCTTAGGTTAGGTCTGCTTTATGAATTAAACTGTTCTGTGGAGAAAAACAGAAAGCAGCTCACCTCAAACAGATGCCATCTACCACATTCCTCGAGGTAATACCAAAACCACGGGGTGTCGGACGTGTCCATGGGTTCCACCTCTTCATTGCCACCCATTTTTCCAACAGACAGAATCTAAAAGTGCCCTTCCCTTCTCTGCACAGGTGGCCACTGAAGCTGGCGTTTGTGCTCACGATTTGTGAGTCAAAGTCACACCCCCTGAGGTAGGCCGGCTTTTCAGACTGAAAACTTTCACACTCTTCCTGTTTTACAGATGCTGAACTCTGTAAGCGCTCACTGGAGAGTTTATTGACTTGTAATGTGCAAATCATAGACAGACACATGGTTTCATACACTCTGCTACTGTGCTACTGGCGACAGGTGCTTTCATTCACACGGAGGGAGCAGACACTTTCCTAATCTGATCAGAATATAACAGTTACAGTTAATCCAACCAACGCACAATGCTTTTTCTTTGTGGGATTGTCTTTAGATGTACTTCTTGCAGTATTATTATTTAATGAGAAAGGTTTACACAAGGTGCAAAAACAACTTGCTCATCCCTCTGTTAGCAGACTGGATTTCTAATTTGAGGCTAAACAGAGTTTTCACTTAAAATGAACATAAGCTGCACAAGCTTAACAACAAAAATACTGTCGAGCTCAGACAGAAGTCAGAAAAGATACACTTAATGCTCCGGGGCGACAAGTGAACACAACATCACAACTTTATGTCATTATGACAATTACACAACCTTTCATGGAAAGGATCAAAAGTGCAAAATGCATGGTTCAGGAATGTAGAGGTAGGTTTTTCATGGGAACAATAAAACAAAAAACAACAAAGCGTATATACAGACGTTTGGCAAAGAAAAACATAAAACAGAACTATTTTCCCTTTACAGTGAGGAGATTTGGCAGCGGTAGAGTCGGGCATTTGGTGCCATTATTTGGGCTCTCTGTAACATTAATGCAATCCAACCAAAACACCTCTAGAACAACGTGTCTGCCATCAGACACAAACCGGTGGCACAACTTGTAGTAGCATGATTCTGACTGCCCCTTGCAGAGTAATGCATGCTGGAGCGGTTTGAGCAGTCCTGGTGCTTTTTTCTCATCTGTCGGCGAACTGAAGTTCATCGTACTAGATAAAGACATATTCAGAAGTCACTAGCCGGCAGCTAATGGCACAAAGAGGGTGATAGGAACGTCCTTTTAAACATAAGCGTATGTGTGGCACTACATATGGAACAAGACCATTCCAACAAACACCCCACAGTATACTGTGCCGTATAAAAGCTGTACACAATGTCGCTACTGTCCTCATGCTTCTTCAACGTCTCAAAAGGCACTTCGGATGACCTATGAGCTAAATACCCCCCCCTCCCTTTCATAATTCCTCCGTGTTAGAGCCTTATTTAAAAAGTAGACAGTGAAGATTCTTGTTAGGCATCAGTAGAACTCAATCAGGTACTCGGGGTAGATCTGATTGCTGTCAAAAATCACGTAGATCTTTGGATTGGCCATATCGTCCACGCAGCTGTCGTAAAAGTTAGTGAAGCTGGCGTCCTTAGAGGGCGGTCTGCAGTACATGGGATGACCGACAGTGTACTCCCCAACGAGCACTCTGGCCAGGAACATGGTCTTATAGGGCGGCTCGCTGGCGAATATAGGCGGCGCGAGTCCGTGTCTCTGTAAGGTGGTGTTGTGTTTCCCTGTGGTGTGGCAGAACTTACTGGAATACTTGGCATCCCGGGCAAAGTAGCTCCCTGCAGGAAATAAGGATTGAGCGAGGAGTTAAAAAAAAAACAAGAAGCATGACTGGGAATCTAGTCATGATGCAACACCACAACACAAAGGGTTGTACCTTTGCCATAAACATCGCCATGACTTCCTGTCAGACGCCAGTCAAAGTTAAATGTACATATAGCTTGTATGTTGCTGTGTCCTGTGCCATGAAACAGCATGCGCTCCTCAATATCCAGAGTTCGCTTGACTTTTCGCAACTGTGTTTTCTTCCTTAGAGGAAAACACAACACAGAGTATGTCCTCTAATTCACAAATCACATCCACCTGCAGAGATTTGCTAGAAACCACAAAACGACTGACTTCTGTGAGCAAAGACAAACTCGGGGTGTTTTCCAATTTTGCAAAAAAATTTAAAAAATATAGAAATACTATTGTTTACTCTAACTGAAGCAGCTCAGCACATGAAAGGGTCTGACAGCCTGAAAGCTAAAATCAATTATTGATGCAAATGTGAAAAAGGAACAGCAGAATCCTCCGCTCACAGCAGAGAACACCGTGGAGAATTAGAAACCAAACAACTCTCTACCTGCAGAAGAACTCCCATAAGTCCAAGTTCTGGATCCTTTGGATGGATTTGATTGGATGATCCATTGTTCTTTCGTACAATCTGGCTACTTCTTTAAACTCATATGTATCTCTGCCGAGCTGGATGAGCTGGGAAAACACAGTCGGACAGAAGTGAGTGAAGCTATTTGAGAAACAGCTAATTATATTGGCGCTTCGGCACATCTGGTCACAAATGTGAAGCTCCACATCTGTATTTGTGATGACATCATCCCTTTTACGAGAACTTGAAAACCGGGACTGACTTACCAGCTCAATAACCACTATAGCGTCATGTTAGCATGAATAATGTCACCAAAACCAAGCAAAACATGACAGCAAACACAAGATCAATTTTTCAACAACATATTCTTACTGTTCGTGCTCTATTTATAAGAGCTATGTGTTTTGTGATTCTTCTTCCCTTAATTCACACCGACAAACTTAAATGCACAACAACTTAATAAGTCATAGAAAAACCAATATGGTCCTTCTTAATTCCACTACATGTGTGCAACAGAAAAATACATTTTTTTAAAGTATACATTTAGTCACCTGGTAGGGTTCATCTGTATTGATTCTCTCCCAGTGACAGGGAACAGGTAAGGCCAGATTATCACAGATAAACCTGACAAAAAAGGAAAAGTGAAAGTAAAAAACAGAGGATAGTAAAAATAGTATGTCATTATTATATAATAATAAGTCAAAAATTTAAACTTGCAAAAAGAGAAAAAACATTTCGACAGCAACCCTGAAAACTGTTGATCACTTCAATTTTGAGAGGTTCAAATTCAGGTTTAGGAGGAGAGCAACTGCCTGACAAAACCATGAAGATGTCATAACTGTAATTTGTGAAGCATTGTCTTTCTTCCCACAGCCTTCAGCCATTGAAAATCTCTTAGGGATTTCCTCTCTTGTAGTGGATAAGAAAAAAATATCTACCAAATCCCACCTGAAGCCAGTCGCAGAGTGAAGGGAGCGTTTGATTGGTCGCTGCTTCCCCGTTGTTACATTTATCTGTCGCATAACTGCAGAAGGATGGAAAACAAAATACATGGATTCTTATTCATACTCTGCCAGACCGGGTTTATTTAAACGAGGGTCTCTAACACCTTACCAGAGAAGTCCAGTCGGTATGTGTACTTGGCTGTGTAGAACTCCATGACCCCACGCTGGTTCCTGTTGTAGCACTGCTCAATCTGAGCACTGGTCACTGAGCAGGCTGCACTGGGGTCAATCTGACAGAAAAAGGGATCAGTCTGGACTTTTAGACGTTTTTAAGAATGGTTGGACCAAATATCAGCATTTAAAAGTCATAAACCACAAGCAACTCCAGTCTGTAACATTGATTGCTCTGCTCTTTGATTTGCTGCCATGTGCTCTTCTTTAAAAGAAAGATGCTGGGGATACCTCAAACATATGCCACACTCCACACTCAGCCAGGTAGAACCAGCACCAGTTGGGCTCTGAGGTGTCCATCTCCTCGATCTCAGTGGACTCCTCCTCTGAAGATCTGATGGCTAACATTGCTAAATCTGAAATCAACACAGGCGAAACAGAAGCCATTCAGAGGCAAACACTAACCTACATCACATGACAGAAAGGCTGATGGGTGACCACTGCACTGGGCAGACAGACCTAAGGTTGAGGAACAGTGTTTAAGCCATAGTCCCGACTGCATTGCATCCTGTGAACAAATTCATACAGCATAGAAAAGTGCCATGTCGAGCTAGCTGTTTCTTCTTTTCTTTTTTCAGCCGCCGCACTCGTTTCCTCTCAGCTCTGAGGTTTTGCTACCGGGTTTTTAGTCGGCCACTAAACAGGTTTTGCTTTTCTGAAATATGATGCCTTCGTACAACATCAATGCAACACCAGATAAATCACAGAGTTGGTCAACGTTAGGATGACTCAATATCATTTTCCTCTTGGTATCCGTTGTTTACTTTTATTTCCTGGTTCGTCATATAACAAACGTGACTGCGTTACGCCTCTGCGTCACGTGGGTCGCTGTGACCCAGAGTTTGACTTGGCAGGTACAGAATCAATCGCGGTCATGAATTTTAGCAAACTTTGGATTTTAAGATTTGTCGCTTCGAAAAACGAGCAACAGATTAAAGTTTGTAAAACAGTTGTTAACCAAGAGTGAGATACAACGTATTATAGTTCAAAGGGTGTTTCAAAGCATCTCTGTCAACTAACGACTACGCCCCCCAGAATTATTCTAATGCATTCTCTATATCATAATATATCATTATCATATCATATAATTTTTTAAAGCATTTTTAAATGCATTTGCAGATGCATGCTTTTAATGACTTTAGCCATTTTTCTTGCATTGGCGATTCTTTTTCCCCAACCTAGTCTGTAGCGTTTCTAAACGTTAATCCAGCCTCCCCGAGCCTCTCTGTGGACAGTCTTCAGGACACACCCTCTGTAGAATAAAGCTTTTCTTTTTTCTTGAAACCTAACTCAGACGGTGAAGGAATTTATTGAAAGCACACTGGTGAGTATCGTTCATTTAGTTTCTGTTGGATGTGACCTTTTCGTTTGATTTAGATTTTTCAGCACAAATAAGATCAATTCTGGCATGCATTCAGTTATCAGCCTATTTGGGAGTCTGATGGTTTTTGTCAGAGTGACTTGTCAGTGTTTTTTTTTCTTTTAGGGGGGGGTGGGCGGTTGCATAGAATTGGCTTCAACTCACCACAATAACTGATTCAGCCACTGATTGAAACATAAATATCTGAAACCACATCAGCAGGTATAGAGGAGGAAGCTGGAGATGATGCAACAGATGTGCATTTAAATGGTATTTTCTCTTGAGCTGACTGTAATAGGGGGATCATGGCAGAGGAAACAGTGAGAGGGGCCCCTGCTGAAGATTGTGGGCAGGATAAACAGGCTCCTGACGAGGGGGTCCAGCCGAGGGGGAAATGGGCCAACAACACAGAGTTCCTTCTCTCAGTTGCTGGAGAAATAATTGGCCTTGGAAACGTTTGGCGCTTTCCCTATCTTTGCTATAAAAATGGAGGAGGTGAGTGACACATTCAATGCCTTAAAGCACATTTTCTGTACATTTACATGCATGAAATGCATGTAAATAATGAAAGCAAACACATGTTGATCACAAATGGTGTAAAGACGTTAACAGACAAATGTATCCTCCGTACTGTTGATTATTTTATAGGAATATTTGTTTGAGTATGAGTCATCAGCATGGCAATAATTAAATGTTCTCTTACTTCCTGTATCCAAACCAATGAGTTTTATTGTGAATTTCTGTGTTTTTAGGGGTTTTCTTTGTCCCGTACTTTGTGTTTCTTTTCTTTTGTGGCATCCCTGTGTTTTTTCTGGAGACGGCGTTGGGCCAGTACACCAGTGAGGGTGGGGTCACTGCCTGGAGGAAGATCTGCCCCATGTTCGAGGGTAAAAACAAGGCTCAACCATGCTGTACAAGTCATCAAACCTTAACAATACATCTATTATGCACTCACTGTCATGCCTCTCCCCTTCTTATCTATAGAGAAGGAGGGGATGCAAATAATACTAAGTGGCTTTATAGATTAGATTTTTGGTTAGTTAGTTAGTACTTATGGTTTATGATTTATATGAAATGCAGATGATAAACCAACTTGAAACGTATGGCAGCATGTCCATCTCAAGTGTTACTATTGCTCAATAGGAAACAGAAACCAAAAACTTTCACTATAACTGTGGAAACTCACTTCCTCTGCAGGTATAGGGATTGCATCCCAGGTGATTGTGATCTATTTGAACATTTACTACATTGTGATTTTGGCCTGGGTTATCTTCTACCTAATAAACTCCTTCAAAAGCCCTCTGCCTTGGTCGACATGTGACAACAGCTGGAATACTGGTAAGTTCAACCTGTAGTTGCATGTATGTGCCTCTTGTTTGAACATGTTTAATTTGACATAATACGTTCTCAGATCTGTTTAACTTCCAAAGAGATTAACATTAATCTGACTTAAACCTTGCATATCCTCACCTTTTTAGAATACTGCCATAGTCGCTTTGGTGTCTTTGCCAACCCGGACCTGTTTCGACCTGAGTCTAATTGGTCTTTCCTGAACAACTTCACTTCGCACGAAAGCTTTGAGAACTACAGTTACCTGTAAGTTGCACCTTTGAATTGCACCAGGTAAATTGTTAAACTTCATCCAGTATGGCTGGAATTAATCATGATGATGGAGACTCAGAATTATCATGTTCAAAACTTAATTTAAATAGTTAATTTTTTTGTTGAAATGGCAGAAGAAGTGTTAAGTGTTATTTGAAAAAAGAACAGAGAATGTGAAGTTGACACCTTGTGTTTTGAAGTTTTATGTTTTGCTTCCATGGCAGGTTGGTCTTTTATATATAGGCTAAGTGGATCATGTTTTTTAAGTGCAGGCAACGAGATAAGGCAGATATGCCTCATAACTGAAAAGTTCTAGTCAGTTCCTGCCCTTTTAAGCAGTATATAGACATGCAAAAGACAAATAAGGTTTCAAGGTTCCTTTCTGTCTTTTTAAGCTAAAAAAAATGAGCAAGGATTCTTTAATAAATTAGATGCCATCAGAACACCTGCTTGAAAATTTGGAGCTTTTACACTCACGAAACCACAGCTGCACATGAGCTTTTTTGGATTTGTATTTCTTAAACTTCCATAAATTACCCCCGTTCCGTCCAAAGAGATAGTCTGTGATGTGTAAGAATGTGAATGAATTGTCAGGGTCAGTAATTCTGTCCAGTGAAGGGATCTGTGTTGCGTTTTTCATTGCACTGCAACACAGTTCAATTTCTCTATGCAAGATCTATTCACTTTAATCTTTTCCATCTGCATGCATTCCTTTTTGCCCTCGGATTTGACCATTTTCAGCAAGTATTCAGCTAAATAAAACAAAAGGACCTCAGACAGCTTGTATGGGTAAACTGGTGAGCATTCCTCACCATGGTGCCCATGTCCCACCATAATGGGATGCACACACTTTCCATATGTATTACGTATTGTGAGTGTAAGAATAGACTTCCCCAGCAGTATTTCTGCATATCCATTCAATCATTATTGATAGTTATGTCAGCGATATTGTTCAGGTCTAAAAACATGCTGGCAACACAGTGGAATCAGTTGTTCTCAGTCTGTCTGTCTGATATGATAACTTATAACTTAACCTATTTCATATCAATTCACATTTGTTAATTTTACTTTTCTATTTGTAGCAATGATACCGCACTATCATTCAACCCACCTGAGGAGGAGTTCTGGAGGTGAGAATAAGGCCCTTTAACTCCCATTCTGCTACCTCACAGCTTTAACACATTTGAACATTAAACAGAGAACATCAGGTTTGTGAAAAAAAGATTTGTTTTTCGTGGCACTCTTGGGTTTTGCCCAAGTTTTGCAAAGTTGCTGTTGCCTGGATTGGACAGGTAAATATCACAGAGAAAAAACAAACATTTTTCACTGAAATGTTTGGGAATGAAGGTCTCAGAAGACTATGTTTACGTGTTATGTTTTATGTCTCCTTTTGCATTTTGTCAATTTGTTTGCCCCAAATTCTTAAGAGTCCACATTTAAAAGGTTAGGTTGATAGTATGTGGCTGGACCATTTAAATGTTCCTTGTTTAGGATTCATACCTGCATAGTCTGCTTTAACCAGGCTAAACTGATTTACACATGCATCCACTTCAAACTGATAATTGTGCCATCCTTGCCATTGGATTGGCCCTTGAAGAGAACATTCCCCTACAATAGTTCTTTAATGCTTACCATATTAAGAGTTAGAATAGTCTTTGTGTCCTGAGTTAACCAACAAAAGGTGCTGCAAAGCCATCCAAACACAACAGGGAAATTAAGCCAGATGCATTCCTCAGAAGCCACAAAAGACTATTCAGATTGCCTCATTCAGCCTCTAACTTTGATTAAAAATGCTTTTTTTAAAATGTGATTCTTAGATATTTTGAAATGTGTATGCTGCTCTTCACATGATGACCTTCTGATCTGGTTTGAGAGCAGATGTTGGGAAATCCCTCGGCTATGATGAGAAAAACATTTCTTCTTTCCCCTGCAGGTTTATTGCATGAGCCAGGGTCATCCAAAACAAACATGAAATGGTTCGAACTATTACATTTATAATCAGACGTTTAGAAGTTTGTCTCCCCAGTCACGGTTAGATTAATCGAAGCGTCACGTGAATGTATGGTGTCTCACATGTTTTCTCCTTAAACTTGTCTTTATTTGTAGCAAAAGAAAGCTGTCACGAAGGACATTTTTTATGCATCATGTTGTATTTTGCTGAAAAGGTGTTAAAGTATGACTATATGTGTCGTTCCTTTACAGAAACCGTGTATTAAGAATGTCAGAGGATATGTCCATGGGAAAGGTGCACTGGGACCTGGCTCTTTGTCTCCTTTTAGCGTGGGTTATATGTTACTTTTGCATTTGGAAGGGAATCAAAACCACTGGAAAGGCAAGTTTTTGTCTTTTGTAACTTTTTGATGAAGAATGTTGAGTCTTTTATGATATTCTCAATCATCCTCTTTCATTGCTCTCATTTGTAAGCAGCTGCTCATCATTCAGCACACTAAGCCAGTTCAGTTTGTCACAATGTGACACAGATGAATGAGATGATACAAAGATCTTTTGCAATTTTTTGCAAACCCTCCACATGCATGACCCGCATATTGACAAAGCAAGACTAAGATACTTCATTTGGGCACTTTCATTTGAATAAAAGGATAAAAAGGGAGCTGATGCCCCACACAAAAACTAGAGCTTACTGGGTTTCCAGTAACAATATGTGTCAGCAGTAGACAGATGCTTTTAGTTTAACTTTGGTGTCTGATAAACCAAATGCGCACTACTATCTGAACACAGAGCAGCAGAAAGATAAAGTAGCTGTTATTTGAAAGAGGAGATTTCAACAACTTTAGGCTTTAGCAGGTTATGTTTCTGTGATATGGCGAGGCAACTCTCTGCTAACACATGGGACCTGGGTAAATGCTTTGTTTTGTCCGAAACTGAGTTAATGTATACGGTCACAAACGGATAAATCAGACTGTGAGAGCATGACAAACATACAATACCAGTGATACACTTTCCATATACCTTGCATTTATGTGTCCGTAGGTTGTGTACTTCACCGCTACATTCCCCTACCTGATGCTGGTTATCCTCTTCTTTCGTGGAGTGACGCTCCCAGGAGCTGCGGATGGCTTGATATATTACCTCAAACCAGACTTTAGCAAGCTTGGTGAACCAAATGTAAGAGACCTGCCTTCATAATGAAATGTTTTGATGAAAAATTTTTGGTTTTGAAAAGCAAAATCACACAGGGCCACTTTGCTGTTGTATGAAATAGAGTAGGTAGAAGACACACAGTGAGCATGCTCAGCTCAGTGTACTGTTATCATTTGTCCCTGCTCCATTTCTTCACCCTTGCTCCACTCCCAAGCTCTGGTCTTTATAAGAAAAGCAAACCAACATCCTCTCAGTTAGGAAGGCTGCAGAAAGATTTTCCTACAGTCTGCACTAATGGGAACAATCAAGAAAGAAAACTTGCTCAATACAGGGAACACGAGAATTTCTAGGGGTCTGTTTCCTCGTCTCTTGTATTAATAATTGCACTGCTAAAGTTTGAGGAGAACAATTGGGCAGCTGAAAGAACACATCTGCCTTTTTGTTGTTTTCATCAACTTCTTCCAGTTGTAAGGAAATAATAACTTGCATTCCTACATCCATGGAGCCTTGTTCCATGTGTAGAACATGGTTTTAGTAGCTCCCGATCACTGAAAAATCGAAATAGTTTATATTTACAGACTGATGCTTGTTTTTGACTGCTTTTTGTTTTATCCAGAGGATAGATCAAGCAACTTGCATGAAATATCTTTCAATGTCCCATTTGCCTGTTTGAATCAGAGGAGAGAATGCGGCTGTTCCTGTAAGAGCCCAATAAAAACAGAGACTTAGTCCACTCTGATCAATTGTGGGAATCTGGCAATTGTTGGAAAACCTAAGGGATTTCAAGAAAACAGGTGAAAGCGGTTAAGTGTGACTGAGCACATTTATGCCGTGCCAGATGCTCTGAAACTAGATCTGGTTGCTTTATCATCTGAGTGCCTGTCTTGGCTTGAAATGCCACAGGATATGGTGATTGAGTTCTGGCTTGCATTTTGTGTCTGTTTTTATGTATGAATGCGTCTCCTTTTGACTGCGTGTCAGGATGTCCGTGTGAACCTCTATACAGAGCTTCTTAAAGGACTTCCAAATAAAGCGTCTTGTAAGGGGAACACAGTTTCCTCTTTGTCCAGAGGAAGATGTAAAGAGCATTTTGTCGCATATCTAGAGCAAAGCTACACTTATTGAGGGAAAATGTCAAACTGCCCAAAGGGGCCAAAGAAGGGGCCTGTTTATTGTGTTGGAGACTTGCCAAGTCTGTAGTATGGTGGGCAAGACAGACACATGGGCCTTTAATGATAACCAGATGTTGTCAGGGCTGAGGACTACAAACAGATGATTTAAACAAGTTCGACCACAACACATATAGTGGAATGTGTACACTCCGTTCTGTGAGTAAGTAAGACATAAACAGGAAGTTACAAATGTTTCTGCAATTTATGCTTCCTGATCAAATAGCATATGATCTCCCCCCCAAAGGTCATTCTCTCGTCTTCCCCAGGTGTGGTGTGATGCAGGGACTCAGGTGTTCTTTTCCTACGCTGTGTGTCAGGGAGTGCTGACGGCTCTGGGAAGCTACAACAAATACAACAACAACTGTTACAGGTCCGTGTCAGTGCACTCAAACATGGTTGGGTTTTGCGGTCACAGTTCTCTGGCAGAGCTGGCTCAGACTTCGTGTTTTCTGTTGCAGGGATTGCTTTGCACTGTGCTTTCTGAACAGTGCTACCAGTATCTTTGCTGGCTTTGCCGTCTTCTCAGTGCTGGGCTTCTTGGCTAATGATCTTGGCATCCCCATGAGTGAAGTTCTGGCTGTGGGTGAGCAAAGACACCACGTTTACTTTCAGTCCTATCCTGAAATATTAGTATTTATTTTCGTTGGAGTGGACTTTAAATACTGACATGGTCACAGTAAGCTACAATGTCCACAAGATGGCACCAAATGTTAGGTTCTAAGTATCCATTACTGTCAGGGATTTGGCAATTGTGTATGTAAATGGGACATAGAACAACTGATAAAAGTAGTTAATTATGCACAAACAGCTGGTGAAAACATGAGTAATGAAAAACACAAAAATGCACACGATGGAAATGATGTTGTTTGGGATTTTCCCTGAAACTTGCAGCATTTTCTTTGTTTTAAGAGTAAATTTTGTATGTTCCCAACAGGTCCTGGCCTAGCCTTCATAGCCTATCCGAGAGCTTTGTCTCTGCTTCCTGGCTCATCCTTCTGGGCTGTCCTCTTCTTTGTCATGCTCCTCTTCCTTGGTCTTGACAGTCAGGTATAACACGAAATGCACTGCACATCTTAGTGTTTTGTCCTAAATTCCCGTATAATCGGCCTCTGTTTCCTGGCAGTTTGTCTGCGTGGAGAGCCTGGCCACAGCCATCACCGACCTGTTCCCCGCTCGTCTGAGGAGGCCGGGAGTCAGAGAGAAACTGGTGCTGGTGATAGCTGTTGTCTGCTTCCTGTTGGGGCTGCCATTTGTGACTGAAGTAAGCTGGCTGCTGAGTGTCATCACTGAGCGAGAGTGTCTTGTTATCTAAAGTTCAATAAGTGAGCTGCTTGTGTCAAACAAACTATCTTTCGTACAGCTATGTTTCTGCCTCTGTTTTTGCTCTTTTTTCATGCCCCCTGCTTTGTTTCAGGGAGGGATTCAGCTCTTCTATCTGGTTGACACCTTTGGCCCCAGTGGATCTAACCTGCTCATAATTGCTGTTGCAGAGTGCATCGTTGTTGCCTGGGTATACGGTAAATTGCTATCTGTGCTACAAATGACTTTTGATAACAAACCACACTGGCCTCCCATTAGTCTTTTGTTATCTCCCTTAGATACAAAGCTAAACATACTGAAGTGTTATCCAGAAAATGATCATGACAAGAGTGATAAGTATAAAATAAAAGCATGGGTAATTACAATTAACTTAATAGGGGCTTGAAAAGGAGCATTTGTTACATTCATCAATCATTTATTCCTTGTTTTTGCAAGCTTATTTCTTGGAGACCAGGTTCTGAATTTTTAACCTGATGAAATTCTAGCAGTTGTCAAGATGAATGGGAGGCAGAATATTTGCTGATTCTGAGTATCTCAGACATTAGGAATCACTTGGATCCTTCTTTTTGTCAATTTTTCATGCTGCCACTTTTCAATTTGTTCCTAAAATATTCACACTCAAGGTAGAAGCTATTTGGACATATATTCTTAAGCTTAAGATTGAAGATTTTTCACTAAGGATGTCTGGCAAGATCAATAAGTACTTAACCTAATGGTCTAGCAACAAAACTAGTAACTTCTCCTATGGAATGAGACTTTAAATCATTACTTTAAACGCTTTGCACTTTTTGTCATTTGTTTTCTAAATTTCACTTACTTTTTCAAATTTTCAGTTATAGGTTCTGCTACATTTTTCTCCCCTCGTCTCAGAAATACAGAAGCAGAGAGATGCATCTCAAATATTAAGCATATGAAATATTTCCCAGCCTTCTTCCAATGTCATTTTGAATAAATGAGCTCCTGAGCTCTCACCACTTCCCACACCACCATTATAGGCAGCATTTCTGGCCTAATGAAATCATGTGGGTGGAGAGTTGTTCTGTCATATTTTCTGCAACTCACAGTTCTCAGAGCATCTGTATTGCATCGATTGGCATCGTTTTCTGTAATGAGTTTAAAGCTTTGGACTGCTTACGGATACACTGCACCTGCATCATGTATGTAGCACATATGTATTAACTCTGAGAAATGCTGGTCCATTTTGCAGGCAATTGTTTGATGTGTCTTGGAAGTCTTTGCTGGGGTTTTCCCTCGCCATAATTGTAATGATGCCACTCACTTTGCATAAAGATGTGCAACGTTTTCAACGTTGATCACTGTGTCATTAATTTAGCAACACCATCCTCTGCCATTACACATTTGCAGAATTCCCTCACTTAATATCAGTTTTTTTTCTGTTCATAAACTGTTCTCCTTATTGCTGCTGAGGTTTTCAGTCATCTCATTGTCATTTTCATTAATTTTTTTTATTACTGTATTGTGAGTCGTCGTTTTCTCTCCATTTTTGGTTGAATTTATATTTATTGCTGCCATGTATTCATTTGTGTTGTCAGTTTTTTCCTGTTGATGCTTTGCTTGTGCAGCTCCTATTAGTTGATATTTGTGACCAAAGTTTCCCACTTTGACTCCGCTCTGTAAGGGTGGGCCAAATTTCTTAATTTTGATTCATTATAAACCTCCCACAGGTGCAGACCGTTTCTATGACAACATTGAGGACATGATCGGGTACGCTCCATTCCCCATTCTGAAGTACTGCTGGTTGTTCATCACCCCTTTTATTTGTGTGGTAAGTTTTAACACCTATCATCAGACCTGTTGTCTGATATCAACTAATCCATCTTCTTTTGGTTTATACTCATACTTCATAATTTATTTTAACACTTTTTATGCTCTTTGTGAAGACATATCACTTAAAATCCCTCGCCTCTTAAACTGTTCAACGACTGTCCCGGCCTTTCATCTTTCCTAAGTATTTCAGTTTGGCACAGCAGTAATTAAGGTTGAGCACACATTTGGGGAGGAAGAAGAGAATGAAGATGTGGAACAATCTATTTTGAATTGACCACTCGAAGAATTTCAGAATACAGCATGCAAATTATTTTTGAGCTGCTGTGAGAATCTGTTTTACCATGTTTAAAATGACATTGTCATCATCTCGGAATAAATTACACAAGTGTTTTCATTTTGTTTGATTCCGCAAGGGGAACGTTAGAAAATATAAGATATAAGAGTGGATCATATATTGAAAGTCAATTGAATATAAATTTTCTGTTCAATTCTAAGAATGACTAAACAAACACAAGGCTTCAAACAAATACAAGTTTGATTTCTAGCAAGTTCATCTCTGGTGTCCAGAAACTACAATAATTACTATAACTGTAAAACCACACCATTAATTGTCTCTCTTTCTCAACCTTTAGTCAGTCTTGCTGTTTAAATTGGCACAAGCAACCCCTATCAATATATTCGGATATGTGCCTGGCTCCTGGGTCTCTGGATTTAGTGCCATACTTGTTGGAACTCCACTGCTATGCATCCCAGCTTTCATTTTCATCTCGCTGATTCGGGTAAGTAATCACAGCCCTTCTCTCACCATTCTCTTTTGTATTTGTAATTAAATGTTATCAGTGTCAACACACAGTATATTAATGTCTTTCCTTTTCCAACAAGAATCCCAACAACATGACAACACCATCCAAAGACCTTCGACAGATTCGACCTCATAAGCCGGCACTTACGATTTGTGGCATCGTCATCATTAAAGTTAAGGGGCAAGTAGAAAGGAATACTGCAGAAGGAAGGCAGATGCTGTCGTTTGGGGAGCCTAACAGGGTTTGATGGTTGCTGATCGGATTTTACCTGTAAATCTGTGGGGGATAAACGAAACTTAATGAAGCTCTTATAACTGTTTACACATTTCATTACCTTCAGGGATAGCTTTTGGCAGCAATGTAATCTTTTGTTTTTAAGAAAGCTTTTAGTACTAATGTGAAATGGTGAAATACCAGTACAGTGCACATTCACATGTATATCTACGAGTGTCAACTGACACATTTGATGTGGTCTCATGGCAAAATCGTTTTGCTCACATTCCCTGCAATTAAGGTCCACCAGCCTAAGAAATAACCAAAATGAATTTTCCTACTAAAGTTATAAAGACTCAAATATTCATTTAAATTGTATCTAAAAGCTTTAAGCCCTTGTGACCAACGATTATTCCTTATTTCCATAAAACACCAACAAAGTCTGAATTTCTCACCATAGAAGGGATTCCTGAATTTAATTTCCTTTAACTTTTCGAAGGCCTAAAATAATTTGATGAACATGAATAAAATACTATTACATAAAAGAAACAACTTAAAGTCAACCTCAAACTAAATTTTCTTTTTTTTAAATCCAGCCAGCTATTGTCCAAGTTACGGGTAAACTAGTCTTTTTGGAATGCAAAGCAAATTGTTAAAAGACATATTTTTGTGGATTTGTTAAAGATTAGAGGAAATTTCAAGCTTGTTCACTTGCATGCAAGCATACACGTATATTAAATGAAAAGCTAAGACCATTATGTGAATGTCCCCAATGAAGTTCTCAATAAAGATTTTATATTATCTTTATTATAACATAACAGGGGACCTGTCAGCGTTGCCACAAAGTGACCCAAAAAATTGTTCTAACCTGAGTAAGAATGTGTGTTACGAACTAACTTTGACCTTTTTGCTATATCATTGCAAATATCAACTTTCAAGTATGTTGAAAGTATATATATATATATGTTTTTATGCTATTATGTGTTTCTCAGTGGTTTTACCATGTGTAGACAAAAGTAATTACCTTTTTATATTTCAATAAAAGAATCAGTGTTGAATATCCTGGGGCAGCGTGTCTCTTTGTTGTATCTGTGTTGTATCGATGTCTGACCAGTCAGAATAAACACTGAGCTGATCAGCTTGTCAGTTCAGTGATTCCACTATCGTCACGGATGGACTACCTCGTTGTACCCACATGTAAAGTTCATCATATCAGATGTTTAAGGATGTTAAAGGAAGATAAATGAACTCTTTATGAGGCTTCCAGTAAAATAGAAAATCCTGTGATTTGGGAACATGAACTTGTTCCGACATGATCTGAAGTTCAGTCATCTATATGATTCAAACCGGCATTCAATTAACAGATAATTCCATCCAGTTGTCTCCAATCTCTCTCCACATTTGATCACTCAGCTGCGCCCCTGCTAATAGATTAGGAGTTTTAGTCCTAAAAGAGCCTCTGAATACACAGCTGAATCAGACGAATTGGTGCAACCGTAATTAAAATGATGGAGATCAACAACAGGAAGCTGATAAAACCTCATTGGCTTTTGAGGCGGGTAATGGGAGAGCAGCACCAGCAACATGTGAGGTCATTCCTCCATTTGATATATTGATAGGTCTGTGATCACATGTGAGGCCTGGGGTTGCCTGAGGCTAAGTGTAAAACTATAGGTTAAAGTGTGGTGGCACTTCCTGTTTTTATAATTAGCGTACAGACCCACAAGCCTTGACATAACCAGCCAATTGAAATGGGCTGAAATGGAAAGCCCCGAACTGAACCACCAACTTACATAATCAAAATGCCCCGTAAATACAGAAGATTAACACTTGGATAAATACAGGGACCTCAACAAAAGTAACAGTAACATGACAACAGCAAATTCCTGTTTTATCTCAAGCTTGTCAAAAATTTACTTTTAACTGTAAAAAGTTCATGTGTTTAATATAACAGGAACAGTTATTAATTTGAGAACAATTTCTAGTATAGTTGCTGTTTTAATAATCTCTGAAGAGAGCAAAAATTAGGATGTGACATTGCAGGATGTAACTACGACAATGCCTCGGGCCCTATGAAACCTTCTCTAATAACAAACCTTTGAAGTGTGTCATTTTAAGACAATGCTACCTGCCCATGTCCTTATCAATGTCGGATTATATTGTTAATTGTCCCCTGTTCGGCCTATAAGGCAGGAGAAAATGAAAAATCTCTGATCCATACTTCCACCAAAGAAATCTCTGGAAGTATGAATGCAGCAACAACTTTTATCAAAAAGTTCCATAAAGTCTCACTTCCTCAATGCTGGATTGTTTCTTCAGGGCACAAAAGGACAAGGACTTTACTATTACATTGTAAATGGCTAGAGACTCATACAATGATAAAACATGACAGAGGGATAATGGAGGAAGAGCAGAATAAGATTCAGAAGGAGGCTTTTGCTCGTTTTCCGAAGAGAGGCTTGTAAAACTGCACTGGATTCCTGTTTCATGCAAATCATAAATGCAGCCATCAAAGGCCTCTGCCACTTCTTTTATCTGATGTTTTCTGTCTTCCATCTTCTTAGTTTTTCCAGCAGTGCAGCAGCCTTGCTCCGAGTACTACAATATTTTTTTCCATTTCTCTGTATCTTTTTGATCTATTTCTTCTCTTATCTACCCAGGCAATGGAGCAACGTTAAAAGAAAAAAGTACCTTTTTGTGGCTTATATTGCTTATACATCCTTCTATCTGTTATACTATATATAAATGGATACAATGCCCATATATGTATGCATGCACATGCAAACATGTTGAAACACATCATCATGATATGACTAAAATGTCATTTTTTTAACCATTCTAAAATTATTACAATTGTTCCTATACATTTTAATCTTAAAAGAAAATAATACCAAATGTGTTGCATGTTGACGTAATGGTCAAAATTCGGTCTAGCATAATTTCTTTAATAACACTTGGTCCTGTATGTAGCATTTGTCACCCTCATAATCACTCCCTATTATTATTGGCAGTGAATGTTCTGGAAGCAAATGAGACTGCATTGATTGTGGGATGCTGTAAACAGGTTGATGAAAACCAGCTTTGACATCTCAAATGGATAATAAACCTCACCAGAGATGACACTGAATCTGCTTTCGAAAAGAATAACTCACCTCAAGTGTAATTAAGCCTTTAATACGGTTTTCATCTACACGTTTGAAACCCTCCAAACAATTCTCCATTAACCATAAAACTAGTGCTGTATTGTAGGGATGCTCATTAGTCTTTTTAATTGGCTGGTGATAGAATATAGTGGGTAGATATTAAAGTTGGAGGTTACCTGCCAGGAGAAGTGAGGCTCTCATATCTAATTCCATTAATGTTAATGAAGATGTTGTTTGGCTGTCACAAGTAAGATTAAAAAGGATGCATAACTATCAGTGTATGGCTTTTGTTTAGTTTTGCAGATGCACTCCTGTTTTTACATTGAAAGCATGCTTAAGAGCAGACATTTTGATTGACATCATGGCTTTGCGATAGTCAGGATCTGTTCAGGGTATACTTTGTGTCTGTCTATGCAGTGATAGCAGGAACAGCCTCTCCTTTTAAAAATTTAACCCAACCTTGGTGTTAATCACCATATATCTATCACCGTTTTTGTTGAAAAAACAAACAAATCTGGGTATGTTGGCATAAAAGTATGTACCTATATCCCTAATGTACTTAGATATACCCAAACTACTTGAATTAATGGTACTTTTAAAACTCTGCAATGACTGTTTTTGACAAGTTTATACTGTTTATATTGTTAATTTGCAATGCAAGCGTTGAAAATGGTTGACTATATCCATTACCGTAAGGGATGTTATCCATCCAGTCAAGCTTTTTTGTTTTTGGTGTTGTCATGTTGTCAATTTAGACCCACTCAAACTGCAACCATAGTAACGTTGTCAACTGTGTCACCAAAGGCCTGACAAGCCATCCAAGTAATGAGGCGCAATTGCAGATCAATTGAAAAAATAATCATTTTTTCTTAAACTTGGGATGTGAATGCTTTGTTTTCATGTACTAATACAATCTGGTAAATAATACAAAACATATAAACTTAAAGGGAAATATTTGAAAGTTACTTATAACTGCCACACAGCATCTTTGTTTTGGGGGTTCTTAACTCATAGCAAACTATATTAAAACCTCAACCACAGTTTTCGATGCTGTGAAAATTTTAATGGCAGCTACTTAGACAATGTTTTTGTGCTATTATTATATCCAACAACTACACAAAGAACCAAGAGACACTTACTTTTTTACATTTTTATCTATCCATTCTCTTCATTCAGTTACTTTGTTGACACTGCTGATGATCATTAGGTCACCTTTTGTGTTGATTTTGTCAGATCGTGATACAGGCATGACCTTATTTTTTGCTCATACATTTCCAGCATCTCTGCCAGCAGTCATCACTAGTTTCATTTTCCCAAACTCCATGAGCTCTTTCACTGATCAGGCCGTTCTCTGTAAAGAAACGCCATGGCAACAGTGTTGGCAAAAGCTGCCTACAGCAAGCGCAACAAACAATAACGCGCTTTGCACACACACACGCTGCCACTGCTGCAAGAGTTCCCCACCAGAGTTGGGCAATTGACATACTGTATCCCTCCTGGCTGCAGGGCCTCACTAGTCAGATCTGGGCTGTAATCAAAGCAGACAGGTCGAACTTTATTATCAAACACTCAATACCAGTTGCAGGAACAACCACCTTCCAAAGGACAGCACACGAGAGAGAGAGAGTGAGTTTCTAATACCAATACAGGCCGCCAGATGTATTGTGATTCAACTGGGATCGGAAGATCAACTTTGAATTTGCTTCTAGGCTTTCCTTTGGATTTAAAATTGAACATTTAGGATTTTCTGTATTCCCTGGGTGAGGAACTAAAGCTGATGACCTGACAAAGGACGTGGAAGCCTGTCAGGTAGGTTGCCCCTCTATTTATCAAAACCATCCGTCATTTAGTCATGAGAAACTGAAGTCAACTTTATGTGAGGAATACCACAGATTGTGTTATTCATGTGTGTTTAGTGTTAAGTTTGGCAAAAATAGACACCAGGTTTTGAATACAATAACAAAAAATGATTTACTGTAATAAAAACACATTTTAAAAATGATTTTTGAAAGGATAAATTGCACATTTTCAAGCAAATGTCCACAAGAAATCATGGAAACATGTGAAAGAAGATTTCTTATCATTTAATGTTCAGTACCATTTGATTTTGAGTACTTGAACACAACTGAACATTACTTGATTTACAACAGATTAAATGAAACATGGATTAATAGGATTTACTTTATAAATAAGGCAGTATATATTGCCACTACTTGTGTTTCTCACCAGAATCCAAGCCAAAAAGGCTGAAATAAACTTTGTGTAGACCATATAAATTTTGGTACCCTAGCTTTTCTATTGTGACTGTTGCTTTGTTGATGATTTGTTAGAAGGTGCACTGACTCAAAAAACAGGGTTTAGCAAAGAATCTTTATTTCTGGGACAAAGCTAAGCTTTAATTAGCTTGTAATTAAGCTTTTAATTAAACTTTATTGCACAAAACACACCGGACAAACTCAGATTTTCTTCCTGTAATGAATCAAGCAGGTATATATCAAAGGCAGTGAATGTCTATATAGTTGTTGGTGTAAATGCAGTGTTTCCTAGAGATCAAACTAAAGACATCGCTTTTATTTCTGTAGTGTATGATGAGTACACCCACTAGAAAAAAGAATACTATAGGGGCATTACTCCTGGAATAAAATACTTTTGACATCAGCGTTGCATGGTTTGTTTATTTATGTATTAATTTATTTATTCATGTGTAACGCACCAAGAGACCGTCTTCAGATGGTCAGAAGAAAAATAAGTAGCTTCAAGTGTGTTAGTAGTGATAACAACATGGTGGAGGTATGGTGCTCCCTAGAATGATCTTGATTGAGCCATCTGCTCACTCATCCAACCCATACTGCATCAGATATCTGGGCTATTTTTGTGTCTACAGATGGCACACGCACACATAGTGGCGGTAAGAAGAAGCAAGCATACAAAACACAATGAGATCCAGATCAGTTTATCAGTTAGCTACCTTTAATGCCTTTAATAAATGTGATCAGTTATTTCAATTTGCTTTAGATATTATTGTTTCCATACATATTGGTTACAAAGATGTAGGAAAAAACAGGAAAGATGTTTATTAGGTTTTCAGATTGGATGAATGAATTAGTCTAACATTGTAGTGTAACCAATTAAAATAATTATCATTTTAATGATAACATTTTAAATTTTTTCCCCCATTTTCCTCAAAAGATATTTGCTTGGGAACAGGAAGAATGTGTGGATTGAAAAAAGTATCATATTTTATAGGTTATATTTGTTGTCTTAGAAGTCCTGAAAAATATTGGACTTGACTGTCAGTGCATAAAAATAAATCATCATTCAATAATTCAATATTTGTTCATTCACCCAACCTGAATTATTTCAGATGCATGTGCATCCAAGTGCAGTACCAATCCGGATATCCATTGTATTGAGCTCTGTTGGGTGCACTGGGACCTGCCAGACCATTACATCTAGAATCTTTGCCATTTGATAGGAGATCTACGATTCCCCTAAATGCTGGTTTTGTTTCCAACACTGCCTTAATTACCCTATTTCCATGGGAAAACAATTAGTCAACAAACCAAAATGATCGTGTACTATTTCAATGCCAATACTGAAAGTTGTAGAGGTCCAGTCCAATATGATATTTAAGGTTTTCATTCACCCTGTATTGTGTCATACAGGTTTTTAATGGCTTTTCTTTCTTTGCCTAAGAAAATCACAATTAAACACACAAGCCTATGTAATCCATACTTTACTGTGCAGGATGTCCAGATTTTTTTGCATGACCACACATGTGTTGGTAGCAACACATAAAACATGCTCTATTCTGGCTTCATTTGCAGACTTTCTACACAGACTGTCCATTCAGGATCTGGACAACGGGAGGCACACAGGGGAGCAGCAACACACATATTTCAGGCTTTTTGACCTATCTGGACCAAAGTGGTCCCACGATGGGGAAAACTGGGCAGAGTACAGTGGACTTAAATTCTCCATCAGAGGTCAAACAAGCAGTTCCCTCTGAGGATCTGGACCCCATGGCCCCCCCTGCAGATCTGGAGAAGAAGGAAGAAGTCCCGCCTGACAGGGGAAGCTGGAAGGGGAAGTTTGATTTCTTGCTGTCTTGTGTTGGATATGCCATTGGGTTAGGGAATGTCTGGAGGTTTCCTTATTTGTGTGGGAAAAATGGAGGAGGTGAGTAAAATAACATAATAATAATTTCCCTTAGGGATTATTAAAGTATTTCTGATTCTGATTTCAACTCAAATAACCACATTATTGCATATTTGATCAAAAATATAACTTAATCATCCATCTTCATAGGAAAAAGGTACCTGAGAGATTTAAAATTTGTGAACCTTCACCTTCATACCCCCAAGTGGAAGATAAAATCTTAATTCTCCAAAAGCTGAATCAAGACCCTTCTCCAGCTTTAGTCATATTAAATACTAATAAGACAGATCTTCCAACCGTTGCAGTGGTTTAAAAACTAGAAAAAATAATGATCTTTTTTTCCATAATGCCGTGATAAATATCCCTCATTCTTCATTGAAAGTTAAATAAGAGTGCAGTCTCCCAGTTGGACATTAACACACAGCATTAGTGCGACAATAGCACTGCATCATTCTTGACAGCAAATGTAATGGGATTTTGTTAATCATAAACACCTTGACTCTACCACACTCACTTTGTTTATCTGTTTTTTGGTAATATGCTAGGTGCCTTTTTGATTCCGTACTTTCTGACACTGGTGTTTGCTGGGATACCTCTCTTCCTCCTGGAGACATCTCTTGGACAGTTTACTTCTGTGGGAGGACTGGGGGTGTGGAAATTGATGCCCATGATGAAAGGTAACAAACTTTACACAAGAAAGTGACCAGAATTCTCCATAGAGCTTTGGAAGCTGGGTTTAGTATCTCTTTCTACAATGGACAAAACACAAAAAATTTATTCTATTTTAGACCTTTTTAATAAAAAAATTTTAATTGAGAAACTGATCTCAGGAGCATTACTATGTAGGTATTATACATATGTATTTTTATTGTAGTTGATTCTTTTTGATCTCAAAAAGTGTGTATTATATTAGCACCTCTTCCTCTTTTAGGTGTTGGCCTGGCTTCAGTGGTTCTGTCATTCTGGCTCAACATCTACTACATCATCATCATCTCCTGGGCTCTCTACTACTTATTCAATTCCTTTGGTTCGGTATGTCTAAAGAATGGGTTACATCCTTGTGATGATGGATTTGCTTTATGGTGCCAATGTATTGATTGAGGATGGCTTGTGTGAGTTATGAGGAGGCTGTCGCACTTTCCACTGCTAAGTTGCTGTAAAGTTTTTGAACTGATTTAGTTTTTTTATGATGATCCCCTTATTTACCTAAACCCGTGCTTCGAATGATATATCGCTGCCCAGCCAAAATAAAAAAATGGATAAATATTTGAATTAATTTGTCACAGACTTTGGTGTTCAGCAGGTTGGAGATGAGCCAGAAATTGAGTTTCTCTTTGAATTGTAATATAAGCAAAAGAGTTCTATCTACTGTTTTGTAAAAGTGCGCTAAGATCACAATGGATGATTTTTTTAATCCTGTGCTGCAGTCTCAAATGGAATGTGGGGTTCTGTGTCCTGCATGTGCTGGTCTCAAGTCCAGGTAAATGTGAGGGTTGTAAAAACTCTTCCAAAAGCCTACCATGTTTCAACTGAGGCCTTGTGGCAATCCCTGATGGGAAAAGGCTACAACGTCCTGTTAAAGCAGGATGTAGAAGCAGCACCGGGAAAAGAATGTCAGTTCTCGTGAGAAAAACAGATTCCTTTAAATCACATGAAGGATAGTTCCTTCCTTTCTTCTTTTTATCACTAGCATATTTTACAGCCAGTCCTCACGTTATGCTGCAGAACGTTTGTTGCCGTTGGTTTGTGCAGGATTCTTGGTGCTGGCTTTTGCCTACTCTGTGACCTGGTACTTTTAAAAAATTTTATCTCTGGTGGTTTGTTTTCTGCCTGCTACCTCCCTTCTTTATCTGTTCACTACCCTGCAGGGTTTGGCCTGTCTGTTGATATGCTTCATGTTTTTTTTTCTATCAGTTCGGATCCCTTCCACAACACTGATCCCCAATTCCTTTTGACAAACCATCTAAATTGGTATTGGTATTTTTGCCTCTAAAAGTATTTTGATTTTATCATCGGAGCTTGTTTCAGTTTCCTTAAAATGATGGAAAGTTGAAGTTACTGCTTATTAAATCAATGATAAAAGTCCGTATAACCTCCTTCACTTTCTGCAAATATGTTGCTTTTACGTTTATCTAAAAGTTAGGGTCTGCAGAACTTGCTCATCACTTCTCACAGCCTACTGGTTTTGTTTCTGTTGTGACTCTCGCTGCTTTGGCATTTCTCAGTGGGTGTATTTGCCTCAGAGAAGCCTGATGGCAAAAACAGAAGGGAATTTGCAGGCATATGGTTTTCGTTATGGGGAGCATGCAGGGCAGAAAAATGTTTTCTTTGCTGTTTAATGTTTTTTGCCTTAAGGTCAAAAACCTTGTTGGCTCATTAAATGTCATTTTCTCTGTTGGATGGTTTTGAGTGTTTTTTTTCTGTTTCTTTTGTTTTGGACATTTTTCCTGATGTTTGATGTGAAGTGAAATAGCATGTGACTGAAAAGTAAAGAAAAGAGTCAAACAGACATGTGGCCAAAACAGATTGTTCACATATTGTGTCTTGTTTATGCTGTTTTCTGCACGCAGGAGCTCCCTTGGCAAAGCTGTGATAACCCCTGGAACACAGAGAAATGTTTTTCCAATTATAGCTTGACCGACACAACCAACCTGACCAGTGCTGTCACAGAGTTCTGGGAGTAAGTCACTTAGATAAGGACCTGTTCCTGACACCTGTGTGGCTATAATGCTCCCTCTAAATCCAGTGTGTTTGCGTTCTTGTAGGCGTAACATGCATCAGCTGTCCGGTGGTCTGGAGGAGCCGGGCCAGCTACGATGGCCCTTAGTGGGCACCCTGGCGCTGGCGTGGGTTCTGGTATACTTTTCAATCTGGAAAGGAGTCGAGTGGACTGGAAAGGTCAGTCTCTATCTTTTTAAGTCTATCTGTATTTTCTGCTTTAAAAAAATATGTTTTCTAATTGTTCAGCCCCTTTCATGGGGCTTCTGGATGAAAAATTGGTTATGGGCAGAAGTGTTTGGTTCAAATCGACCTCCTAACTGGTTGGAGTGTCTATTCTAGATTGTACTGACATAAATAACTGATCAGTTTGGACTGAAATAAGGGTTAAAAATGTATCATAAATGATTATTATTAGTATCTGTGAGTTGGACATGAACACACGCTCGGTCAGTAAAGCTTAGGTCAAAGCTTATCATTACTTATTATTACTTTGACTAATTTGTCACTGAATAGAGTGTGAAATTCTTAATGAAGACTTTCACTGATTATCTTTTTATGACAGATTATGTCATCTTCTAAATGTATGAAACCTCAATTGGATGTTCATCTTATGCTGGCATTATATACCAGAATGCATGTTTTTATTCAGAGCAGAGAGTTTGAAAATGAAAAGACTATAATCACTCTCGGAGTGGGAATTTTGAATTACAGCAAGTTGAAGCTCAGCATCATATCAGCAGAAATACATTTACTGCCAGGGATAACTGGATTTTAATGTGAGGCGTCTTGGAGTGGTGTGAAAAATGGATCGCCCGGGGGCCCTGGCCTTGATGGACATTACCAATTAGGACAAATCATTATGCTGCAGAACTGCATGTCATTTTCTACAGCTCCTCTGGCAAAGAAAAAAAAAAGGAAAAGGTTTTTCTGCCTCTTTCTACACATTTAACAGCCATCTCTTTTTTACTTCAGTGATATATTGTTTAGTTTCAAAACCATCATAAAACAGCTGAATTTGAGCAAAACCATCATTTGTAATTTATGTGGAAACCTGACCCTGTTCTTTCTCAGGTGGTTTATTTCTCCGCCACCTATCCCTACTTCATGCTCTTCATCCTGTTCTTCCGGGGGGTCACACTTCCTGGAGCCATTGATGGGATCCGTTTTTACATCACCCCAGACTTTAACAAGCTTGTCCGATCAGAGGTACACCGTCTCCTTACATCTCTGCATCCAATCACACAGTCATATTCACACACAGCCACTGCTGCACTTGACTGCATTTGTGCTTTTACAGGTGTGGCTGGACGCAGCAACTCAGATCTTTTTCTCTTATGGATTGGGTCTGGGATCTCTCATTGCACTAGGAAGCTACAACAGCTATAACAACGATGTCTACAAGTAGGGACGGGATCTGTTTGCTATAAATGATTCTTTGATTCTTTAATCACATTACATTGACATCATCACCGTCCCCTTTGATATTTCCTCTCTAGGGACTCTATCATAGTGTGCTGCATTAACTCCTGCACCAGCATGTTTGCCGGATTTGTCATCTTCTCCATTGTCGGCTTCATGTCTTACATCACCAAGAAACCGGTGCAAGAGTTGGCAGCATCAGGTATATTTTACATTCATGTCTGAAATAAATATGAATCAATTTTAAATAAAAGTATTTTACGTTTCCTTGCAGTGTGTCTCAATGTTAGAGTGAATGCTAAAAACTTAAATGTCAGCCTCAGATACGTAGTAACTTTGTGCAAAAATGTAAACATTTGAATTCACATACCTTTAAAAGGCTCATGCAGAGTGACATTTGATAAAGCATTTGTGATCTATAATATGTGTCTCAGGTCCTGGTTTGGCGTTTTTAGCCTATCCTCAAGCAGTTACCCAGCTCCCCATGTCCTCCCTGTGGGCCATCCTCTTTTTCTCCATGCTCATGATGCTTGGTCTTGACAGTCAGGTACAAAGAATTGCACTCACAATGTTTATGATTAAAAACGGTATGTGGGCTGGGGACAAAGACGAATACATCTAAGTCTGCCCTCAGGTATTTTATAGTATAACTGCATGTGGAAATCCTTGAGCAGTTAATTTGGGGATCGTCTTAAAAGATTATATCAATATATTTAAAGAGGGGTTGTATGAGGTATCATCAATAATCAGTTACCCACATTTTGTCAAGGTTGGTACCCCCAATATGTGTGATATGTTGTATATTGACACACTGCTTATTATTATTATTATTATTATTATTTTTTTTTTTTTTTTCAATCTGTGAAGCCTTATTTAAACTTTTAACCACAGTGGATTAAAAAAGGATGTCTCTTCATGATGTTATGTCTCAGTTTTGCACAGTGGAAGGCTTCATCACTGCTCTCATGGATGAATATCCCATGGTTTTGAGGAAAAGGAAGAAGGTCTTTATCCTCATCGTTTGCTTAATCTCCTTCATCATTGGCTTCTCCAACATCACTCAGGTGTGTCTTAGTTATCTTTACATATTTAATCACGGCATCCTGGTCATAAAGTGAAAATAAAACAAACTATCAAAACTACAACTAAAATCATTTGTTCCTGAATTATACATCCTGATAAGACAATTTTGCAACAGACTGCAGCGTACAACTATCCACGCTAACTGATTGAATAAAGAGAGGCATTAACATTTAGAATTAATTTGTGTGTTTAAATCTGTCAGGGTGGCCTGTACGTGTTCAAGATGTTTGACTACTACTCTGCCAGTGGGATGTGTCTGCTCTTCCTCGTCTTCTTTGAAACTATTTCCATTTCCTGGCTTTATGGTGAGAGGCCTTTTCTTGTAATGAGAAATACTGCCAGCGACTATATGATTACACAACATATTTCGGAGGGACATTAAGCATAACCCCATCTGAAATAATCAGGATTCATTTAAAACATTTATCCATTGTCCTTTATGCGATAACACTGTGTCAATTTGTCTGTCCCTCTCTGACCAATAGGAGCTGAGAGATTTTACAAGGATATTGAGGACATGATTGGCTATCGGCCATGTGTTTGGTGGAAGCTTTGTTGGAAATGCTTCACTCCTCTGATCTGCCTGGTAGGAGGAAAATGATTAGGTTTAACCTCCACAGCCCTTCCCCTTTGCTGAGGAAATGCACTAACAAATGCACTTATTGGTAAAGCTTCATCCCCCTTCAAGGATATTGATGCACCCTTCAAATTGCAGCAGCTGCCGATAGTCTCCACAATTTATACGTCGTTGCGGAAATAGTTGCTATGCCACATGGGGTGATTTGCACTTCATCTAATAACCATCAGGGCCTTGGGGAAATCATAGCAGCACCTCTATCCCTACTTTTGTAGTGACATAGGCAGTCTACTGCAAAAGGTTAAATGAAGTACATCCATTCAAAAAGTCGAAGTGAGCTTCGCTTTGACAATTTGCATATTGTAAGGCAATCGATCGATTTCTTGGACTGATTTTGGTGCCTTTATCTAAGCTTTATCTGCACAGTTAGGGATATTTGTCAAATTTAAACTAAAATTATTTACAATTATTTGCATTTACAAAACCGGTCTTCACATTTAGTTATAAAAAGCAATAACACAATAACTTATTTTGAATAAAAGAATCCCAGTTTGATCCTTGGCCATTTGTTACCCATGTACTGAAGCATAATCAGTGTCAACAATTCACATGGTGCCAGCGTGGAAGAAGACAACCCCATATGGGCTCATTATTCAGACCATTTATAATCCACATGGGCCACAAACACAACATTTGCCTCAGAATAAAAATGCTTTCAGATTCTTTCAGATATTATGAAAAGTTCATGTAGTATCACTCTTAGCAGTTTCACTACTCTTATGGGTATTTGGTCAGGACCTAAAGATGGTGATTTTCCCCCATTACAATTCAGAAAGGTGCGGGTGTACATACCTGTGCAGAAAAAACTAATTATCTTGTTTTTTGCTTTTTTGTAGGGAGTGTTCACCTTCAGTGCCATCGAGATGACCCCCCTCACTCTGGGGAAGTACGTGTACCCGCTGTGGGGTCAAGTGATTGGATGGTTCATGGCTTTGTCCTCAATGATACTCGTCCCAGGTTATGTTATCTACATGTTCTGTACCAGCAAGGGCAGCATCAAACAGGTAATATCTCAAAATAATATTTCAAATTTATTTCGAATTCAGAGGTGGATGGAAAATATCTGTTTGTTTGACTGCAAACATCATTAGCAAGATATGATACAGGTAAAAGTTGAGAATAGCTTGTTAGGGCGAATAATCTACTGATGGTTGTGCTTTTCTAACCACTCTCAACTTTTCACCTGCTATGGTTTTATCTTAGATAGCAAATTATCGAGTACAATTTGAAGACAGTGAATGTTAAAATTTGTTGTACCCCTGATTTCTCTTTGCGCATGTTGATAACCTCTTTTAAAATGACCCCCTGAAAAACACCTGCTCAGTGCTTCATCCCAGTCTGGCATAACTCTTTTACATGTCCAGCGTTGGCGGAGGATGACGACTTCTCAGCAAAATAGGAGGCCGGCAGGGCATGAAGAATTCACACACACCGGCGGCGTAGGCGAAGCTCCCGTCTAGCGAGGATTGCTCAGGTTGAAATGATGTGATTGTCAAGAAGGGAGCGCATGCTGAAATTTGACAGTTGGGCGGAAGGAGTTTTGTCTCTGGAGAAAAGATCTTCACTTGTTTGACTCTGTCAAACTGTGCCGGAAAGCGTTTGATAAATGTACTGGATTTAACATTTCCTTTAGTAGTAAAAGCTCTGAGAACAAGTTTAACTTTAAAGATAAAAATATACAGTTGTATATAACCAGATATGTGCTGGTGACTGTAAATCTTCACCTTACTTGTAAATCATAACCACCTTTCCTTCTTTGTTTTTAATGTTACCACAAATGAACTCAGTGTTGTTGTACAGATTAATTAATCTGGTTAAACTTGATTTGAGCCATACATCTGTAATGCATCAAAGATCATTTCCCTGTATTACCTCTAAAAACTGTGATATACAGTATGTTTTGGTACAAAATAAACATTGCTTCTTCCAGTAAATGTGTGCGTGCGCATCACCACACAGTGTATCTTATACAACAAAGATTTGAAATTCACCTTGAATATTCCTGGTAACATGTTTCATTAAAGTTTTAGGAAACTGTAAATGATGTATTCTGGAATTTGATTTTCAAGAGAGATATGATGCAAAAGTGAAAAAACATGCGTGTCCATAGCTTTTTGCATCAGCTCAGGAGTGTTATTTTAATAGCGTCCCAAGGTTGTAGTTTTTTACATCTGGGATTTAGCAATAAAACCACTATTAGCAGCTTTGTAAATATTACAGTAAAATCCTTAGAAATTACTCATACATCCATGCTTTTATGTCTCTGCATGCATTTGTTGGCTGTGTCCATTCCCTTTATAGACCTTACACCTTGCAACAAAAGGACCATTCATTTGTCGGCACAGCATAAGAAATGTCAGGAAATCCTGACAAAATGGTCACTGTGGAGTTTAAAGACCCAAATTCTTCAATGCATTGTAAGTGTGATTTACAAATAATTTAATATCTACAATTTCTTCTAGTGCTAGATGTTGTACAGCCAACATTTCTTCTGCTCGGAGATGCATATTTTTTTCTGTGAAAAAAATGCATTGAAGATGTGTACTGATTGTACCTTATTTTTTCATGTCTACGAAATCATCAAATAAACAGCATATTTTAACTCCATCATCAAGTATTACACAATTAGGTATCTTAATGACTGTGAAATAAATAATAATGATAAGGGTATTTTGTTGGATACAGAATTCTGTTTGGATCATTTAACCTGCAGCATACATTGGTTTATAAAGTGCTTGTTAAAACTTTGAATTTGGATATTTCTGTGGCCATTTTTCTCCCTGTGCATGTGCATGGATGTATCACTTTGATGACTAATTGGTATGATATTGACCTATGTTACCTATGACCAATGCAAACAAAGCCTTCTAGAGCCTGACAAACAAATGTAACTGTTATATCCAATAATTGAAACAAACAACTGTAGTGAATTGACTTAAATCATCTTTAATTGCATGTTGATATACTGCAAAGACAGGTAGAGGGATTCAAAGCTAACTGAGGGAGAAGATGGCTACACTCAGTTTCCACCTGGTTATCCACAAACGTACTATTTGTATTTCTTTCCACAAGTATGAGCAAACACAGTGTTGATGAGCCCAACAAGATTCTCGTGTCATTCATGAAGCAGTGCACTGGTATGGCAGAGCCCTTTTTGTAAGTTTCTTCATGAAAGCTTCCTAATCTTTTGCTACACCTCCCAAATGCTACATTGATTCCTTCCCAGATTAACAGAGTACCTGTATGTTCATAGTTATTGCACACGCAGCACATCCGTCCTCCAAAATCCCTAAACTCAAGGGGTAAACTGTGCATCTATAAACTAATGGCTGTGAAACACAGAGACAAAGAAATGCTTATGAAAGAGGCGACTGCTTTGTCACGAGGCACTGAAAAATACTGGCCCAAATATCTATTATGCGTTTGAAGGGGTGTTTGCAATCATTGGAAATTTTTTAATACATGTGTTTCAGTTCCACCACAAACCTTCTTTTGTATGATAACAAAGACGAATCTTCATCTCCTCAGACAAGTAATTCATGCACAACAAATTCAAGACTTTTGAGGTTCAGGGTTCAACAGGCCGTCCAAGGAATGTCATGCATTAAATTAACATCAGTCACATTATATTCAAACTTATTTAAACAAACAAATGAGCAACCATACAATCATCATCAGTTAATGTAAAATCCACAATAGCAGATATTATTTTAATCAGCTAAAATTCATTACATAACCCACGGAAGTTTGTCTCCACCCAGTGAAAGTATTAAACTGCATTAAACTAATCATCAGTGCAGTTCATTCATTTTGAAAGCACTAATTCTTCTCATCTTATCAAAACAACAACAAAAAACAATAAAAATCAATCTCTGGGATGAACACCACAGAAAGGACGGATTTGTTTGGTGGAGAGTAAGGACACACACACTCATCAACTGCCAGAAAAAACAAGCAGCAACCTCCAGAACCTTTGTCATTTCACAAGTGGAGAAGAACGTAGGAGTAAAGTGTGAAAAGGACAGTGAGAAGAGATAAGAAATCAGACAGGTGGAGGTCAGACAGAAGCAGAGTTAAATGAACCGGTTCCTCTGCAGTACCTGTTTGGGCATATCTTTAAAAGATTGACGAGTTCAAGCTGGGGCGGTCGCTGACCTATTTCTGAGAGGAGGATGCGTGACGGGCGGATAGCAATCTGAAAGGGCTGGATGTCCTCTCTGACTCTGCTCGCATGCGATATTTACAGTCAAGGTGTGGGTGACACAAAGAGTTTAGATAATGCGTTCTTTTTGTCTTTCTCATTTGAAGCATGATGGCCGAAAGCATGAGGAATTCCCGTTTAATGCGAGTCTTTGCAACAAGCGGCATGTGTTTTTAGCTTTTTCAAAATGTCAGTCTGAAAGGTCAGGAGGGAAAACAGTCACAAGGATCCAAGACAAAACCTGGGAGTCACACACACAGTACAGAGAATGTCTGGACGCTTTGATGGACTTGTATTAATCCACTGTAGGAACGCACACAATGGTGGCACAATGACGAATTAAAATAGACACAGGTCTTGACATCTAACACTTGGAGCACAATGGGGATTTCATATGGTATTTCCTAAAAAAAAAAGCAGTGACAAACTGTAATTGACAGCACAGTGTGCTGTACATAATTTACACGTGACTCTGTTCAAGAGCAAGAGCAGTTTTTGATGTTCAAACGACGCTTAAATGTGAAACACTTCCCCCCAGTCAGCTGGTAAAATCCTGGCTTTTCATGTAGCCGTACATGAAGAAATGAAGACAAACAACAATCAAAAGAACCGTCCTGTACTAACTTTTTGGTTCAGCAGCAAACCATGTAGATGGTTGCCATGGCTCCTGTCATCCTTCTCCGTAGAGTGATCGATGTTAAGTGACAACCGAGTTGAGGGTGTTCTCTGATGATACAGAGCCACAGCACTACAGAGGAGCAGATGAGAAACACAGCACATCACAGCATGTTATGTAGCTTTTCTTTTGTTTAAATCCAGGGGAGCAGAGAGGAAGAGAGAGGGCCCTCCGTCACCTAAATAAATCGGCAATAGCACAAGCGGGTAGATAGCTTTGTTTTGCTATTCGTTTTTCAGTACCTTGGGGGTGAGTTCTGAAAAGACTATTTTCTCAAAGCAAAGAACGATTTTTTTTTTCCTTTCTTCCCACCGTAATGTTCAGTCAAGTGCAAAGGAGCCATTGTTTAGTGGAGGCATGTGAATTTGGCACGCGTTTTTAGTTAAGTGTCAGCTATGCACGCATGTGCACATACAGCACAGTAGGCATGAGGTCTAGAATGTTAAAAGCAAGAGAAGCACAGGGTCCTTTGAGCGTGTCCATCCTTTACTGGAAAAATTCAAAAAGTTTGAGGGATTCGTCTGTGGTCGGTGGTGAATATCGGAACAGGGGATCCACCCACAAACTGAATATCTATTTTTTTTTCTCTAGCAAGAGTTAAAACTGACAAAAAGATATAGAAATTTGTTAAAACTACATAATATTTCAAAATACATGAGAAGTCAAGTAAAACTTTATATAAGCATTTTATTTCTCTTTATCTCTTTTAAAACCTTTATCTTTTATTAATATTTTTCTTAAATATATGCATATAAGTGGAATTATTTTTCTTAACATTAGAGCTTTCATTTGTATGTATACATATGTATATATATATATATAGATGATCCATGTTTAGGGAATATACTTTTTTTTACACCATGCTCCGAGAGCCACTCGGGGTTCGGTGTAGACACAGGCGGGGGTCTGGTGGGATATACTGGTGTGGGTGGTTGTAAGGTGGAGGTGGAGGGGGCAGCGGGGGCTGGTGGCCGTCGCTGCCGTGGGAGCCATCGGCCGAGTGGACGGGAGTGGACATGGCGGACTGGCTGTACTGGTGGTGGTGATGCTGGTAATGGTGGTGGGTGGGCGTCTGGCTGAGAAAGGCCTCCACACGTCCGTGGCTGCTGCTGTTGTCCAGCATGATGACTTTGACTATCTGCTGGCACTGGATGAGGGTCTCGGGCCGCAGGTCCGTCATGCTGACGGCGGCCTGGTGCTGATGTTGGAGGGGGAGATGGTGGGCCGGGGTGCTGGCCGCCGAGTGCAGCTGCGGGTGCGGGGGGGCCACCGCCGGCCCCTGGAGCCCCTGCAGGAAAAGCGGCTGCCCCCTGCTGTTAAGAGGGGCCGCGCTCTCGGGGCTCCGCGCCGTGCTGCTGCTGCTGCTGCTGCTGCTGAGCCGGTACGTCTGAAGCCTGTTGTGAATTGACACCTAGTTTAGAAAACAGCCAAGAGAACAGCATCAAATGTTATAAAACTGGATCCTCCTCTACAATTCGTCAAGCCCTCTTTTTTTTTTTTGGTGTGGGGGTGGTGAACGGTCAGCAAACACTCACACATACACACACACACACACACACACGGGGCATGCGTAGGGACCTAGGTGCTTAGGGGTTGGTGGAGGTGTAAATTCACTGTGACTACAGCACACGCCCCCCCCACCCGTCCACCCCCACAGGTGCTGGGAACAGTGTGGGTCGGATGCTGGGAACACCAGAGTGTGACTGGGGTTGGAGGAGAACAGTGTTGGGAGGTGGGGGGAAGAAAGACGCTACAGAAGGGGCCCGGTGGTTCCAAAGGCGACACTGAGGGCCCCTGTGTCTCCCTTCCAAACCACTGTGTGGCGCTATGGTGACAGCAGACACGAGGCGACCTGGGGCTGGAGGTGCCCAGAACATAGACGGAGGTCAAACCAAGAAGAAGGGGAGAGGTGAGAGAAGACGAGGAGAGGAAGTGAGCAGACTAACAATCACAGGCATCCACAGTGAACACTTAAAATGTCACATTTCCTCCCTATGGTCCAGCTACTTTCCGTCCCTCAGCATTTCCGTGGATGTATCTGCATCTTTGTTTGAATTCTTTAATTTAACCTATTTAAAAATGCCATATCTCCAAGATACAAGACCTATAAATACAAAAGATGTATTGTGGTGTGGTGCACTCTCATAATATCTTAGCTTTAATCAACTTTTGATTAACTACATATCATGCATGTCAGCCAGACCATAACCATTAGAGGTAACAGGTAAAGAACAGTTGGAGAGATGGTATAAATTAGATGGCATAAATCAATAAAAAAAATTAATCAAAAATACAACTAAAGTAGAAGTAGACGGTAGCATCAGAATTTCTACCTTACTGATCAAATCCTCTGAAATTAAAAGCTTGCCACGGGATGAAGTGCTCATGCCCCTGGAGCATTTTCTGAGTGTACCCTCCTGGTTTGCAAGATAAACTTGTTTTGACTGCTGGTGGCTCCCCACCAACCCCTGACATTTACCGTAGGCTGCCTGGCAGAAGGGGAAAATGCTGGTGAAGGTAGCTCAGACAACCATGAAAACTGACCGCAGGTGCAAACATAGTATTAAAAAAAAAAGTGGATAGAAGAACCTGAAATGACCTCAATGTCAGAAAATGTACTGAAATAAATCTTACTAAGATGGCAATCAGTCAATTATTTACTAGTTGTGACTGATACAATTTTTGAATTAATTTTCTATAATCTGATCTGTCAGTAGTTACCTTTGTATGTAACTAGGATATGTAATACTTCTGTTTTAGGGAATCATTAGCTGATGATAGCTTCCATTTACCAGCACCCAAAAAACTCCATAACAGCTCTTTTACATGAAACATAATGATATGTGAATGTGAGAAATTAAATACCAAACTAGGCTTTATGGCTATGAAATTAAAGCTTTCATTGGCAAAAATAATTACCCCTGCTTAAAGCAGCGGTGAATAAGGATTTGCAGCCTGAAACATCATCTAAGATCAGCCATTTGATGTCAGGCTGACCTTGTGTGTTTGGCTTTTCACACCCACTCAACACTTTACAGACACATGGAGGACTAAGAGGTCATTTGTAGCCTCAAGTAACTGTGAAGCCCCAATGGGGTTGCAGTTTAGCCGGCTCTCTTGCTTGGGAAAAATGTTTTCTAGATGAGCTCCCACCAGAGCTCTGGTAAAGGGTGGGGTGGCAACAACTATGGGCTCAATGTTGCTGTGTTTTTGTTGCCTATTGCCTCCACATGGATAGGCACAAATACGTTACAGGAATACCACAATTATGTTAATGCCTTTTTTTCTTCAAGGCCACCAAAGGAGTCACAGCTTCTTCCACAGCCCGTGGAGCTAATTACAATTTGCCTAAAAGTTAGTTTGATTGGGTTACCTCACATGCCCGCAGCACTTTATCCAGAAGCACTCGCTCTCTCACGCACTCCTCAACCACACTCCCTTGACGCCTCAAGTCCAAACGGCATGATTTAGCCTGGGGTTTCATCCTAGCTCACCCTGCCTCTATGCTGACTGATTTACTTACCTGTGATTGGGGACATCATCCTGTCTGTAAGTGCTTACCTCAACTGCATTGTGTCCGCTTCTGTCCTCAAGCTCCTGGATTCCTGGAGGTTGGAAAAACAGATGGAGAGAGCAAGACAAAAGTGGCAGCAAAATGTCTGTTAAACGGAATTTTAAAAGTGATTTTAAACAGTCTTCAATCAAATTAAGGAAAATGACCTGTTGGTAAGGTCATTTAACGTTATGATTTTAATCCATTGTAAGAATCAGAAACTAATATATATTTTGTACGTTTATTTCCTATACTACTGTCTTCTGACTTTCCTATTACTGCTGCACAAGCAGGCCATGCCAGATAGTGAAAGCAATAATGTACTTACCAGTCACAGAAATGCAATATTTGATGATTTTTATCCCACCATAAATGAGCAAGTAAAATCTTCTAGTTTTACTTATGCAAAAACATTACTTTGAAGTCCATGCAAAGACCACATTTATGCAGTCTGAAAGAAGCAGGAAGCATTGTTTAACCAAGCAATTCTTACCCCAAACAAAGGAAACATGACAAAAGACAGAAACCTGGCCCAGTAGGCCTAGCTTGTGAATTCTCTGTCAAACCCATCAGTTAGTTCTTCACTTGTAAAATAAAAAAACAAGGCATCATGTTTTGTTTATATTTTAACATTCACTATTGTCAAATGTATACAGTATCTGATGGATTTTAGTAGAAGCATATGCTGTCATTGCTACATTCTTTGTCCAGGGATAAAAACTTTACCTGTAAAAAAAGAGAAAATAATATTCTATATTTAAGAATCTTTCACAAAAAAGAAGAATTAGACAACGTTCAAATCTGCTGTAATTATAACCATTATTTTATGGATTTATTTATGTGGCTTTTTAAAGGAAAACAGTGAATACACACCTGATGGGGATCCCTGTTTGCTGCGCAACTCTAGTTGTGTGCCGTTGCTCTTTACCGAGTGTGTCTTGGCACCTTGCTGCTTCTCCAACTCCCCTGCAGAGAGGGATAAAAAAGGATCGTATGTACAATGTGGTGACATGCATTCAACAGTTAGACGGTGTAAGAGAGGCAACGTGAACCAGCATGTAACTGAATTTTGAAGGTGTATGCCTAAAAATATAAACACATACACACTCAGTGCTCTTCCATCCCACTGAGGTTTCAAAATTCAGAACAGAACTCTTTATCGCTCTAATTACACTCCACGCTTGATAATGATTGCATGTAATTTCAAACTATGATGACTAAACTGCTTCTGCATACAAAACCTGGTCCTGAGATTGTGTATTTTGTTGAATTTTTCTTTTGCTGGATTTCAGCCTGGATAATATGAAGATGTTTTAAGATTCCCCTGGTATAGTACTTTGGGTTCTTTATTTTTTGGAAAATAACTTGAATAACTGTTGAACAGTGACTAAATCTGACAGAAAATCAATAGCCTTTGAACACTTTTAAGAACACGTATCTGTAAACCAAGTCAAAAGGATTATTTATTCTTTTTGAAACCTGTTTACATAAATCTTGTGGGAATATCGAAATTACAAAAGTAACATGAAATTATTGCAGTAAAGTCTAATGGTAAAATTCAAATGCTTTAATTCATGTTTCATATAGACTTGACATTATAGTGATTGTGACACAGTTTGATCGGAAAAGCAATGCACTCAGTATTATCAACTTCTTTTAAAGTATTTTCTGTTAAAAGCCTCTATTGATAGACAAACTCATTCCCATTACAAACAGAGGGAGGCTCAAACATAACCGAGTGTGCCGCTGGCATATTTACTAGAGTCAACAACATGGTGCCATCAGAGGAAAAATGGTTGGTGTCTCTCTGTGCAGGTGCCAGCTCTATTTCTGCTCTTGAGAAATGTTGCACATCATGTCTAGACGAAGGAAAATGTTTTTGCAAATATGATAAAAACCTCAAGCTTCTTCTGACATAAAAACATGTAGGTTTACCTTTGTGCATCCATGGGTGCGTTAAGTTCGACAAAAGAGCTGTTCATTCTCGCTCTTCAGAGACAAACACTCCTGCCTGTTTCCATATTTTGTTGCCTGATTTCTCCCAAAGCTGCAGGCAAACACTCTCTGTGAAGTGTAAGGCAATTACGTCAACCCCCAGCAGGAATGCTCATCTTGCAGCCCACTGGAAGGAGACAGGCTGTGGATATGCCGCTTTTCTATTTATCCCAAGGTAGATGCCAGTTGTATTTAGGGACTTTTGAAAGGATTTCAGCACACATGCCAGAACGCCTGGGTACCTGAAAACACCGGTCCGATTTCATCTTCAGTTTACTGTTTACTGCCCTCCTGCTGTCACTTCAAGCTATGGAAAATGTTTGAGCATTAAGGAAATGATAGGTCCTGACTCATGAGTCTTTTTTGAAGATCTTTTGGTTCCCTAACAGGAGTATTTGAAGATTATTGATTTAGCTAAAAATGGGGTGAAAATATACCCGTTTACTAGAGCATAAAAACATAGACAATATTAAAGGAAGAACGACTGATACATTTATACACTATTTTACGAAAGTTTTGTATAAAGTAACTAGAATATGTCATATCTGTTATATGTAAAACCCATTCCCATTCTCGGCTTGAATAGTAGCACATAGTAAGAGACGGTCTCTAAAGACATGGTAAATTAGGTGATGTTAGTCCCTAAATGTGCACCAAAAATATGTCTCAGGATAACACTCACACTCAATACGTATCTGCTCCATCTCTGACACCTCTGCGATTGATTCCTTCAGGTCCTCTACGAACTTGAGCAGTTCCTCAGCACTCTGGGCACAGAAGTGGAGTACCTGCTTCTTGTCGGAACCATACGGGGACAGGATGGTGATCCCATGGGGGTAGTCTGTGGAGTACACAGGATGTTATGCTTTCACAAAAGAAAAAGGGGGAAAAGTCTTTTTTTTCAGAATAAAGGAATATACTTCAAAATTAGGACATGAGTCGGAAATCTAATAAAAAAAACTTTGACAACTAAGTTTACCAAACATCAATAGCCCATTATTGGTGTTCAGGAAGCAAGGAAGTATTCACAAGCTCCTTCAAACTTTGCTATGAGAGCATTTTCAGTTGTAAATACTTTAGGGTCTAATGTGAGGCTGTAACCAATGCAAATGGATGCCTTCAGTGGTTCTGACTACAGTGAAGCATTTCATGCGCTGGTAAAATGATCATATGAGGTCTTATGAAAGGAAGTCAAGGTAACTCACACTCATTTTCAAAAAGTTGAAATTGCATGCCAAGTAAGCCCATGGCTTTGCAGAATGTGTAGGCTGCAGAGCTCTTCTTCTTTGGACAAAGCTTCAAGATCTAAAGGATAAGGCAAGAAATATGAAACATGTTTGATTTTTGTAAACTGTATATTCTTACAAGTGTTTAAATAGCTCTCAGAATCTCCTAAAATCTTTTATTAGAATATATTAAAATTGTTCTGAAACTTTTTCACTTTATAACCTTCCAAACAGAGACAAAATAGGCAAGTCTTTGCTGTGACGTCATTCAAACTATACCAAACCATTACATCAAATGAAACATTTTAAGCATCTACTAATAGGTTCAAGCTCCTGGGTCAGAGGAAGAATATTAAGACAGGGCCCTGTCATTTTCATTCCTAATTTCTGTCCTGTTTCAAAGTTACAGCAGGAAAACGTCCCTCTATAAAATACTGAACTGCTCCCTCTTTGTGCCAAATGACTTCTTGCCTCGAATTGGCCTTATAACCTCCCTGCCCGCAGCTACCAATTATATTTTAGCATCAGTAGTTGAAGGAGGAGAGAACAGACACGGTGCTCTCTTCATTGTGTGGCAGGTCTGAGCGTTTGACATAGTTATGAGTGTAGTTAAGTTCTTTGGATAGATGACCCCTATGGGGTTTCTAATGAGAACATTAATTACATCCTACATAAAACATTTGATAATCCAACCCTTCACAAAATTCTGAATCGAGCGGAACGGAATTTTACCACCAGCATTTCAAGGGGACAGACCTTTGGTTAAAGATGGACTGCAACATTGCATTTTCTACCATCTATTATTTAAGGAATAGGCTTGTGCTATGATACAACATAGGACTAGAGGAGCTTTGAGAAGTATGCCTCAATGAAAGTAGCTGATGATGCACTGCAGACGTCACAGCAGAGGTAGCATCTTTGAACAAAGTTTGGATAAGACACAGACAGTACAAAGAGAGTACAAACAAAAAAAAAAAACATTACGAACAATTGATCATTTAAAAGCTCTGGCACGTCTTAATTTCCTTTTTTCAATCTTAGAATACAAAGGAACAACACAAGGAACAAAAATGTAATGAATCTATGACTTAGATATAGATAAATTACTAATGAATATTTAATTAAAAAATGTATGCGATACTCTGCCATTGTAAGTTTCACAAAATGTAAAGTCAGTGGCGGTTACAGAGATAAACAGAAAACCATAAGTACAGTCTTTAAGCCTTTTTGGAAGTAGCTAAATGGAAACATTTTCTCGCAAAACATGTGAAAAAAATCTAGAACATTTATTTTCCTGCCGTGCACGTACCACAATAAGATCATTGAAGAGGAAGACTTCTCTCTGATGTGCTGCCTGTTTTTGGGCTTTGTTGACATCTGTCACCTCAAAAAGCCGACTACAGCACACCAATCTTCTGTGAGGGACGGACAGAACCTGAGGGCATGAGACAGACATTTGATGATTCGGGTAAGAAGATTAAGAAACTCTATAATCAGAAAAAAGTCAGAAAAAAACAAACTGGTCACTTTTTAAATTGAGCTGATGTACCAGATGAATGGATTTTACATGTTTAGCCTGTGTGTGGATAGAGGGAGAGGCCTGTGTAGGTTTTCAAATTACATGAAAACCTTCCCAGGAGTTGCCTATAATGAAAATATGCAAAGTATTGAATAAAAAACGGAAAGTGAGACTGACCCTGCCTGATAATTAAAGCAAATTATGTCTAATAAAACGAACAGGTAAAGAAGAAACAGTTTATTGCCTTTATATACATTGTTTAACTAATTTCATCGATATGTACATGGCTTTAAATCTAGATCTGACTTAAGTGTGTGTCTCCCCTTCAACCCTTTAAATGTAGCTTTCCCTTTTTTTGCCGCAGGCTGAAAACAAAGGCATCAAACAACAGTGATATTTTGACAGTATTTTCAATCATCCCTCTTTGAGAAGTTGCTTTCAAATGCTTTCTATTTTAAATGCAGTTATGTGACCTCCTCAAGTCTCACGATATTAGAGCAAGCACTACCTGCTCCCTGTTTAGTGTAGCTCCATCATGATTGCTTTGCCACAAATCAGTCAAACACTCCCTTAATGGATTTTTTGTCAAGTCTTTTTTACTGTAGTTTCAGTCTTCTGACAGAACACATTACTAAAGTTGCCGGTGGTACGGGGCTTTTTGTGAAGGTTCAATGCATAGATCTTTTATTCAGAATGCTTCCTTTGTCCTCCGCGGCCCTGGCTTCTCCTCTTGGACTTAAATGTCATTCCAAGTTTAAGCAGATTACAGTTAAAAAATGGCCCACGTCTTCAGAGATTGATCTGTGATTATGTTCTCATCCCATTCATGCTCTTGTCGCTGAATCAGCTCATCCAGTAGTGTGGATCATCGCTGAAATTCAAAAAGCAGCTGAATGGCAGTCAGTAGATATGAATTAAATATCAAATCCATATAAACACAACGACTGTTCCGCTTTCTCATCGTGCAGTTCCCATTCTTTTACCCTCTGTGAACAATTTCCAGCACTCGTGCTGTAGCCTCTGACTCCTTTTTCTGCTGCTTCCTCAGATCTCATCACTGCAGGGTACAGAGACTCTAGCCCGGCCTGTCACAGGCAGACTTTCATTACGCTAACGTCAGAATCCTGTGAAGGCATCATTAGCCTGAAATGCCTCTTCAAAGAAATGAAAAAAAATAGTACTGACAGGATGACTAAGATAAAATCTGACCATCAAATGCCGCCATATTAATCAACAAATAAAATAGCGCGGAAATCCTTGTTGAATAATGAACACGATCTTAACTGTCCATTAGATTAAAAGCATTTGCCTGATACGTAATAAAAAAATATATATATATAGATTGTGAAATATTTACCAGGCAGTTACACAATAAAAATGAATCTCAAGTGTTCAACTTTGTATCACAGTAGAGGCTTTTGTTGACCAGTGAAGAGAGCGCTAAGGAGGAATGAAAACAAGTTTATTTAAGTCTGCCTTTTTTATGGCTGACTGCTCCGTTCAGCTGGGACAGCCACATCCTGTCACAATAATCTATCACTGTTTAGCTATGACAGGGCTCCTTCTGTCATCCTATGGCTACTCATCCATCACTGAGACACCTAAAAGCACAAAGGGGAAAAAAAAACCTGGGGAGGAGTATATATATATATATATATATATACAAATATATGTAGTTTCAAAGTCATTTGGAAAAGTTATGATGCACCTGAGATTCAATTTTGAAACTCTGACAAGGAATCCATCAATTCCTGACCACAAAGCAAGGGTAGACAAGGACAGCTGACATGATCCCGTTCCAAAGTGTATGTACAGGTCTTTGGGACCACTTCCTTTTACTTGGAAAAAAAAAAGCAGTTCTGACAGTAAGCAACCAGACTTCTTATTGTTGGATTAAGAGGAAGTTCCAGCAGTGTTTAAGACTTCTGTTCTACACTATATGGTGAAGAAGGTCCGCTTATAAGAAAAATCATCACATAGCTTGTCTCACCTTGCTGTTACGAGATTGCATTTAAGATTTTGTAAGCTTTTAATGGTGCACTCCTATTATATTTAGAGCAATTATAAAACAGCTAGAACACTGACATTGACTGCTTATAAATGTTTGTTGTACTTTTGGTTCACCTTGTACTGTTTAAAACTTGTTTTGTATTTACAATTGACATTTATAGGAATATCTTAAATCTGGACTGATGTTATTTCTGCAGCTCTGTTTCAGCCAATCTGTCTGGATCTGAATGCATTTGTAAAGGGGAGAGTTCTGGCACTGCTGAAAAGCCAAGAATTCAATGCGTGAAAAATGAAGGTGTCTGCTATATTTATCTATAATTCATACAAGAAAGCTTCGGACACGCTCTCCTCTGAAGATTCCAAAGTAGCTCCCTTTACTATTCAGTATTTGTGTATGATTGAGAAAAGAAAGACAATTCAGTCTTGAGCTAAACAACTCTGACTTGGTTTTGACGAACAAAAGTTACAGAAGTTACAAAAAGGTACTCATTTCTGGAGATAACTTGGTTAAAGACATTTGTAGCTATACCACATTTAGTTACTTTTAGCTACTGTGTACTAGCTGCTTTGATGTTTTTCCAGTAGCCTTGTTCTCTTGGTGAGGACAATATAAGACATTTCTTAATCTAGATGTCACCTCCAGGGGGATGTTCAGTCACTGAGAGTGATCAGCACTGTCCTGCCACTGACTTCAGAACACTGGGAGAGTGTGTACAAAGGACAAACAAAATTAAAGGGGGAGAAAATTGTCCCTGTCACCACCCCTTACATATTGCACCACATGCAACCTGAAATGCTGTTGTGTGGAACATAGTGCTTTCCTGAAATTGAGTGTCATGTAATTCACGACACTGAGATATATACACTAGTTAGGAGAGGCGTAGATGTAATGTTTCAACCACTGACCAGGCAGCTTGAAATGCAGTTTACAACGCTGATTTTGACTAGCTATCAAACTGCTGAACTGTGTTGAAGAGGCAGTTTACGGTGGGGGCCTATTTTTCTGTCATCGCTGTTCGTGGTCATGGTCTAATAAACTATAGTTAGGAGAGAAGGACTTCTATTCAGATCAGAGATCAGGCTTTGCATTACTGTGGACAGAATAGTCAAGAACAACGTTTGACATTGATATCACCGTTTGCTCTGCTAAGCGAACTTTACATGGTGTTGCTCTGAAATGTTCAAAGGAATGGAATGGTAGCGGTGGTTAAAGACATACTTAGCAGGAGTAATGACCTGAAGTAATGATTGAGCTGCAGATGAGATAATTAACGACAAATAAATTTTGGATGACAGTAATAATGACTTGAAAAATGTGAGTTACGTGCCATTAACAACAGTACAGTTGCACTAAAATATATACACCAGCAAATGAAAGAGATTTCAGGTCCTTACTGTTTTCATGCCTACGATGGACTGCTCCACCTTGGAGACGTAGGTGACGTGGTCTTCGTTGGAGCGCAGCTCTCTCAGTTGTATTCTTTCGTAGATTCCCACCACCATGTCTCTGGGGATGTCTGCTCCATCGTCCACACCTGAGGCAGGAACACGCCGTTGACTCACATGTTTACCCACACCACTGCTTTAGATTTGATCAGACCTCCCTTTCACTCTGGAAGAATATGCTTTTGTTGCTTTCCAAAGAGTTGTAGGATAGCCAGACTGAATCTAAACTCACTAAAGTAAAATTTTTATACAACGGTAAAAGGAAGCAGTGTAAAGAGGGTTAAATACCGTTATCTCTCCATCCTGACTCTCTGTCTTTCATTTCCTCTGTAATAGTAATAGATTAAAGCAGAATGAGCGGAGCATAATTGGAATGCAAAAGGTTTAAAAAAAAGTCCAGCTCCTGGAGGACAGTCTGTCTGGAGCGCAGTGCAGCTCCAAGTCCGGGCAGTTTGATGAAGGCAAAGCCGCATGTCATTTGGCTGAAAGGTTGCCCTCGAGATGCTCCCCATTATATCGACACAGCTGCACTGTGCTGTCTGGCACATTGAGTCTTCAATGGGGCAAGATGTGTCTGGAGAAAATGAAGCTGCCACAGGTGACTGTGGGTGTTAGTGAGGCACCCTGGGACACCGCTGAGACACCATTGCACATTAGAGACTCGGGGAGAACCATAAGGAACTGCACTGCAAATGTCAGATTAATAGGCTCTACGCACGCAAATATGCATTGTTCATCACCACAAAGTATAATGGAACGTTGTTAAGAAACCTTTCGGTGAACACCAGGAGAACAAACTGGGAGTTTAAATTATTAAGGGATTATACTCTGAGAAAAAAAGGGTCTTAAAACCAGCATTGTTTTCACCGTGCCAGCACACATGATTAATTTGTTTTAATAGTTGGTTTGTATCATGAAACCTCATTAAAGAATAGTTTGACAGAGTCAGCCTGTTTTAATTGAGATGATAAATGCATCATGGTTCTTCATTACTATTGGATCTTAATTGCATTTCACCCTGACCAATTAGCTGTGTGAACTTTTCTTCAATCAGAGTGTAAACAACACTGGTGAGGAAGAAAACAAGTAAAAGAGCAAATAAACCAGGACGGAAACATGAATAAGCAGGCTGTATAATAATCCGTCAGAGACAAGACAAGTTAAGAAAATGAATGGAGAGACAGGAAAAATATGAGCAGAAGACAAATAAAGAGGCCAAAAGAGAGTAGCATATTTTAATTTGAATAAGATGCTGAAATTGATTTCCCAACCTAATTTAATTGTGAGGAGCAGGCTGGAATCCAATAAAGCTGTTCTGCATCGACCTCAGCAATCCCTGATTGATCACACACAGGGAGAGTAAAACCACGAGGCCCGTGGCTTTTCCTTAACGCTCAGCGAATGAGCATCCGTCTCCATATTGGAGACAAGATTTACAGGTGTTTTCTGTCTGCGTCACTGTGAGTGAATGTGTGGAGCAAGCTGCTCAGGGAGAGAAATATAACCCTGTCTTTATCCTCCTAATTTATGCTGACTTGTTTGATTGAATGTAGACCCAAAAACTGTTGGAAATGTCTTCTGCTGATTCAACTGGAGTGCCTCGACCCATAACAATGGCAGAAATCTAGTGACGAATCTCTAGCATCTATGATTATTTAGCATCCTATACTTTCTTAACAATTAAAGATCACACTACTGATACTTTACCTTTTTCCTCACTATGGTTGACTTTGAGGGTAACTTTCCTCACGTGTCTGTCAAGAGTTCTGGATTTGTTTATTTTTTCCCTTTGAGTTAAATTTGGCATTTGTGTTTAGTGTCTCGTTTTCTTTTCCAGGTTTGTTGTAGCTCCTTGTCTTTCTCAATAAATCTCCTCTTTGTTTTTCCACTCTGGTCATCAGCTCCACTCCCTTCACCTGTGCTCATTATCTTCAGCTGTCTCCAATCACTAATCACTCTCCTCTGTACTTAAGCTCTCTGGTTCTCTCAATTCTTATCACTTCCTCATTGTTTTTATTTTTTAGCCAGTTCTCACTATTTAAGTAAAGGTCCCTTACTTTGTGTGTCTCACCATGTACAAATTCCTTGTGATTTTGAACTAATCTTATCTGTACTTTCATGGCTTCATTCCTGTTTTTGAGTTGTTTATTGTTATATTTGTGTTTTTTTAAATGTACCTATATTTCCACCTCAGTTGCACCGTTTTAAGTCTGTTTTTCAGTACTGAATATTACGACATACAAACATTTAGTTTTGATGTTGTAGACAGTTTAATCTATCTTTACCCAAGTTTTTTGTCCGTACTCTATGGTGTTAGCATTAAGAGCCTTACAACCCACTCGCAGTGAGTGAAATCCAGCTCATAAAACACCTCGAGTCATTTCAGTGACGTGCACACACATCAACTCTTCCCTACCTAGTTGAGTCGATTATAATTAATTACATTCTCTCTCCCCTTAATTTGCCTCCGGTAAGCTGCTTCTGTGTAGGGCTGTGTCTCTTACCTCGTAGATTCCGTATGAAGTCCTCCAACAGCATCTTGCGGTCGGGTTTGATGTTGGGGCTGTACATGTCCGTGTTGAGCAGAATGATGGCGAAGGCCAGGATAAAGATGGTGTCTGGGTTGTGAAATTGCTGCACCACGTCAGGGTTACACATGCAGTAGCGCTGGCTGTGGATATTAACAAGCAAACACGGAAAAAAGATGATTCTGAGAACAAATGGTAGAAAAACAAGACTTCTTTCATGTAAGAGGGGATAGGAGGGGGGTATTATGGAATAAAGAATGCCAGGAAATAGACAGGGGAGAAGAGTAAGACTAAAAAAAACTGGTTAAAAAGGGTTAAAAGTGAACAGATTCCATTATGTGAAGAACAAGAAGTGTAGGAAAGCTGAAAAACAAGAAGGTGTTAATCGAAAGTAAGGGTTACTCTCTCAGTAAACCAGATGCTCCTAAAAAGTCATTACTCAAGCTAAGCATGAGAGTGTCACGCTGAAATCTGAGTTATGGTTTTAATTTTGTTTTAGCTTCAGCTGAAGTTGTCACCGTCCCCTGGCAGCAATGAATTTCACAGCAGGCGAGGATGGCTCTGCCCTGCAGAGACACCGTCTCTCTGTGTGAGCTCATATTTGTAAGGGTGAGATCCCGCTAGCCTAGATAAAAAAAAACCACAGAGGTGCCGTTGGAAGTGCTGCATCACCATCTGATGCCGTAACTGCAGCACCTCTGACTACAGGCGCCTGCAGAGGATTGTGAAGCCAGCGGAGAGCCTCATCAGAGGGCCTGTCCCGTCACTACAGGACAGTAAGCACACCGTATTCTTTTTCAATACTTTGTTTGTGTCTGGGTTTTCAAGTCTGTCATTTCTCATTTTATGTGCAGGGAAAACAGCATCAGCTCTGGATGTACAATTGGAGAACCCACATAAGAATTAAGATTTATGCAAACAGACGGGTTGTTGACTTTACAAGGTAATCATAACTATAATCAGTCATTATTTCAACATTGAGGTGGTACAATATTTTGCAGGCTCAGTGAACCAAATTATTTGACTCTAATATCTCTTAAGTTGAGTGCAGGCTTACACGCTGTTAAGCATGCTTAGCTCAGTTGTCTTCTCAACTTTTTAATGAGCTTTATAGTACAGGTTACCTTTAAAATATATTGTAAAGTCAATTCTGTTGTGGATATGTATACATAATGACAGCTCAAACTGTCTTTAAGGGTAATCAAGACTCGGTAAACAGTTAGTATGCTACTAATTATGTGATAATAAAGACATAAAAGCTTCTGAAAACAAATTTAATGATAAAATGCACATGAAGATTCTTGCAAAATCATTGGATATTCTTAAAGTCCGATAAATTTGACTTGCCTTCCAAACTGGTTTGATTGTTCTGAGTAAATTATACTCTACGTGGAACCAACATCTATAGATTACTGGGAAAAATATCTCTTATTCAGAAATAAAAATAGTAACTGAACACATCTGCAGCATTGGAAGACGGTTTGTGTTTGTTCATCCATTAGTAGACTGATGCAGCAGATAGAGGCTGCTGACTGACTTTCACTTTTCTTTCTCGCACTTAATTCACCGCTTCTGCCTCAAATCCCCTTCTCTTACTTTGGAGATTTCTCTGTTTCTGTGTGTGTGTGTGTGTGTGTGTGTGTTTGGAGAAATTTCAAAGCCCAGGGGCAAGGGAAGCTGGCACAGAGAGGCAGTAGCAGTTATGCAACGCTAGTTATTTATAAACCCTGCTCTCTTTCCTTTTTCTGCCCTTGCTTCCTTCTCTCCCAGTTCGTGTCTCAGCCCCCCCCCACCCCCCCATCTCCACCCCCTAGCTCCCGAATAACATGCAGAGCCAGCCTGATGTCCAAACATTATTAGTGCCAGCCTCTCTGCCAGCCTCTCTGCTCGCTGACTATGACAGTGCAGACATTTTTCCCCTCATCGGGCACCTTGACAACTGTGACAGCTGGTTGTTATTCCAGAAGGGTTACACCAAACAGTTAGCATTAACTCACAGCGCCACAGCTGCTCTGCAGACTGTCACTCTGAAAATGATGAACGCGTAATAAATGCTCTCTCTATTCAGAGAGTGGCTCAATGATACGTGTTAGAAAAAACAACAACAAACAACAGGAAAATGTTGAGTGTGTTTGAAATCAAATTGGTTCATGTGAGCTGACGTCATGTTGACCAAATGATGTTGCAAGTTTAGCCTTCGCACTCTTCACATTGATATTTTGATACTTACAAATTGTAGAATTTGGAAGTTTAGAACATAGACGTTTTTGGGGAAAAGTGGCTTTTATTTAATCAGATAAGACACAATATTTCCTAACTTTTCTTCATTTCCCACAAAAGGTCAACAACAAAAACAAAGTCCCCTTGATGGATCATTTTCAAGTTAGGTGAAATAATCCTAATAATCATTAGTTACATAATAACTGCAGGAACATTGGTCTCAAATATTTTGATTGGCTTATTAACAAGGACCTAACATACAAAGTTGACTTTTTTTGCCTAGGTGTGCTTTTTAAAATCTCACTTCACCAGATATTAGAAAGACATTACAGATATTACAAGGAAAAACAACAACAGACGCAAATCTGCCTTGTACTCGATGAGATTCATATCTGAAAACATGAAGTAACCTCTTAGTTTCGTTTAGCTAGTTCAGTGAAGTCAATCAAAAGTGATATCAAATAATTGATTTTTTTAAGTGTTTGCCGATATTGTTTGCTAATGAACCAGCAGATACTGTTGTTCTCAAGAAATAAGCCTGAGACGTTACGCTTCTGGAAGTTTGATGGAATTTGGATGTTGGACTTTTAATGACAGCAGGAAGCTATATATATATATATATACATATTATCAAACTAAGGTCTATTGATTTATTTTGTGATTTAACTGCACCCTTTTAATGTTACCCTGAATTATTTCTGTACCTCTTGCAATAATTAGTTACCTGAATTAGTTCTTTTAGTCAGATTGCTTTGGCGTATAGAAGAGTTTCCATAATTCTATCATGTAACCATCTCTCATTTTCTCTCCTCTTTAGCAATTTAAAAGGTAGAAAGAATTACTGCCTTTTAACATCTAAAGTTTTTGGGATGACCTCAATCTTATGACTGTTAAAAAAAAAAGTCATAGGCTCCATTCGCACGTTCTAGTCAGGAAACCAACATCATCCACAGAGTGGAACATTATCTTAAATGATGTGCTCCGTCTAGATTAACTAACACATTTACAGAAGCTAAAGGAAAAAATCATAATGCGCTGCTGTTCATATTATAAATGACATGCGATAAAGGCCCCATAATAACCTCAGCTGCAACAAACTAGTATGGATTTCGAAAACTACTTCAAAGTCAGGGTCCACCAATCAATTTTTGTAGCATTTTTACAGTTGTGTGATTGAATCATTACATTTAACAGCCTGGTTCACACTCGGAATAACACTCACCTTAACCCTTCGAATAGGGAAATTAAAATCAAGATCACTGGACTGCAACAAGAACCATTAAGCAGCATTCATTGCAGATGAACTGAAATGAAATGCCAGCAAATTGCTTCAGAGACTATCCACACACACAAACTACATAACCAACAGACCACACATATTTACCTTCAGGTGGTGGACACAGGACCTTGACATTTAAAACCAAGTGGGCCATGTCAAGCTTTTGTTCCAGCATCTTTCAGACTCATTAATACTTGAGCATATCAGGGACCTCCTTTTATCTTTGCACTTCTTACACGGGATACCTTTTTATACAGCTTGTGTGTAATCTTCATTTATCTGTATTTGTAAGTGGTACAGTCTTATGTTTAGCCAAGCTTGCAAACTGCTAGAATTAATGAGGTATGGCCGTAAAGCTCGGTTGCTCTGTGTGGCCAACAATGCTTTTAACTAACATTTACAACAGCAGTAGAATGGACAAAACATTACCCACTAAATCTGAACAGAAATGTTTGACTCACTCGTTTAACTCAAAGTTTTACCTTGTTACAGTAACAATAAGCAAGTTACCTATCGGAAAAAGGGGTAAGCAGTGTAGGATAAACTATTGTAGTCATTCAAGCCGAGAGATTCTGGAAACATTTGACATAGGATGTTAGAAATAAGGCAGGTATTTGTAGATAAAAACTTTATGGCAGATGTCTGCCACAGCTTCCACACAACTTTTCTGGAAGAACCTGACAGCTCTGAGAAAGCAGAAAACAAATCAACCGTCATACCAAAATGCAATTAACATTTTAATACTTTAATCCATGTGTTGGTCACTAATTTGGGCTTCTCCTCTAAGCTCCTGACAGCTCATGTACCAGAGACAAAAATGCAGATTAAAGAACATTAAAAAAAAAAGCAGTTGCTTCTGTGTTCGTCTGGTTCTAATTACCTGAAGGCCTCGATGAGACGTTCGACCTTCTGGGCTTCTCCCTGGACGCGTATGTGGGCCTGAAACTTCCGGAGAGCTTCGTCCAGCTCCATGCCTGAGAAGTCCATCTCATCCACCACGCAGCTGTGAGGTTCGGGCAGGGGTGGGACGGATTACGAGGAGAGAAAGAGGAAGAAATATTCAAATTTAAAACAAAGTTTGTGTCGATATTATTGAAGTTTGTGCCCCTTCACTCAACATGTGGATGCGACAACTGATGGGGGAGTCTCACTCTTCTGCCTTCTGCTCTGAGCACCACCACTAGCTGCAGGTATTAGCCACGCACGGACAGCAGGGATAAGACCGGGCCCGGCTATCTTTTCTGGGCCAACACACACACACACACATTCACAATCCTGCGGAGAAAATCCCTCCATTACCTGACAACCCTGGCTTAATGACTTTGATTAAAAAGCAAAATACCCCCATCCAATGGGTTCAGGGGAATAAATACAACTTGGGCAATTCGGAGGTGATGTGAGGTTTGGATTTCAGGGTGACTTTGATGCCGCAGGCCCTGTTGAAGTACGAAGTGAAACGAGAATCAAAACTATGAAATTAAAGGTTTTTGGTGTAACTTTCATGTGGTTCACTTCAAGCCAAATCACACTGGCTTGATAAAAATAAATTGCTCTTTGCCTCTGTCATCGTGAGTCTTCTTTTGGTTAGAAGGACAGCGTGTTCATAGGAGAGATGATGGAGTTGATCTAAAAGTTTTCGACAGCACGAAGCTATGTCAACACTCCGCCTTCTGATCTTTTCGTTTGTTGTACTGCAGGAAACACTGGCGTAGAGGCACACACACACACACACACACACGCTCTCCATTTTGATGGATTGCTGTGAACAAAGAGAGTTAATGAGGTGAGTACTTGACTGTGACACATGCTGCTCCAGCAAAAACGTCAGACGGCTGAGTGTACAATGCCTTACACACTCTGAAAGCTGTATTACAATTAATTCAGTATTTTCAAAGCCACTTCCCCCACTGATAAGACAGAATCTATCCTTTGCTCTTTGGCCACTTCTGATGCTTGTGCTTACTTTCAATTTAACTTCTACTGCTGGAACACTTCAGCTGCTTCTTGTGACACTGCTGTACTGCACCACTATTACTCTATAAAACTTGGAAGTACTTTGCTGGTAGTGATGTTATTTTGTCTACTTGCTATCACGTTCAGTGCCCCAACTTGCCCCATGCAGGTTAACGATGTACATTAGACTGCAATCATGCAGCTACTTCTGTTCGAGTTACTTCTCCGATATCACTTATTATTAGTGCTGACCGTAATGTTATATCACAGACTCTGGGCACAGCTGAACAAATGGAAACTGTATCCTTCTGTCTTTTCTCAAATTGATACGTATGGAATTATAGGGTTAAAGGAAAGGAAAGGAATATAATTCAGCCAGCTCCTCCAGTGGCAGCCACTCAAATCGTTTGGGTAACATTAGACTGTTCAAACAGAGCCATTGTCTGGATGGCAGCATATGTTGCCTCAAAGTCATTGTATATCTCATTTAGCGTTAATGATGGCCTCAGTGATGTGAAAGTCATCCATGCCAAGTGTAGCAATGCACCCCAGTTCCATCCCAGCTGTTGGGTGCTAAACAGTGTATTGATAAGAATGATGTGAAAACACAAGAAAGCCTTAGTCCTTCTTTGACAAACTAAGATAGCAGTGGTGCACAATTATTTTTCTTTTTTTACAAGACCTTTTAATATGCAGTGTAGTATGCAGCAACAAACTATGCTCCCTGATGACAGAACTCTGAAGGAGGATCCATTTTATTTTTGGTTTTTTTATTGCAATATCACTACTGCTAACTACCTTTACCATTCCTTAATTTGTGAAAGGTGGATGACCTTTTTGCAAAATCTTGCCATATACAACAAAAACTGTTATCAATAATCATACTATCACTGAGCTTGAAGTATCAAACTTGGTTCTAAGAGCCGACAAATTTTTGGAAGAAAAAGGACTATTTTAAACTGTATTTTACATCAACCTGGAACCGATTGTCATTTTAAATGCATTTCTTTTAGGTTGAGGCTCTGAGAAAACCCTCTTCATGACGTTATTCCCCCATCCGCCACCTCTTTCTGCCTTCTCTCCTGGTTTGTTGATGTGATGTCAGATGAGATGTTCTCTGGTTGAAGCACATCATCCCTCTCCCTCTTCCCCCATCTCCTGACCATGTACCCCCACATATCTTACATGATAGAGCATGAAATAAATAAAGCACATATTTGTAGACACAGGCCTACACGTACTAATTACATTTTGTCATGTTTAACAAGTTCTCAATTTAATGTTTAACCTCAGACGATTGGAGCCCAAACCTACAACTTCCATTTGATTCAACTGACTGAGACATCTTGATGACTGTTGAGCATGTTTGGAAAAATGTTAAAAGAATGGCATGTTTTAAAAAAAGTGCCACAAAATGAGTAGCAGAAAATCATAGTCTGGTGCTTTCCTGTATGTCTACAGGAAAGCACCATGGCTGAAAACACATATTCGGGCTGAGTAAATCACTATGAGTGATTTTCACATCAGACTGCAGTCCGTCACCCACTTTCCTGTGACTACACTTTACCACACACTCACTGTGCTCGCTCCTATTGTGTTTCCCTTCAACATCACATCTGCCCCCGTGTGCTGCTGATAAATGAAGGAAAATTCTCACCACGTCTCCATAGAACCTGCACCCAGAATATATATGTGCTGAGAACTTGAGCTTGAAGCCTTAAGAGGATAATCCTGTTAATAAAATGTATGTGGGACCATGACATTGTTCAATTCAGAAAATATGGATATTAGATGGGGGTGTGCTGACATGAACAACTTAGCAGGTTGCTGTTGAGTTTGTCTTACCTCGAAGAAAGCAAAAGGGTGGAAAATAGATGGTATAAGAAGAAAAATCCTCCACAAATTGATATGTAAATTCGAGGAAATTGGTAAATAGGGGAATGTATTAGAATAAAAATGACAATATCAGGGCAAGCGAAGCATGGTGTTTAGGAGATGGGAGGAGACTAATGTAGTCCCAGAGAACACAGCAGCAATTACTTACAGGGTATGACACATTCTGAGGTGTGTGAGTCATGTGTGTCCCAGTGTCACACATGCCTCCTTGACATAACACACAGTGTCTTCACATTTATTTTGATGAGTAACACGAGGTTGACATTATTGACTTTGCTCATCTAAGCTTTGGGTACATCTGTGTGCTGTGTCACTTGTCTTTTGTCGTAATATAGCTTTGTGGCTACAATGAAAAACCACAGTACATTCACAGAATTTTTTTATTACATTTCTGATGCTTTTGAAGGAGTTAAATAAAAAAATAGAAGTGTTTGGAAATATTTACTAGCTACTTAGTTATTTAAATGACATGGAAGCAAAGAAAACGTCTACTAATTCTTATGACATTATAGGCACTTTGTTCATTCGATTTTGGCCGATAGAGGTATTAGCTAAATAAGAGTGCTGGTCATTGTGAAGGTCAAGTGTTTCCTCTGGCTCCCTCGGGGAATCGCCAGGGGTGGACGCACCATTACATACAGCACTTTAAACAATGACAGCCCACCTCAAGAGCAATGTATGCTGACATTTTGCTCACGTCTTGGATACATTTTGATAATTAAAAAAAGGCCACGGTGCGACAGAATTTCTAACTTTTACAAAAAAACAATAAAGTAAATATAAAAAATACAAGAGACCCACCCTTGAGCCAGTGTCTGATTATCTCCTTCGAGGCTACTGAGGGCTTGACTGTGTCTCCGCAGAAATATTCATGCAAAGTCAGTTGGCCTTTGAGGCTATTCTTTTCATATTTGTCAATACAGCATGTGATATCTGAAAGTGTCTGAAATGTTAGATCTGATTCTCAGGCTGTTTGTTGGTCGAATCAAGCATGCCTTAGAACTGCATCCCTGAAACCCCATAAATAATTTTCTATAATTAAAGTGAAAGTGTTCCTTGGAAAAATAGTAGAGCAGCTCCTTCTCTGGGCTGCAGGCCGTGTTGTGTTTGACTGACAGTCGCTGGCGGCCTGCCAGATTGTTGCTGCCTCACTTATCTCTGTACCCGTGGATGTAAAAAGAGGGGACCACACCAGAATCTGCTCTACCCAAAGTTACATTTGCAAATCCATTCACATGCTGATTATATGCTGCAGCCGCTGAGCAGCTAATTAGGCATCAAGTCTGCAAACTAATGTTAACTGTGTCTTTTTCGCTAGTTAATTCTTGTTTGGTGGCCTATGGAACAATGTGAGGTACAAGATAAATGTGTTTCAGTACAATGTGTTTTGTGCATGTCCGAGGCTTTTGTAGAAGGTTTCTTTTTTCTGTCATAAATCTGTAACATCACTGCCTCATGCAAAAGTGATTGATTGGCTGCATGAAATTAAGGCATCAGACCATTACGAACAGTGTAAGACTCAGTTCCTCCGGATACGTATGTACAAATATCCAGCTCGAAATATTGTTTTGCTTTTTGTTAGCTCAGCCCTTTCGCTTATTTAGCTTATTTCCATTTGATACCATTTGGGTGCATTCGCTTTTGTTAAAATTAGATTTTAGTGTCCTTGCCGTAAAGTTATTAATTTAGATAACAAAGCATTTAAACACTCTACAATAGTTCAAAGTTGTTCATGTATGGAATAATTACTTTGCTTAACCCCTTTGATAAATAAGTGCTTTGCTCTGAGATTTAACCAACTCAATGTGAGGAAAAGAAAACATTTGTAAACCCGTGTCACTCACTCTAAAACATCTCTGTTGAAGGGCTTTTTGCTGTTCCCGAGAAATTCTCCAATCATCTGTCGGCTCAGGCCCTTTCTCTGGAGTAGGAAGTGGGCTACGCCAATGGGTGTGTCCGGGATAAAGCCCCGTGAGATCAGGAACTGGAGGCCCTTATCAGGGTTTCTGCAACAAATAAGAGAGCAGAACATGATTTAATAAAAATAAATTTGGTAGAAAAACATTGAAATGTCACAAGACACTCAACAACGCAGATATCTCAGGTCAGGAGTTTCTAAGCAGATATATAACTTCGGATTACTATTTTGTTTTGAAACTGATTAAATAACATCACAGAAACTAGCAACCATTCTGAAATTTGACCATCACCACTAAATTCATCATATCAAGAGATATACATTTTAAGATTGAGATCATTCAAATGTCTGCTGAAGTTCTACACTGATCAAAAACTTTCTTATTTTGTTTTTACATGTTATACCACTGTCATCTTTAACAATTGCTACCACACAGTGTGTCCTGTGAAGTTCTATATTTTTAGTTCCTTAATTTATCGTCACATTATTTAAATTGCAGTCTGCAGAGATTTCCCCATTTCACTGTCTCGAGGTGACAATGACATTTTCATCCATTATTATCCATAAAGTACAGCTTTTATTCAAGTGAGGGGTTTTGTGTATGTGTGTGCCATAGGTAATGGATTTAGAAACTCAAGGGGAGGATAAAGGGCAGAATAGAATAGGGAGGCTGAAAGGGGACCAGACAAAGCAGATGTGGATGAATGGCAGGATGAGGAACGATCAGTGCAGACTGGACTACCGGAGAGTGTCGGCCATAAATGCCTCAGCTCTCTCAGCTGTTAGCTCGACCTCTCAGCAGAAGGTGATGTCTTGCCAAATGAATTTGGCAGATATCGCTCATCTGATGTTTGCCCAACAGCAGATGGATGGTACACGGTGATTATTATTTGCAATCAGTAGAGATGGGTGAAGACTGGAAAATTTTAGAGGAGTTACGAGATATAGATTTTGGTGTTTTTTTTCTGTCATCCCTACTGATTTGCTTTAGTCATCAATCCCGTCCTGAGTTTCTTATCAACCTCCTGTTCTTTGACATCCCCCACCTACAAAATTTCAGATGTGATTGGCTCTATAGTTCAAAATTGAACAGCCTTACATCTTTATTTCCACGTTACTGGTTAGGTTACCAGTAAAAGCAGAAGGTTAATACAGCAAACAAACATTTAGCTTTCTGTGGAGCTCCTGCCTGCAGATAGATAGGTTTCCCTGGAGGAGTTCAGCATACTTTGCAGTGGTAATTAGCCCCACTTGACATGTTTTTGAATATCGCTTTTAAAGGCTTAGCCTTGAAGCTTTCGTTTCTGAAATTCATCAATCTGATGGCATTCCCGGTGTCATGTATGATAAGTCCAAAAGAGGTGCTGTAATTGATTTTATTTTGCTTTAAATCTTTTGAAATGTATTAAACTAAGAAAATAAATAAAATAAACTAAAATCTGCTATTGTGGTTGGTTATTCTCAGCTCCGTAGGTCCATTGCTGGTTGAAGATTTGCCACTGCAGCCCCTCTTGATTGATGTCAGTGTCCTTGACACACACCAGCCACAAAATGGAGTCATTGTCATTCCAACCACTCTCAAGGTGAAAACTTTATCAAGTGGTCTCAACCTCCTTTCAGCACTGCCTTTTTTCTGTCTTTTTCAGTTCTTCCTCGGCTTTTACACCCTTTTTCCCTTCCTCTCCTGTTCATCTTTTCATTCTTGGTCAAACTGACATGCGTACCATAAAACACCTGGTTTTCTTTCTTCTTTTTTATTTTATTTTTCTAAGTGTTCCTTTCAACCCTTTCAACCAACATCTAGGGATTATACAAGACACGCACATGCTGGCAGTTTACATCACTTAACTATTAGCATTTATAAGCTTTTTTTGGCTGCACAATCATGAAAATATTGAGATTCTTCCCCCAAGCAAACAGGCCTGTTTAAGATGCAAAGGATACAACAGCACAGGTATGAGAGAGATGATATGAACTGGTGGAACTAATAAGCCTCAGTCGATTTCCTCCACTCTGCTTTTTTATCTTTTCTCTTACGTTCTATTTCTATCTCTCTTTCCCGGCACAAAGTTCATTCAAAGTCAGCTTAAATTTCAAGGTGTCTGATCAAAGTAATGAGAGGAGAGTTTAAAAACAGGATACAGAGCCTGTCATTAAAAAGAAGAAAAACAGAAACTTTAATGGTCACAGAATCTCGCAATCCAACTGGGAGCTTTCTGGGAACTCTCAGCAGAAATGTGTGTAGTAATAGCCTCTTATATTTTGTGAGAATTATCATCTGAACTGATGAATGCTTCATCCAGTTTCTGCCTGCTACCCCAGTTGCTCTTCAGAAATCATTTATCAATCTGAACATATGTAAAAAATAAAAAAATAAAAAGATTAAATAATCATAGATCAAATAAATGTGGACATCATATTGTCATCTGAAATATCCAGACAATGCAGATGGGCTTACGGTTTAAAAATGTCTGATAGCAAGCAGGGCCAAATCCTGGGATAAGATAAACAGTTATCTTATAACCCCCCCCGCCCCCCAAAAATGCATATGAAAAATATAAATTGTGACTTGACTAAAACAATTTGTCAGTAGGTTTACGTTCTGTACTATGAGTTCCATGTGTTCTATTACTAAAACATTGTTTCTTTCTTTTATGGCCATGCTTTAAAGGAGAACAGAAAATAAATCAGACAGCAACACTGTTTAAATCTATAGTTACAGAACATAAAAATATGATAAAGCCATAAAGTATTTAAGTGGTTGCAAATACGTTTTCAATGCCAAGGACAGAATGGCTAATAACTCTTTTTTTATTTACACATAAAGGAAATAGCAAGCTCTCAAATACCATTATAAAATTATTGTGAAGAGACATTTTGCTTTTTGGATGACAAGATATGGAGATGACTACATCACACACAACATTAAATTTCACATTGAGTTTAAATTGTGCAATTCAAAATTCAATGTAATCATATACATTTTTTGATTGCATGAATTTATCTTGCCTTTTAAAAGGGTTCAAGCAGCATGGGATCATGTGTGTGGTTCATTTCTATAGTTTGCTTTATAATCTATCTTTTTTTCTTCTCTGAAGCTCATCACTCTTCACTGTTAAAGTTTTGTGTGCATTTTTATCCTTGTTTCAATTACACTTTACCGCATACTGCTCAATGGTTCTACATTGATAAAAAAATAAATAAATAAGGGGTTCTTCATTGTGTTCCTGTGCACACTACACAATTATACATCATGATATTATGTGTTAATGGATTTGTAGATTTGCATACATTTTTAGAGACAGAGGGCATTGGTGAGCATTGTTATAAATTAGTTTAAAAATGGAAAGTAATATAATTAGAACTGAAATATTTTTAATTTCATAAAAGAAAACCCTAGCAAATTGGTCTATTTCTAAAATGTGATAACGGTCATATAACGGTTTAGTTTTACATTTAATTATATTGCACATTGACTTTGTTTGAGAAGATTTGCTTATTTTCAGATCAGAGTTTGTTCATTAAAAGCTTTAATTCTTGTTTAAACCTGCCACATTTGAAACTAATAGTGTATGCTAAAGTAAAAAATGTCCAATCATGCGGCCAAATAATTTCCTCCACTCCTTATAAGTGAGTACACTTAAGTGAGTTTGTTACTCCTTTTTGTTTTCGATGTCAAACTAATCGGCTTTATGGTGAGCCACTAATCAGAGCAAAGCTTGGCAATAGAGGTGGAAAAACAAAATATGAGGTCCAATCTTGTGAATTTGTGGTGCCAAGATACGGATGAGCCCCAGGAGAAAAACTAAAGTTCAGGGAAGAAAGAAAATTTAAAAGTTTGTTAGTCCATTTCCCACAGTGCAGAAAGCACTTTTCATTGCCTGGATGACTTTCAGCAATATTACTAAGAATTTTTGGTCTGTGTGAATAATTGCCATTGTTTGAGCTCTTTTTTTAATTCCTTTGTGAATTTGAATGAATTCATACCAAACAACTGAGCTCAACATGTATAAAGATCCAGATTTACTTGGGTGGCCGTTTCCATTGATTGTTCCTTTGGGATAAGCTGTCAGAACTGTTTAGCCCTTACCATTTTCTTTTTGTGTGTGTGGCCTGTCCCTGATATTTGCTTTTCACCTGCTTCTCTTCTTTGCTGCCAACAGTTTATCCTCCTCTTTGTATGCCCACTATTTCCAAGGTTAACAGGTAACCAAAAAGCATACCATTGTACTGCAGGTTGTGTAAAATAGCACAATTTATGACCAGTACAGCAACAGTGCAATATTCCCAAGGACAGTTCAAGAAAAATGTCACATCCGTCTTATTCGCATCACCTGAGACCTGAGTTAAACTCACTAGCGCAATAAGCCTAAACTCTGCTGTGACCTCCCCTCCTTTCTGTACCAAAGGGAGAATGGTACCTAAATAAAACATATTTTATTTCAGCCCGGCCTGCTCACGGCTTGATAGTCTGCTCTAAAGAGGAGTGAAAAAGAAAAACCTCTAAAGCAGCATTCCTTTTTTTTCACCTCTGAGACGGAAAACATGGTCCACAATGTGTTGGGGAGCTTTAACATAGAGCTTATGCTTTTCTCTGGTACCTATGCTGATCAACAATCTTATCTTCATCAGTCTAACCTCTAACAAACCTCAAAGGTAATTTTTCTACAGGGACACAGTGTCTTTACAATGTATCTTGTGGACCATTACCAAATTAAGTCTGCAATTAATCATTTTGTTACTCATGACATCTCCACAAAATAATGTTTGGGGATTATAAAGCTTATTTTAGGACATGTTACGCTGCTATTTCACCTCCATCATTGAAATGCAGCACCTTCCTTGATTTAGAGACATTGAGTACCAATCCTGCTGCAATATGACTAGGGAAAGAGGCCTGGACTCAACACTCTGCATGTGCTGGTATGTATGTAGTTATTGTTATGATGCTGAAGGAAAAGGAAAAGATTTAAGCATTTTTTTTTACATGATTTTGGCAGTGACCTTGGGACTTGCTGCATCATGACAGTTTTATTTGTTTCCTGCAGTGTGGGCAAGCCTGACTAAAGCTCCAAGAAATTCGTAATAACTACTCATGTTTGAATAGTTCAGAAAGACAAAACATCACCTCGACAAGCTGGTTTGTTGTCGCAGGGCTTATACGGTTTCTTGTTTGAGTGCTGATTCATTCTCGGCCTCTGTCGACCATGTTATGTCCACACAGTGTGTACCATGGATAAGTGAAAGATCAACATGCGTTGCAGCTAAGAATCACTGTGTCTATCTTTCATCTTTACTATTTCGGGGTTATGCATCTGCACCATCCTTCTTTTGTGTCCTGGTCCTCAAATGTTCCTATTGTCTTATATTGTACTCAAACAAATTGATCTCACACTTCTCTGTCTCAGTGATTCAGCCCCTCTCCTTTAGCCCTCATGCTTTTGTCTCACTGGGAAGAAAGATGTTAAGCTTAGTACTCATGGCTACACTGTATTTTTTTGTTCAGCACAATGGGGATCTGTCTACTTTTCCTTGCTCTTTTCAGGCCACAGAGTCCTATCAGACTTTGAACATGTGGAGAATGGATGAACGTAATGAATGTTTCATAAATCTCACGTTACAAGAAGTATTCTGCTTTTAACATCTACTTATACCTTTCTTTGAAAGCTTTCAAAATCCTCAATAATCATTTTAAATGGAATTTTAATGAATGTAAGAGGTTACTGGAACAATAGACCAAAATATCCAGTATTTTCTTTAGTCCTGACTAGACAGAGCAACAATCACCCGATATTGTCAGATTGATGATAACTGTAACATTGTGTCTACTTTGTAAGTCGCTTTGGATAAAAGCATCTGCTAAATGCATAAACATAAACATAAAAATATAAATCCCAATAAGTACAGTTCTCTTGAAATTCTTGAATGTTGTGTGAATATGATGTCCCACCTCAAACAGAATATGCACAAAATATTAATTGTTTATTTCGTATACTTTTAAGTTGCCACTTCTGTCATGTGCATGTCTCCTGAGTGCCAATAAATGCTCATGGACTGCAGTTAGCTGTGGTGTACAACTGAGTGCTGAAACCTTTTTCAAAATGTAATGACATGATCAATGATGATTGTAGGAGCCACTCACACATTGAAGAGGTTGAGGCCGATGCGGTATAGACGTTTTCGCATGACATCTGTAGACAGAGTAGGGGACTTGCAGCTGGCGGGGTTCTCGCAGTGGTAGCGTGGCAGGCTGAGGATCATGGCCTGCAGCGCCTCCTTGGATGAGGCTTCGGATGTTGAGCGAGCCTCCGTCGACGTGCTGCTGCTGCTCATCTGCTCTGAGCTGTTGTCTGCTGTCTCAGAGCCACATCTCTTAGCGTCTAGAGGCTCGGCCAAAGGAGCGCTCCCTAACGGCACGGTCTCCGGTGGTGGGGGAGCAAGAGGAGGTCCGGCTGGAGGATGTGGTGGGAGGGTCACCATCACCACCTCCTCAGGGCTTTGAGGGGCAGCCATCTTGTCCAGTGGCGTCAGGGGAGGTTGTTCCTCGTCCCCCAGATCTTCCTCTGGTGGAGGTGGATCAGGGAATTCCTCATCCTGGTCTCCTCCTTCTGTATCCGATTCTGGCGGGGGTGGGGGTTCTTGCGGTGGCGGTGGGAGATCCATGAGCTCACGTAGGTTCTCTTGAGAAATACGCTCATCTTGTTGTGATGAAGTAAGTAGGACAGCAGCTGGTGTGGAGTTGGTTGTTGCGGGAGTGCTCGTGACCGTGGTGGAAGCTCCGTCCTGTTGGATGCAGCTGCCAAGAGTAACTGAAGTGGATGATTCCATAACTGAAGAGGAAACTCTGAAGTTCTGGCTGTCAATCTGGACAGTCACATCTCGAAAAGCCATCATCAGCTTGCTCGCACTTCTCGACAGGTCACTTGGGTCCACCGCACCTTGCAAGACGGTTGGCTCTCCCACAACACCTCCTTCTCCACTTACTCCAACTCCTGTAGCGGCTGCTGCACTAAACGAGTCAGCACTGAACTGATAAGTGCCACTTTCTTGCAGTGAACACATGGTTTTCAGGCTCCAGTTGCTGAGCGCATCATCTATGGACTTTGCAAGTGACTGGACCTGTTCGGTGAACGAGTCTTCCAGGTCAGTCAGGGTGCCACCAACTGTGGCAGGAAGAGATGGTGAGCGCACCAGTGGGATGCCTGCCAAGTTACAGCCTTCTGCCAGGGCCCGTTCAGCAGAGAAACCCTCCGTATTTTGCACGCGGACCTTGCGCATGGAGATGCGTCGAGGTAGTCGACTCTCCAGGAGGGAATTGCGGATTTTCTCGAAGTTTTTGCTGAGCTGGTACTGGCGGAAGGCAGTCTGGATCTTACAGGCAGCACGGCGGGAGATGAGATGGCCGCCGTACTTATGCTCTAACATTTCGATCTGCAAGAGACAAAACAAAGACAAACAGACGAGACATATTGAATTAATCAAATTCTCAAGTCTTTTTTAATGAACGAATAATGCACTGCTAACAAGACAATCTGCTTTCATGTAAATGGATGTCAATTATGACAGTGATGGATGCCAGTCAGTTTGGATTATCAGAACAGTGACAGCCACATTGAAAAGAAGAGTGTTTTCTTACTTGAGCAACTAAAACTTTTTGTCACCACGGGTTTTGAGAGATTAATTAAATTAAAGTGCAATAATACAGAAAGAAAAACGGTTAATTTTCTTCAGAAAGTAGAACTTGTAGAGAAATTCCTCCACACAACTTTAACTTTTGTCTGAGGCTGAAGAAGTTATTAATCTCGCCTGTGAAAAATTGCTAAAATGCTGTAGGGAAATGGATAGAGATGCAATATAGCTATCCTCATCGGGCAATGGCTAATAGACTAAATGAGACATTTTTTAGTTTCCCAGAACAATCAGGGTGGGGATATCTTTGGAAGTGCCCAAAATAATCTTCTCAAGTTACGCCGAGATTCTTTTCATTCATTCAAAATCAGTGAATATAATTATGTCTTTGTTCTGTCACAGGCATGAGCATGAGGGGAAAATTTTAATGTAAAATAATAACAGCACCAGTTCACAGACATATCTAAAAGAGCGTTTGTTCTACATATTGTTCATTGAAGTGTAACTTTACAGTGGAATATACTTTTATTTTAGGAAATATAAATCCTTGATGTTCTCTCTCATTTTCTTGAGGATTTGAGTCATCCTCTTATATCAGGGAGATGTGTACATGAGGATTAAGTTAGTCCATATAAAATACCGCCCCTATCAACTAAAATGCAATCAAGTGACCAAAGAGGATCAAATTTAGCTTCAAATCTGGTTTAACTTTAGTCATGGACAATGTCACCAAACCACCTCATGCAGACATGAAATACAGTAGAAAGAAATACCACTGATAGGCTATAATGGCTTGAGGATTTGCAATTTGTGATAAGTGGCAAGCTCAGCCATATGCAGCTTCTGTCCCTGTCATTGGAGGAACAAAATCTCCAAGAAAGCTCTTTACAAAAGTGGAATGACACTGACAATCCATCTTATCTATTCCATTTACATTCCTCTGCAGAGCCTCTGCGAGTAAAGTGAAACATACTGAGAATATTAAGGTGGTTTCTGAATAGAACACAAGTTTATAGCAACTGTATCTGCTGATGCCAACTCTGCAGCTGTTAGCTCTTGAGTCTGGTCAAACTCTGCCTTCATTTTTATCACTTCTTAAGATGGATTGTTCTGTACTGTTTCTAGTTTTATCACCATAACCGTGCAGCTTTTTTTTTTTAAAGACATGGATCATTGTAAATGTGATTGACCTCCATATTCAGAAAGCTGTTCTTCAATAAATCACATTCTGTCACGTCCACTGCAGAGGTGCCTTTTTATGCAAGAGCGAGCCATCATCATGGCTGCTTTTGATTAAATGTAGCAGTTGAGCCTGTTTGTTTTGCCCTCCTCATAATCAGGATGGGGGAAGATGAATAAAGTATTTGGGTCATGTTGCTTTCTTTATTAGAGTGTGCATCCAATACACTCATTCAGATGGAATAACAGGCACAAGAATAAGCATCACGGATGAAGAAAGAAAACTAAAGAAAGAAAAACGCAAGGAAAGTAGAAAGAGTTTGATGCCAGGCTTTCGAGGTTTGCAGCAGAACAACATGTGTGCTTGTATTCCATTTTTTCTCCACAGTACTGTCAAGGTTACTGCAGCAACACTGCAATCAACTTCTGCTCTGTTGCGCAATGAACATTTTTTTTCTATTAGTGATGCCGTATCTATACATATTTCTTAAGCCACAGAGGAGCTCCAAACAGACAGAGCTGAACAGTAACAAAAAAGATACGGGTTCCCTTGGTAACAAACAAGCTCCTGCTGGTGGGTTTTCCCCCTACATGCAGTAACTTAGTCAGTGTTTCCTTTTTTTTTGTCAGCTATGAGTAGTTACTCAGAATGTTTGCGTACTGCTGCTGTAATTCAGTTGTTGCCCACAAATCGATTGTGGCCCAAAAAGATGAATAATCAAATCTCTTCTAATTTGAGGGTTTTGTCACTTTATAATGAATAATATGTTAATATCATTAGCTTTGGAAACACTGCTATTCAGATTGATATTGTTGAAGAAAAATTTAAAGTGGGCCAAACCAAGGGTGCTGAAGGGAAGGTGACACATAAAAGAGGTGGTGAGACGGATGACTGACCTGAGAATGGCATTGCTGGAATTCCCCCCATTAACCCCCTGTCAGTTTTACCTCTGATCACTTAACTAAGCTTGGTCGAAATGAAAGATTATTCCTGAGACATAGCACTTTATACGAATAGTGATGGCCTTGCTGTGTTCCAGCACTGCCTCTAAATCGATTTTGACAGGTAGAACAGTGCCATGCTGACCTCATGTTGCCCTTTGAAACAAGAAGGAAAAAAAAATGCTGCACAATGCAGTGCAAAGTAAGATGGCGATGCTGAATGTGTAGAAATGGAAAGATGTTTACATATTAGCACATGTATTGAAATGATCTTTTTCAGGCTTAAAGGCAGACATGCACTGGCTTGATGAATGGCACATGTCTCAACATGGTCAACATCCATAAAAAAATACAAAACCAGGACAAAAGTGTTTGATGAGTACATTACACATCAGTTATATATTTGAAATATCTTCCAGCAGTGCACCAGGAATGATGAAGTCCCAGGTATTGTTTTTCACTATATAAAGACATTAATACCCTGGGGCTTTGGGGAAGGGAAGTGTTTCGCTGTGAAAATAATATGCTTGAAATGAAAATGTGGCGCATAACAAAAGGTCGGCCAAAACATGAATAAGAAGTTCCTAATTTTTCATCAGGTTTTGAAAGACATATTTACCACTGTGTGCCTACCTCAGACAAAATTTTCTTAACCCTGAATCATTATTTGGTTTAAATCAACATTAGCAGTCTCAGACAAATCACTGATGCCGCCCATAGTCACTGATGTGTGTTAAAGACATCTCACCACAGGAAAGCCCCTAAGCTTGATCTCATCACAGAAAAAGGACAATGATTTTGGATTGTTCAATAGGGATAAACCGAAGGGTCATTTCTAACCTAACCTTGAAATTTTCTTAAAAAGGCAGAAAAAAAGAGAAAAAAATCTTCAGTTTTATTGAAGAGTGACAGAAAACTCACCTGGCTTAGCAATCAAAATATCATTTGTGTTTTTACATATATTTATGGAAAATTATCATTTCTTGGAATGGTAAAAACAAAAGTTGGGTTTAAACCTGAGGGTACTTAGTGAAAGTCTATCCTTTTCTTTGCTGTCACCATTCCCACCAAACGTGGAATCATATTGCTATCTCTGCCAACACTCACATACTATTCTACATCTCACATGTAAACACCAACTTTTTCATGAGAAGGTAAGCCAAAGAAGATAACCACACATCGCCATGTGGTTTAACAGGTCGTGTTGGCATTTAATACTACCCCCTCAAGTAACTTTTTTCTTCTTTTTTGGTATAAACAGATTTGTTAGCATTCACTTATTAGTGCATTTGAAGGAACTGAATTTTGCATGCAGTGGAAATTAGACTGAAATGCAAATCCGTGTTATTAGCTTTCAGGCGTCATACTTTTGCAGCACAGATATTTGTATGATAAATAAGACTACTACATTACATAATCACAAAAGTGTGATATAATTCCTGCTGACTGCAATTAGAAAATGAGGGAGACAATATAAATGACTTTCCATAAAGGATGAAGATTATTTTAGTTGATGCATCATTGTAGAATAAACGAAAAGTTGAAAGTAAAAATGGAATCAATTAAAAGTTTACAGCTAAAGAAGTAACAGAAGAACAGTTACCAACTCACCAGTATGAACATACCTTTAAGTATAGTTAGATACTGTTTTAAATGTGCTTTTGACAAATCGCTGTTCAAGCTTTGGCTTTGGGGAGCAGCAAACTCTTTAAAGAACTTGCAAAAGAAGTTTAAACCGAGTTTTCTGAATTGGAGGTTTTCCGTTAAAGAAGGAATATTATGGAAAAGTCACTTCATGCTTTATACTTTAGGGCATATATTTGAGTGTCTGAAGTTCTTACCACCTAAAAATCCTTTATTTTGGGGGGGTTGGGGGGCTACATTTAAAAAACTCAGGGGGATACCGTCAAATTTGCAGGGAAAAAAAGCATTATAAGGTCATCAAGCCTTTGTCACATTTGTTTTGAAGTACCAAGACAGAGCAGTGAAGTCGCACATGCTGCACAGCCCTCTTAAAACCAAGACTCTGGGAGCTCTTTGAGTGATGACCCTCTAACCGGGGTCTCATGTATGGTTAAACACCACTGTTAATTTCAGGGTTGCTGCAGTGGAAACACAGGGAGTTAAGGACATGGACATTTCACAAGTTCCTAGCCCCTGGTGCAAATTTCAAAAGTGTTATATAAACAACCAAACACACATAGTGCTGCGTTTTAAATGCGTTGCCAGGCTGTTTAATTCAGCTAAACTGAAAATGCAGAAGGCTTGAGGGAAACACTATTCAAATTGTTTGTACACGGTCATATGAATCAATAATCAAGTGTTTATGCGCATTTCTAATAAAACAAAATTAAAAATCCATTAGTTTTAGCATGGTTTTTTGTCTTTTGGAGGTTGAACAGTCAAGATTAAGTGAGTTAAATAATCCATCATGGGATTTTTCCACAGCAATCAAGGTATCGCAGTGCAGAACCAATTATTCTGACATTGATCTGAGGATCTATCAGCTCCCTGCACCTCCACCTGTACAGACAGAAGATCAATCCAGCTGATGGCATATCTCAAGCCTCGTTGACAGCGAGATAGTAGAAAGGGACGGTGCTCTGATGTGAGATTAAAAGAGCGAGAGAGAAACACTCGTTGGAAGCTGAGGTTATCAGATGCCTGAAGCTCGATTAGGTAAGTGATGAATGAGGAAATCAAGTCAAAACCAAATGAAAATGGAGGTGATCGAGGGAGAGATTTAACAAACGGCCTCACTCATCTTATCAGTTCTGGTGCAATCTGTCAATTTCATCATTCTTTTGAGCGCTTTGATAGTTTAACTTGCAGTTAGCCCTGTTTAGTCAAACATAATTGAATTAGTTTGCATTCATAAAGAAAAATCTGTATAATAGTTAGTCTAACATTGGAACAAAAGGATGCAACTGTAACAAAAATGCTAAACTGGATTTTTGGATAATGATTTAGTGAAGCCAGAAGTAACAAACCAAATTAGTTCAGTACATTGATTTAATAAATGAAATCAGTTTGTTATGAACATTTCTGACATGTTTCTTAAGTTCAAGTCTGCAACTAAAGATTTTTTTCGATGTGATCCAAAGAGAAGCTTTCTTTAAGGTTTTTCCATCTCTTTCAAAGAGAGAACGACTTCCAACCAAATAACTACAAAGGGATGAATCAGCAAACCTCTGCAACTAAGTCTTCTTTATATATTAGCTACTTTCTTTTTTCTCCAGCCTTGAACATAACCATTTTTCAGTGGATGCCTTCCTAGTACTTCTAACAACTGAGATACAACCGTTTTTGCATTGAATTGCAACAAATGTGCCTACTTTAAGAAAAGAGTGGGTATCATATCTACATGTATCAACATTTGAAAGAACTACGTTTTTATGAGAGTGCACAAAGAACTGTGTGTGTAGTCAAGGACTGTAATCTAATTAGCCCCATTTCAGAAACAGCATGGCTTGTCAGGCCCAAAGAGTTGGACCAAAGCTCTGCTGCCTTACCTGCTGGAAGATCCACACTGAAAGATGTTGTTCAGATGGATGATGAATGACATGAAGGTTGAATGTTTAATGGCTCTTGAAATTGAGATGAGTATGCCATGGAGATGATTTCTGAGTCCCTGATGAAACAGATGATAATGAAACAGACTTATGAACATAGAAATACATTCACTGTTGAAACATATCAGCATAGGACAAAATAACTTAACTCAGTGTCATTAAACTTGCAGTACAGCTTTTCATCAGTAAAGTAATATAAAGCAGGATGAAAAGAGAAAATCTTTTGTTTTGTAAAATCTTTTTAATTCTTCTGTGTTGCTTTTTTACTGCCTGAAAATTGATGTCCATGTAAATCAGCACCCTTATTAGATATAGATTAGTACTTTCCCGATAAAATTTCGTTTGAGAATACCAAGCAAGGATGATGATGAGATGATGATATGGTAATGAAATGTTGGTTCATGTTTATGAGTAAAAGTAATTAGACATTGTTTTGATTGTCAACCGTGTCAAAAAGGACCAACACGACAAAGAAACTAAAAGAAGAACCTCATCAGATGCCGGCTGTGTCCACACACAAAATGCCCCTCCTCCTCAGACAGAAACCGAACACAACAAACGGACAATACACACAAGTCAGGCGACTGCAGCTTCTACCCAGACAACACACCAATCCTCACCCCTCTCCCACATCCCCAACACAGCCCTACCTGCTTATTTTTGAGGTCAAGCGAGAGCTCATAGTCAGAGGTGGCGGAGTGCGAGCCGGCCCCATTGCGCTGCACCCTCAAAGGCGAGGCCGTGTGGTGCAGACTGGCCCTCCTCCCTGCACCGCCTCCTTTAGCTCCTCCGCTCTCCTCGTCCTCCTCTTCTTCTTCTCGCGCTGCCTCGTACTTGTGGAGCTCCCCCTGCACCTCCTCTCCCTCTTGCTTAATCTTAGTTTCTGCAACTTGCTCTGCCTTTTCCTCCTCTTCCTCCACTCCCGTGTCCTCGTCTCTGCGGGGTGAAGGGGCTCTAGGGGGGTCCTGGGGTGGAGCCTCACTCAGGGGCTCGGCTTCGGGCTCTGGCTCAGGTTCGGGTTCCGGTTCGGGTTCGGGTTCCGGTTCCAGTTCCAGTTCCAGCTCTGGTTCTGGTTCTGGTTCTGGAGAAAGCTGGGGTTCAGGTTCTGAGTGGGCTTTGGCTTGGGGCTGCAGCTGTGGTTGGGGCTCAGTTTGCGGATGTGGCTGGGGGGGCTGAGTCTCTTGCTGTGGTTGTGGTTGGGGCTGTGGCTGTGGCTCTGGTTGGAGTTCTGGCCGTGACTGGGCCTCACTCTGCGGCTCCCCCTCACCTCCCTTCCCTTCCTCCCCCATAGGCGAGTCTGGAGAAAGTTCATCGCTGCAGAAAGGAGGAGAAAACGCAGAGTGAGGTTGCTGCCGCATCCGTGGTGAGCTCTGACCTCTTCTCCAGGCTGCCTGGGTTAGTGGTAAGAAGTGGATTCTTTTTGTGTGTATGCAGGGGCCAGTTCATCTGTCTAGCTGCTCTGTTGTGAATAGCTTTTTTTGACTGTTAAGACGATGACAGACAGTTCGAACTAGGAAAGTGTACAATGCAGAAAAACTCATAAAAACCAGGGCACAATGGTGGACAAAAAAAATCAAGAGATTATTGATTACATTAAATTTTGAAACGAGAAAAGGTGAAAACAAGATAGTAAAGAGCCAGAAGTGACACACACCCATACACACAGAGACACAGGGGGAGTTCATGCAGCTAAGCTGTGCCAAGTCAAAACTGGGTGTTTGTCCATCTGTGAACAGGTTTGTGCATTTATTTCTGTGGTGGATTTCCCTTTCCCTCTTTTATTTCTCTGTTATTTCAAGAATGAATCTTACTAATAATGACTAATTACTATTGTAGTTATTATTATTTGAAAGCGTATGTATTGGACCAACAGTGTCTGCAAGTAAAAGGATAAATTATCAGCCATGTTTGAAATAATCTGATCTGTTTGGGAGCATAAGCTGCAGCATCTTTTTTAGCAGATTTAATGCCTGCTTGCCAGGAAGAATAGGACAAGTCGAATGAAGACGACAATTCAGCTGTCTTGTTTATCTGTAAAGCTGCTCTCAAGCTGCCAGTTTGCTTTAACCTGTGTCTGTCAGTTCATGCAAAATGTTTCAGAAATCATCTCCACAAGCAGACTTTCGCCAGCAATACAGAGAAGTAAATTGTTTATCTTAGATTGTGAAGCTTTCATTTGCTGGTGAAAACCAAAATATTGCAGCCTGATTGGAAAATCAGCTTTAAAAATGTGTGCCAGTTTTCTTCCTGGACACAACCTCTATTGTGTTATAGCTGAAAATGTGTGTACTTTTACACTACTTTGCTCCCACTTCTGAATGACTACAAACAATAGTTACAAGAATATGGCAAGTTTTAGAAATCCTATAAATGGCTCGGTCTAGATATAAAAAATGCATGGTTATATGAACTATATTGTCAAGTATTACACAGCAAAAAAGCAGATAGTTTTTTTTACTTTTCCTGTCAGGTGATGCAGATGACACTGTTTGACACAACACACTTGCTCATCAAGACCTTTAAGCCAAGATTTTAAAACTTCTATATTTTCAACATAAGTAGAAATGTACCCATTTTACATTTTATGGTGACACTGAGCTGGTAAATGATACGTTTGACATGTACATTTAATTGTAAAAAAAGCATTACAGTTTCTGATGTTTTCTTAAAACCATTCTTTTCCTTTTCCTAAAACAACCAAAGCAGCCAATATAGTTTTCTGATGCATTGCACACCTGCATCCTGAGACATACGTATTACATAACTTATCCAGAGATATTCTTGGAATTCATGGCATGTTTATAACTGGGCATGTTGTTACCAAGATTAAGATTAGAGTTTCCTCTGAACGGATATGATGATAACCCTGCAGGTACTAGGTGGATGCCCGTGCCAGCGCACATAATCAGACAAGATATTTCCACAATGGCATGGGTGGGCTCTGAGTTAGAGGAAAACTGCTGAGGTTTTTCATATGAACCATATTACTGCACAGCAAAATCCCCTTTTTCTTCTCTTCCTGAACAGGAGAGTCACTTCTTTTCATCACACTTGGCAGCACATAAGCTTGAAGGGAAGGCATCCTCCCTGAACATGAAGCTACGTTTGATACTTTTGAGGAAGAGCTCATATGAGTAATGAACAATGAACAGAAATTAAATCTGCAGTTCTGACCCTAAGCTGAAGGTGAGCTTTTTTATGTGTGAAAAATAGAGCTGCGTGAATGAAGCACAAGACCTTCTTTTTTTTTTGCATGAGAGTGCTTTGTAGCCCACCATCTTTGCTTGTGATGTTTCAACGCTTTGTTACAGATCTAAATGTAGCCTAACTCATTTGCATTTTGCAGAAAAACCTGCTCTGAACAATAAATATAAAACACAAAACATGCACACCGAGCAAAAGTGTGGATAGAGAATTGTCTGTGTGGAGATCCACAAAGGAAAACAATGATAAGATGCACCATCGATGCATTCATATATATTTAAATGCAGCATGAGGGCATCAGCCAGAGTTAACTTAAACAGCTTCAATGACACCTTCACTTTTGCTTAACCCCTAAATCTGTCACTCTTCCCTCTCATCTATTTAGTACAGCTTCATATCCTACTCCCTTTTCCAAACGCCCATATACATACAAATTTTCTGCCGCTTTGTCCTCCACCAGGTAGGGAGATTGAGCGGTTCCAGGTGTCAAAGTGACTGATGAGGCGGAGACAAGCCCTAGATGCTGTTTCTCTCTCATTTTTCTGTATGTCAGTTAAAGACGGACGGATGCTGTGGTCTCCATGGTTTCCGTCTAGAATATAATCACTGCGCCTGCTGTCATCGTCATGACTGCTAATAGGTTGGCAAGGTATTTGGTATGCATTCCGGTTCACCCGGTAGTGGTTATTCATATATATATTGTTTCAGCTGGAAAACAACTGCCAGAGCTGTACCTACTGTGGCAAACAAATTCTCACTAGTGCATATGAATCCACTCAAAGGGAATGCAAACAGCATTGTTGCAGCAGGTTACTTTAAATACAGATCAGCATATACTGTTCCCAATGAAAATTGACAAGATTAATCGTATGACCTATGAAAGGCTTTGCATGGCAAGAAAAAGGGCAAGCCAGTTAATGTATTACTTCCTATTTAATCTTTTTTTTAAATTGTGATCATTGCTGTGTGTGATTCATTTCACACGTAACAAACTTCAACAATCTCAGATGTTGAAAGTAACTGAAAACCACCCGATTAATGTTTTAATTAGTTCTGAGGATGCAATATTCTCTTCCCTGGTTTCCATTTCCATTCCGTCGTGTTAAATAAAAGGGATTAAAGGGAATGAAGAATTTTGTACTGTTGTTAACTTTAATAGCTGGATCCAAAGATTTATGAAAATACAACACTTATTTAGCCAAAACATTCAGGTTGTGTGGGATTCTAAACTTTACTAAAGCGTGTTTATTTACATAAAATAGAAAAATAAGCAGTCACATATAGGTATTTTGTTTAAAGGAACATTAAATTATGTTATTCAGCCATTTGGAACAACCTGTAACTGGCTATATTTAGTTTTTTTTTTTTATTCTATCTTTTTAATTTTAATTTTAAAATAAAATGTTTTATATGGTATAGCTAAGCTCAAAGAAAAGTTCAAATATTGGACAGAAAATAAATGTTTTTCAAATCAAAATTGCTGCAGAGCACATTGATAACATGAAGGCATGATGTAATTTCTTTTGTCCTAATGTTAAAGCATCATAGGCTCCACAGGTTACACATTTGGGGGGTTCTTTAAATATCAGCTGTTTACATTGCTAACATGGACACAGACATTAGAGCCATACGTTCTTAGTTTATCATGAACTGCCTACCTTGAGCTCTCCCCAATTTTCTCTGAAGAAACTGGTTTATTTGTGGAGGAACAAACACACAGTGGTGTGCTGCCAGCTCGCCACTTACAGGAAAACGCCCCTCGATCGTTATACGGAAGGTGCCCTGATTATAGTTCTAGCACGAACAAAGTCACCGCAGTTTACTTTAACCTTCATCACCTTTGCTGCTTCAGCAGCACAGAGGTTCAGAGCAGCACCGATGTGACCAGGGGAGATCAAAAGGTCTATCCTCCGGTGGACTATAGCCAAAGACATGTTGAAGAAGGCATTATGTGAGGAAAAATCACATCAGCAGATAAGATCCAGAAGACGATGTTAGCTATGATTCCTGTTGGATATAGTACCTCATGTTTAGTCTGAGGGAAGGACTTGGTGCTATGCTGAAATGGAAGAATGATTTTCTGTTGAAACTATTTGTAGCTCTGTTCTCTCGGTTGTGGTTCTGCGTGTGTTGCAGTGTGCACTACGCACAGGGAATCCATCAGTTCATCAAACAGAACACCCGCAGAGGCTGAAGAGCTCTGTTAGTAACAGTGTTACTAACCTCAAATCATCAGGTCAAGTCTGCCCATTTCTTTTTCACTTAAAGATAATATGATTCCTTCATTCTTGCCATTGTTTGATGGTTCATTGACCTTAATATCTTCTGACGCACCCGTGAACATGTACTCACAGTTGTTCAGAAGGGGACACTCCACTGGTTTTAACTGAGTTCATGTTCCTTTAGAAATACTGTGAGAGGTGCTAACTATTCAGGGGTGTAAGTGGGAGAAAATGAGCGTGAGTAAAAAATTATTTGTCTACTCGAGGAAGACGGGGCAGTTAAGCGATGTGTGATGCATTTGGAATAAAGAAATTAGGGAGATTTTTTAAGATGATGAAGAGCAATCAAAATGAAAATCCACTAACCAGATAACAATATTAATCTTAAGAACCTGAACAGAATGCTCATATTCACAGTTCCAGAGGAAATGTGATGAAAATGCACATAATTACCCAGCTTGATCCAATTACATCAAGACTTAGTCATTTCCTTTTTTTTTCAGCCAGGTGTAGAATATTTAAAAACTACTCTAGAACTCGAGTTTATTTTCTGACACATGCACTGTGTTCATGTTATACTCATGTCTTATTTGGTTTTGCATAAAATTATTTGTCCTCTAACATTGAAAATGTTAAAACTACTTTTGGCTCTGTATTTATACATTTTTACACTTCGATCCATGGAAAAGTTTAACATGTGTTCTTCTAATAAATTCGATATGTCTGATGAAACTGACAAATGAAATTTTTTTAATTTCCTCTGTATTGCAATCTGATAGGGGCCTGACATCCCAGTTGAGTGGGACGACTTACATTTTCAAAATATAATGTTGCACTGTCTGGTGTTCCAGCCAACGTTTGGGTTTTACTGTTGCTTTGGACTGATTG